AGACAAATAATTGAACATGTTAAGTGAAAGCTCTGGTTACACATACTGATATGAAGGTTCCGGGAAGAAAAACCAAACCCACTGCAGATATAATTTTCATTGTGGCGGTATCCGTTTGCGAGACGATATTAAATCCCTAGGCCAGCGTTAGCAATATTACCATGAATTGGGGAAAAAGGTCGAACCAAGTTGATTTCATTCTGGAGGCGGTCTTTTAATGATTCGGACCGTGCCTTGATAGCACGAAGTTCCTTCAAATGATAGTACAGCTGTCGTTCAATGATGTCGGCTACTACCTTTGGTATTGGTTGTGAGCCAGGTGTACTCTCTTGGCTCATATGGCCAGTGCTCCGCTGGTGCAAAATAAACAATCCGTGTTCGTGAATGATGCTGTCCATTGTGTCTACTGCGACATCTAGAGTCTCGTTTGAGTGAATTGCATGTCGTGCAATCTCGTGAAGCTGGGGGAAATCAGGCCGGGAGCTGTGGGTTTCGTTCCGAGTCTATATTAACTTAGCAAAGCAGTGAATATTCTGAAAGGGGAAGGAATATTTCAACCTTTTCAGCGTCGCGGACTAGATTTCGTATTTTCCAGACACACTTATCGTATACCACTCTGAGTTCATTAATAAAAATAGCATGCCAAGCATACGGGTCATTTGGGTCAACGGAGGATACGCGACTGCTCAATCCATCCAGCACGTTTTTGGAAAAATCCAAACAATAGATAAATGTATTCTGTTCTGCCGAGTTCCATCTGATGAACATTGTCATTTGATGCCACTTGTATTCATCCTCTGCGTTGGCTTCCTTCATCTTGAAGCAGGACCACGTATCTAGCGTTTTGTTAAACTCTTAACCTCGCAAAGGCCAAACGAGTTTCAATGGGATTTTTCTCCAGGCGGCTCTTACCAAGACTTGTGATTGAGCCATTGCTATCCAGGGTATATTTTGCATTAGAACAACCGTTCAAGTCATCCGTGGCTGTTTTCCAAAATTCTTGGGGGATTGTAAGGGTTGTCACCCAGTTCGGATTGGCCTGTATCCATTTTTCCCAGTTTTCCCTTCTGCCTCCAAAACTGTCCAATATGCATCAGCAAGATAAATTTTCGGGGACGTGGTACAAACAGCAAATAAACCCATGATAGGGGCGAGACATACACGATGCGAACCGAATTGTGGGGTTGCTGGTACCAGCGAAGTTACTTATAGGGACCCGCAAAACATAGAGCAACCGAGTAATTGGACAATGCCATTGACTACATCAATGAAATTTACCAACCTGCTTCAGCTCCTCCTCTAACGTTGACCTCCGTCTCGATGGCGGCCCAATGCCAACTATGACATCTCTGTTAACATCCATTTTGGCCAGTGGAATTGTAGTTGCTTTGCGTCTTACCATTTTCTATGACATCCACATTCATGTTCTCGCTCACTTTCTAGTGACTATTTATCCTGCGAAATGTTGGAAATTCATATGACACTCCGGAGGGTTCTATAACCCTAGATATAGACAAAAGGGGGAGATGTCTTCCCCCCAATCCTGCCAGGACATTCCCAGCCTCCACGGCGGCTGAATAAACCTTCTGCGTCTGAATGGTCGGAATTCTGGCATTCTCTTGGCCTGCAGGAAACGACTAGCGCCAGTCGCGAGTGGACTGGCACTATCTTCCTCGTCACATCATGTCGGCGTCGTAATTGAACATCACAGAGAGCTTATTATTAGTGAATTCTCAGCTCTCTCCCCTTAATTCGTAATCGTCCGTTAACTCGAGTGAAGACGCTGCTGCTCTTCTGAGCATTTTGGAGACTAGACTTTAGAGCCCTGTCATCCAGCTTGATACTTCACATGAGTCTTCGACACACTCTGAGTTGGATATGGCAACACGGAATACGCAGCGTCGATCGTTCATGGGCCCTCAAGTTATTACAGCTAAGCACATTTTGCACGAATGCAAGTCAAAGTTAAACGCTCTGACATTTCACTTTGCGAAGCCCACTATTTATAAGTCGAGTTAAGTCGAATTAAATCGATTTTTACAATCATCCGAGTGGAGAGATTTTGGACCGATGTCCAGGAGGAAACTCTAATCCCTCAGTAACTACCGTCACTAGTCTCCCATTAATAGCTCTGAAACATGGGGTTGGGTCGCAGTTTGGGGGAAAAGACAAGCTCATCAGGGACTTTAGTCAGTTAGTGTTCCATGCAGAAAGGTTTCGCACAAGTCGAGATATTCGAGTGGTGGGAGCGGCGGTAAAATCTCTTGATTCAACGGAATGATCCAGCTCGAGTTGCAGAGCCCAAGGCCTTCATCACCGTAAGGATATACGTCTCGACGACCCTTTAACTGGTCTTGTTTCAACGGCCTACTGTCCGAATCTGTGGCTATTCTCATTCAACACAAGTATAATAAGTTTGACCATTTTATGCAGCTTTTTGAAGGCTGCACATGCAAAGACATTTTTCACGGTTACCATCACTCGTTCCACACACTCACCGTCGTCATAAACGCTGCTCTCCCCAGATTTTATTTTTAACCCCGCTCTCTGGACAATTGATGCTTTGGATTCACGTTTGTAAGCTAAAAATTTGCCGCCCCTAGTTTTAAACTAGTTCTGAACAGATGTCAGGCCTGAGGTGCAGTGACACTTCTAGGGATATATCAGGTCTTGTCAAAGACCTATAAGTGTGTAACGCAAACCCGAATTCCTCTTGCGGATAGCCTTGATCCTTGAGGGATTATTGAGTCTCTCTCTAATATAAAAACACTGGTCAACTTGAATTGGCAGAGGAAAGTAGGGTTTTTTCTTTCTCATCAAACAAGTTTTGGATAATCCTTGTAGTTAACTTGTTGATGGACCAGGTGAACTTTTAAACGAAAGCTTATTGTGATTCCAAAAGTAGCTGTCACAACTAAATTACTAACTGCACAACAAGAGAAGATTGCTTGAGCGTGCGTAGGATTCAAAACTCATACATAATCTTCAGGCCCGAGCAGAGGTGACTCGCAAGCCTGAATGCTAACCTTATGGATGGGTTTCAAATCACTTCTCACAGCTTTCAACTAACTAGTATCCGCATTCTCCTTAGCTCTGCCAAGGTCCAAAACCTGCATTTGTTTGCTTTGATTCGTTGTATCATCAGTTCCCAACAGCCGAAGCTCATACCGTCAAGTTATATCATGATATCTTTCTGGGCATAAGAAATGATTTGAAATCTGCCCTTTCAAGCCCGAAGCGCTTTGTTTTAGACAAACACGATGGTCCTTGAGTGCATCCTCTGCGAACCGCTAATGCTCTGTTGTGAAGGTCTTCAAAAGATGGTATTCTGCCGTCACAGTCTCCTGTAAAGGAATTCTCAGTTCTACGTAGACTACTCAGCCTACAAGTCACCGGCTTGCCAGCACCTGTTACGGTGCCTCCTGGCAACTCTGTGACACACAGTCGGAGAATTAGTCTTATTATATTATTGACTAAGTCTTCGTGTTCGTTGTACGGAAAATCTCAGGGACCTGTTTGTTATTCCATGCCAGGGCCAGCCACTGGGCAGTGCTTCATGATACTCTTTTCGACTCGATGAGGGACAGAGCAGACGCAGCTCCTGGTGAAATATTGTTGAGGAAGAGAGTCAATTGTTGGGCAAAAGACAATTGAGGTATCACTTTCACATTTGAACCAACCCGTGGTTTGACATCTAGTTCTACTCAGAGAGCTAAAAAAAAAAAAAATGAGTGTCAAGTATTTTAACTACCTCATGCTTTTATGCCTGTGAACCTGTGCTCTGGGCTCTATCCTTTCGTCATCTTTGATTATGCACTAGAGCCTACGAAGCACAAGAACAGTAAATAAAACAAGCTGGATGAGAAAAAAAATAAGTAAAACAAAAGTCGATCCATGATTAAAGATCCCATCTTTTACTGACCATGCTGCCAGAATGAAGTTTTGAGCGGCAGTTAGCCTCAAATGATCCATCTGACTTACTATTCATGAGTTATGACGTTTCAGTCAATTGATCTACATCTGGCGTGTTTGCTTAGAAAATGGAAAAAAAAAAAAACCTTTTCAAACCACACTTCTTGCTAAGCAAGAATAATGCGAGTGACCTGGATTTCGCGCGTCTAATTCTTGCGCTTCTGCAATAACCATCCGTCACCCACAAGAGTTTTTGCCACAGACTCCATGGTGCGTTGTTTCTCGGTCGTCTGTCTTCTCTTGAGTTTGATATTATTGCACACTGAGTATCGCTAACAATTTTGGACCGTTTATCAATATCATTCTTGCTCTAGCTTTGGAAGAAATGTGGGCCATAGCCCTTAGCCTTTCTAAGAGCCCAATCCATGAAGCTAATGATGAGGTAGCCGATTTTGAAATGCCCCAATGCTGGACTAAAAAATAGAATTAGACATGTTTTCTTGAGCTTTCCTGCCTTCTTCCCGTTCAGGGGCACGAGAATCCTTGCCGTTATTAATGCAGGTTACCCTGAGAGAAGTCGTCCCAAAATATCAACTGACTAGAGTGCAGTTCGTTTCCCACTTCCTCACCTGAATTAGCTGCGGTGGAATATCAGTCCATGATGAATATAGCCGTGAGGTTGCGGGAACGGCTCGCTCCGAAGACATGCTGCTTTTCGGAAACTCCAGATATAAAAAAAGAGGAAAAGGAGCTTCCTTGAAAGCTTTGGGGTTCTATGTTCCATCTCATAAATACCATATACAAACCATACATCCTGTTGAACAGCGGCACTGCGCATTTTCCATCACTTTTTCCTTCTCTTTTTTACTTTTTTCTTTTTCATTTTTCATTTTCTCTTTTCCTTTTCTCATTTCCCTTCTCACGGGATACCCATCTAGGAATTAGTAGCCGCAATGTTGCTTCCATTTGCTAAACTATTGACACTGGCGCTCGCCTTCGTCAGTGCCACCGCCGCCATGCCAGTTGAGGACCAAAGTCTAGAAAAGAAACAGCTGGAAACACGAGCCAAAAAAGACCTATAGGGCAAAATGGTCATTGGCTACTTGGCCGTTTCTGCAGTAAGTTCTCCTTCCGTTATCATTTAAATCACACGTATTATGATCTCCACCCGTTACAACTTGGTACTAAAAAGTGCGTATATTCAGAAACGAGCCAAAGATTTCAACAAGTATAAGACCCTTACTTGGAGGGCAAAACGCGACAACAACACCGTACAGCAGAGGCCCTGGCGTTTACACCACACCCATAAAGGAACAAGTGAAAGCCCGTAAAGGCGAATGGTAGGTTCTTTCTCCTTCCAAAACCAACTGGAAGTTTTCTTTTAGAGATATATGTTACACATATAACCCAAAATTTCATAGATATCAAACATGCTTATATATTTTGGTCTTTTTCACAGGTACTGCGTAGTCCAAGCTGAGAAAGCTGCAATGGAACCGGTGGCGAAGCTCTGGGTACCGCAAAAACACGAACATAAACGCTTCTTGGAGAAAACCAATAACAATCCGTACCTCTGGAACTAAGGCGAGCAGTCGATAATCAGTTACAGTGTCAGCAAGGAACCTTCGTGGATGGCCTTTTCGACCTTGCGCTTGTCCGATGTGGATGATAAGTCTGACGCCAGGGCTTTAACGCCAGGGCAAAGAAACCTCGCGTCGATAGGAATATCGTCCAGATGTGCATCCGTCCATGGCTGATGAATCATTGGGGTGGAAAAATGGGCATTACGGCTGCATGCGTTGAGAGCATGAGCCCGCTGGCGCATGAGAAGGTTAATTATGATGATTGGCATTCAAATATAAAGAAAACAGGCTATAGGAGGTTTTGATATCTTATCTTTGCTGTTTCTCCTTTAGCTATGAATTCTATCATAGACGACTTTACCTTTCCCCTTGCTGATTGATTTCTGTTTTGTTCCAACTCCATTTTATCAAATGGCTCGGTCTTCACGCTCTCCCTCCCTCTCCCTCCCTCCCTCTCTCCCTTTTTATTTATTTATTTTTTTAACCGGTCATCACTTGGACAAGAAGGCACTAGTTACTCGACAACTAAATTGATTCAAAGGAGAGAAGAGGATGCGGCAATCGGGTCCGGTACAGAGCGGGTTCGCCATGTTGAGTAATGCATGTTACCAAGGCAGTACGTAACTATATATAGATGAAAAATGGCCGAATGGCAAGCTTGATCGATTGCAAAGGTTGCTAACTACGAGAACGACTATATGTTGGGGGAAAATAGGTTATGTGATAGAAGGGTCCCGACAGAAAATGCGCAGTGCGGAGTTGGGGGAGACAAAACGGGACCGGGAATATCCTTGATCCGTTATTCCCAGGTTGGTAATTAAGGCATGAATCAAGTTTAAGCGTGTGTCGGCAGAATTCGTACGTGGTTACAAGAGTAGCTAGCTAGTGATGTCAGTTCGTGGGGGTTGGAATGAATATCTGGTTAGCAAAAGGTTGCATTTTTTGCCATGCAAGGTATGAATTTTTTCTTTTTTCCTTTTTTAATCTTTTTCAAGTTGCGTTTACAACCTTCCTGGCTTAAATACTATAATTCATATTTCATTCTCTTGGGAAGGAATAAGAGAACATGTGGATATTTGTAGGTATCCTGCCGGGAAATATACATAAAAAAGTACAACGTTAGTTAAATTAAATGGGTAGAAGAGCAGCAGTATTTGATTAATAATGCTGGGGGGGGGGGGGGGGGGGGGGGGGGAGGGAGGCTGGCGGAGGAGTTATGGCCCATAGGGGATGGGATGGGAGAGCGGGGAAGACGAGGAGCCTAAGATAGGGTTTTGTTCACAGGCGAGAGTCAGGGAAGAGAAGGTGAAGTGTGATGGAAGGAATAAATGTGTGTATAGATAGTTTACCAAGAATCATTCTTTTGCACATATCCCACTCAGGCCCATTCTAAAGTTATTAAAGAGATGACAACAGAATCAGAAGATAGTTAATAGCCTAAGGGTCATTGTTACATAGGCCATTCAAGGTGATTAAAACATAAATGGATTAGCCATATTACTAGTTACAGAGTAACCTCATAACTACAGGAAAGAGGAAATTAAAGAAGCGGGAACGGTGTGTATTTAGCCTGCGTACGGAGTCTGTAATGTAACTAACAACGTTGTATCAGCCTGGAAAGCTAGATACATCTCACGTGTGTCAAAATTCAGTAGATTCACCGGACCCAACTGGGCAGGCCGTAGACCCGGGTGGTACATCCACGGGTCGGGGTACTAAACTAACAAATATATTTACTCCCGCGGCAACATATATTTTTGATAAAGACCATAGTATTCTGGTTTAAGTTGGGTTGATTTATATCGGAGCTCCTCGGTTTGAAGTTTTTCAAAGACAATGTTTATTTGAAGATGATTATTTTTCAGACTTATTAGTTATTTTAATTTCTGAAAAGACTGGGACATTCAAACCAATCTGTATGTGAATCAAATTCTCAAAAAATTAGTTGATATGAAGTTCTTAGATCATAAACTGGGAATAATTTTAACTAATTAGTTAATAAATTATATTTTAACTTTTTATATTATATAATTTTTTATATTTTTTTATTTAATATAAATAAATATTAAAATTAAATTACAAATAATTTTATTAAAATTTATTATAAAAATTTTATAATAATATTTAATATAAAATTTTAATATATATTTTTTATTAATTAAATAAATTTTTTAATTATAATTATATTTTATTTAATTAAATTTTTATTAAAATAATAATATAATAATAATAATTAATATTCTTTAAAATATATATTAAAAAATTATTAAAAATAAAAATAAATTTGTTAAAAAATTATAAAATAAAAATTATATATATAAATTAAGAAAAATTAATTATAAATATATTTTTATATTATATTTATTAATTAATAAAATTTAATCTATAGCTAGTTAATTTAAATAATATTATATATAATATATATATATATTATATTTTAAAAATTATTTGCTTTTATAATAATTTAAATAAATATAAAGGTTAAAATAAAAATGTAAATAGTTGAATGATATGAGCAGTTAAGTGGTGTGAGCAGTTGAATGATGTGAACATTTAGGTAAGGGATTGGATTAGTTAGTTACAACTAGTTAACTTAACTAGTTAGATAGCAACCTATTATTAATCCAGGGCAGAATATTAGTTACTGGTAATGTCTGTACCCAACCAGGATGTATCCTGTATCTGTATTTGTATTGTTCTGGTACTGTCTATTACTGGCCGCTCTCTGGCTGACTTCTCTCCCACAACTTCAACCTCCCTCAACCTCACCAACCTCCCTCAACCTCCAATCTCAATTTTTCCACACTCACTCATCCTCCTCCTTTTCCTCTCCCTCTCCTCTCTCCTCATCATCACTCGTGGCTCTTCAAAGTTTACTAGAGATCCTTCTTCTCTTGGCCTCTCCCTGTCTTCTCTATTCTTCCCCCTTTCCCCCCTCCCTCGCTTATATTCAGGGGAACTCTCACCTCTCAGCAGAAAGGTCACTAACTCCCATCGACTCGTGGCGTGGCTAGGTGGATAATTCCAAGGGACCAATATACACACGGCATTGCACTCCTTTTTCGTATGTACAGGTACGTGCTGTGAGTTTATGGTTGTGGTGTTTCTTTTTAAGAGTACAATATTATTACTTTTTTTCTCCAAAAACCTCGGGGATGTCCTCAACCTCCTACCATTTGGTACTTCTAGAAGGCAACGAAATTAAATAAGGTTGAGGAGGCTGAAGGACCCGATGCAGTATCCATCCTCGTCATCCATCAGAAATCCTTTAAAAATGTCATGAACTACAATACAACTCTTCTGCTGGTGTCCTCTATCTTCTCTCTCCACTTCTTCCTTTTAACTATTATCACATCCAGTGTTCCCGTCAATATCCCTCGTCCCACAAGTACTCGGCTATCTTTTCACCTTGTCTGGATTATCATCTCTTGCTAATCCTACTATACTTGTTGCTTACCAGCCCTTTTCCCGGTTATTGATTAGGTTTAAGCGAAGTGGTGACGATACCTCCCGAGCGGATTTCTGCACTCCTGTTACTCGACCCGACTTGTCTTTCCTTATCCCATTGCCGGCTCGCGTCGTTGTCACTTGCACCTTGACCGACATTCTGGATCGATAATCATGGCATATTACGAACCTCATGGATGGCAGGCTCCCATGCGCCAAGCATCCTGGGAGCAATCTGTTCCTCCTCGGTCAGGTTTGTCAGCCAGCTCGTCTCTATATATATCCATGGGTACTCATTCTTCTATACGATATTTTTTCAATGGTTATAGGAACCAGCTCGACGTCCCAGCGTGATGATGCGGCTGCTTTCTCTTCGCAGTTTGATGGTATGATTTTTTTTTCTCTTTTCTTTTTTTTTCTTTTTTTTGTGTGGTGTGGAAACATACTAACAAGCCATGAAGAGGTTGATCGTGCTATTGATAATCTCGTGAAGAGCGGGAAATTATTCAATGCTATTCCTCGTCGGGACTCTGTGCCCTTGATGATGAGCCGTCCTTACCCGGATTATGGTATGTTTCATCCACCCACCTACTACATATTGCCCTTCCCCCTTTTGGTTGGTTGGTTGGCACATCCTAAACTCTGTCTCAAAAGATCCTCGCATGATGGGCACAATTACCTCGCGTCATAACTCGATTGGCGACTACGAATCTCTCCGCCCCCACTCTGCATCCAACGCACAAGGTTTCTATGCTGCCCAACGTTACCAAGGGCGTCCAAACGAAGTGGAGCAGATGATGCAGGCAAAGCGACGGATGGCAGCACAGCGCGAGGGAGAGCTCCGCAAATACCACCATCAACAGCAGATCCATCGTACGTGACGAGTGTTGCTATTCGTTTCCTATTCCTTGATACTGAATTTTTTTCTCTTCTTGGCTCTTTCGTTCCCTCGAGTGTTTTTTTCTCTTTCAGATCAATATGTGTTTTATCATTATTACTTTTTGCATTTATACAACTCCATGTCATATTTTCGCGTCTTATTCTTCTTCCTGCGAAAATTTATATATGCTCATGTGTTTTGTACTTGCATCTTAACGTGGGTTGCATTGGAAAAAGGCCTTTCCTCCGAAATGTCTGGAAACAAATCCGATCGTTCCATGAGTCCCGCTGCGATGAGCGAAGAAAGTCGACGCGAATGGATTGCACGTCAGCGTCGTGCTTTGTATGGCAATGGTAACGCCGATTTCTACCCCAATGGTGGGCTTGGCGAGGAGAACCAGTCCTCTGCTACCCCAACAACCAATGCACCCGGGGTACGCGGTCCTTCCCCTAGAGTTGTAGACCCTTTTGGTCTTGGCCAAACTCAGGGTCAACAGGGTAACTCTGAAGGCGTAACCCAGTCCTCATCGGGTGCCACCACCAGACCCTCCCCTGTCGTTCCCCAGTCTCGATCCCGTTCCAACAGCATTTCCTCCCCCAGCACTGGCCCCACCTCTTACGGTATATTTGACAGTGCCAACGCCAGCCAACAGAAGTCACATGCCTCCACCTCGCCGCTTGGCGGCGGTAACTCGGAGTCCGCATCATCCCGTCAACTGGGTTCGAAACAAAACGTTACCGCTGTTGGCCCGATCGGATCCCGCCCTGCCCAGCCATCCAACGCTAGCCAGGCAGTTAACCCGGCTCTCAATAAACGCTCGACGACCCCACTCCACTCTCCATTAGGCTACAACTTTGCGTCAAATGAGAACGCTAGCGCGGGCGGCAATGGGAACGAACTTTCTACCTCGGCCGCTTCCAACCCTCCCCACCCGGCTACCGCATCAGCCTCTGGCTCAGGAACGAATGAGTCCTCCAGTCACGTTGGGCTGGGCTGGGGCAATGGAAGTGGCGTATGGAGATCTAAGAACTCGCTGGGCGTCCAAGCATCTGTCTGGGGCTAGAGGAAACAAGGTTTTCCACAGAGGGGGCTGGGCAGGGGAAGAACACGACGTAACAACGTCGTTGCCTTACTTGCGTTTCTCCAGACGTCGCGTTTCGACTAATTCTCTGCTTGTCTTGAGGAGATGGATGGTGTGCTTTTTCTTTCCCAACCCCCCCCCCCCCCCCTTTTTTTTGTTCCCTTATTTTTTGTCTATTTTTTATTTTATTTTATATTTTGGGACGGCGTCGGGGGTAAGGGTAGCGGAGAGACTTGGATCCCCAATAATGGTCTCCCCTTTTAATTTCATTCTTTTGGACAAGAAATTGCATCGGAAAAAGGAAACTTTGGTTTCCCCTTCTTTTTCTTTTCTGTTTGGTAAACGGTGACAGGTAAAAATGAACGGGGAAAACATGGATGACAGGAATGGTTTTTGCTTGTGTTTCGGATTTCAATTTTTTATTTTTATTTTTATTTTTGGTTTTATTTTCCCTTCCTGCTCTTTTAATGTGCACGTGGTCGAGTGGTTACGCCGTTATTTCCTTCAGGGTTTGATCTGGCATGGGATTTATGGATTTCGTTTCTCATCACAACTGGAAGGGGAGGTGAGAGGAGGTTGGACTGTTTATGGGTAGTGTCGTGATCGATTTGGTTCTGGTTTTGACTGATTTTGAGGGGTTGGAGGGCCGGAGTATCGATCTTGTGTGTTTCTTGTTGTGTTCTGTATTCCCCAGCTATATTCAGATTGTTTTGATTTTGTCTCGTATGTTGAGTTTTGGATTTGGTTATTTTTTTTTAAAAAAATTTTATTTATCTTTGCTTGTTCTTTGCTATGTGTGGTATGGCTTTTGGCTTTTGGATCTTGGATCGGTTCTGGTTTTTGGTTTTGGTTTTGGTCCTGGAGGGCTTTGGTCTTGGTTTTGATATCATCACTATCATTCTACTTGGGTTTCCCCCCCCCCCCCCCTCTTTTCCTTTGCTTTTCCTTTCCTTTTCCTTCCTTCCTTCTTTCTTTTTAAGTATCTCCCTTATAGGACTAAGTTGTGTTACTCGATGGCTGCTGAAGATCTTTCCATCGAGGGATAGGTTGTTTTTTTTGGTTTAGTTGGATTGTGCGTAGTGATATGTGTGAGGTTTTGTTATTTTTAAAATCCTTTTATCCCCCGTTTTGGAGTTCCTTGATTGCATTCCTTGCAACTTCCTCCTCTTATAACTCCTTGCTTAGTTGTGGTTGTTGCTGCTTGCTACTACTTTGTTTCTCCTTTCCCTTCAGCCCAGGACACAAAAAGCACCATCTCCAATCTTGATCTGAATTAAGCTTTTTATCCCTTTGTTTTCTGTTTACCCGCACCCTTCCTTGGAGATTTTTTTTTCTTTTTATACCTTGCTTAAATGATTTGAGTTTAGGTTCAGCGGTTAACTGTGGAACTCAAAATGGGCGACATCTTGGAATGTATCTACGGGGTGGATTTATCAGTGGACGGTACGGTGATTGCAAAAAGGCAGGGCTTGGGCATTGGTATGATATGGCTGGCATTTTGTGTTGCGTTTTCAGATTTATGTGGTGTGTAATGCGACTGATGTGATTGAAATTGGCTATTGGGATTGAGTTAGCGAAGGGCAGAAGAAATGGTTTAATATTTTGCTAGGTAGAATTTCTGATGACAGATCTTTCTCATGACTTCTCTCCTCTAAATAGGTAGTATTGATTGTTCTGGATTCATTGTCAGGGGGTTGCTGGCATCACCCACCCTTTTTTCCCTTAACTCTCCTAATTTTATAAATTCTGCCCAATGTAATGTTGTCCGTCTCTGTACGTGGTCGAGTATTCAAGTCACTTCAAATACTCCATCGCCCCGGATTCCCGGAAATTACCCTATCTATTCAGTTTCCTTAAGTCAGCGTAGTGCTTCATTACAATATCTTCTAGAGTATCTACATTGCACTGTGTTTGCCCTCTCATTTGCCCTTTTTATTTTCGTTTGAGGCTAGGATGGACAGGTTGGTTTCGTTGAAATTTCAATATTAGAATTTGATCAGGATGGGGTAGGACGGAAATGTATTGAGTATGATTCTAGAATTGCCTATTAACGATGGACGTATGAGTATGATTGAAATAGATTTAATGGCATATGTTCTGTTCTCCTTGAGCTAAGAGGTCCTTGATTGAGGGATTATTGAATAAGTTAAGATTGGTTTTATGCGAACTGGAACGACTGAATAAACATCTGGGAGAAGAGAGCAGCTTTGATGCCAAAAGCACTCTTGTTTACCATTCAAATTGTAGTCAAACAAACCTTTATTAATTATTAAATACACGCCACCTCAGGTGGATTAAAAAATGACATGAGGCGGCTGAAGAAAAAGACTACGAAAACAGATCATCTAGATCAACACGCCGTTACTGCGCATGTAAGCACTTACCATAATTATCCATGCCTCGAATCACAATACGATACCTTCTTGGAAAACAATGAGTCCCAATTTTTGAGAGAACAGCATAAGAAAAACTATCCTCATCGTCCACTGGCTGAGGAGCTATCATGCCCCTCACTCTTCCCACAATGCACAAATTCATAATCTCTATCCCTTGTTGTCCCGTTTCTATTCCTTTGCCCACCAGTATTCCCGCAGCTATGGCTATGAGGATAATAAGCTGATGGCAAAACAAATCTACACCCTGCCCTAGTATGCCTGGCTGAAGCAGCAAAATGACTTGTCACAATCACCAGTGAAAATGATGACAATGACCACTTCAAGAGAGACTGCAAATCCAACACCTTCCTATCAATTTCGTTCAGGCGTTCAATGAAGTTCACATGCCAATCCTGTATTGTGCCTACTTCCCTGCGCAGTTTCAGCAAAGCCTGCTCAATTGATGCCATCTCTTCCTCCAGCTGTCTCTGCGGTAAATGTCAATTCAATGTCAATACTGACAAACCTCGTGGTGGTGGGGGTGGAGCTACAGTTGATAATTTTACATACCTAACCACTCCTACATTTCTGGCGCCAGTTGGACGCACCAGGGGTGACAGGGGGCTCTGAGGGAAATTCTTCGTGAGCCATGAGTTTTCTTGATTGTTGATGTGTTGAGAGTTTTCCATGAAAATGTGGTTGTGTAAATGTGGAAAATGAAAGGGAGGAGAATACAGATACTTTTGGAGTCTTCTACGTATGAGTGTCAAATGGACCTCTGACAGATGCGTCAACGAGATATCAAATTATGCTTAAGGGCATTTAACCGGAGAGAACATATAGGTGATATTTTATCTTTGAAGTTGTTCTTGCAAACGTTGTTGATGTTGTAATGAAAATTGATGAAAATTTGGGCGACAAAATATTATGGATATTTGACTTTTACCTGTACACTATCCAAAAGAGCCATGTGCCCTCTTAACCATTCATAGAAGATGATGGGGGCCTCGAACTGCCAGGAGGAAATAGTGAGAGTCAATGTTTACTGATTGACCCCCCTGATATCCTTCCCACGAACTATGGATGCGCTAGACTTGAATGAGAAAGGTGCGCGGCTCTATTTAAGCTCCCGCTGGTGGACTAGTCTTCTTTTAGCTTAGCCCACAAAGTTTAGTGTGACGGCGGATTATTCTCTAGTTACCTCGGAAGATCTGCTGCGAGCATGTTATACTGCAGAACATGGCGCTGGATATTTCATTTCAAACGGAAATTTTTATATAGAGTACTCGTACTGCAAGGTAAAAATGAATACAAAACGGATTCTTATACATAAACTTTCGGACGGAACGTCTTGCGACTTATATAATTATCTAACTCGGTTCGTTGTGACCAGGGAACAGAAGCAACAAGAGATAGAAAAAGTCCAGAGAAACCAGATAATACAAACCAACTTCCTGCTACTACATGAGAATTTATATTAATCCAAGAGCTCCAAAGGAGGGAAAAAGTAAGAAAACCAAAGACCGCTTCCAAAAGGTCTAAAAGGGTGATCACACTAAGAATGGTTCTAAGATGGCCTTCCGCCTATCTTCCCACACCCTTCTCTCCCTCTCCTTCTCAGGTCGTCCAATATCATTCGAGAAAATCGTTTGCGCAAATATCTTAGCAAATATCTTACTAACTGCCTGCCGTCTTGCTGAGGCGGCGGTTGCCTTTGCAGCGATAGTAGTAGGAACATCTGGATATGATCCACTGGTCGATTGGTTGCCGGGCTTTCCTAAGCGGATGCTGAATGTTCTAGACATAGCGTTGGCCGTCGAGGATGCGGGGGCAGAATTTGTGATGGTTGAAGGGGAGGCTGGGGTTGATTGTAGGGGGTCAGAAAGCGAGGTTTCCGATATCGAATGGGTTCTCCGGGAAACGAATGGTTTTGATGTCGTTGGGGAGAGAGGGGAGGATAGAGAGTTTGTAGGTGATAGGGGGGCGATTTCGTTCACGACGCGGTTTAGCATGAATATGACGAAGGTAAAGGAAACACTGTGGACGGGGGAGGAGGAGATGGCTTCAAGGATTTGGGTTTGTAACTGTTCCGTGGTTAAGGGTGAAGATTTGGATTTTTCGAGGTCCGTGACATGGCGCTCTAGCTCGTGCCAGAGCGGGGCGGTTATTATGCCACCACGGATAGATTTGAGGAAGGAGAGGAGGGTTTCAGAGAGAAGTTCGACTCTATGACGGGACGGAAGCTCTGGCGGAAATACAGATGAAAAGGGCGTGTTGGTGTCTAGTGCATCTCGGACGCGGGAGAGTAGGTGATAGCGCTCGCGGCTATCTGCCAAAGTCCATGTTTCCGCCTCGAATGGCCAACCTAACTTCTCAGCACTCCACGGTGGCAGATTGCTTTGGGAATTGTCATCGACCATGTCCCATTCGGCGACAGCTCGTTCCGTAAGTTCAGCTATCGTCTCCGTCAACCTGAACAGTTCACGGGGAGCTGACAGACGGGTATCTTGCTTCGTATGAGTTTCGGTGAAGCGCAACGGTTGAGCGCCGGGATCAAAGTGTCGTGCCCCATTCTCAGGCATCCGCGTAAGATCTTCTAGCGAAAATCCAAAACATGACGTAAGCCACGAGCCATGCACCGGAATGAAGTAGTCCCGCCCATTGGTGACTCGTAAAACTATTATATCCTCAATTTTTGCCTCACCGTTATTCAATTCTCGAACAAAAGCAATGTCGTATATACAAAGGATGAGTTGTACATTTGTTGTTTCGCCAGGCTGAAGTGTATATTTCGGGCGAGTTTTGGGGTTTTGAGCATCGCCATCTGGCGAACCATCTACTTGGAGACGAAGCCAGGAAGGTGAAGTCAAACCATTTTCCTCGTCTTTGTCTGGAGGTCGATAATGAAAGCTGAATGTCGCCGGGACTCCGCTGGTATTGGCCACAGTCAAGCTCCGTGATACTGGAACATCGTATCGTACTTGGCCAAAGTTGACCGCATTGGGGTCATTCGCAATATGTGATGTTTGGTTATCGTCTGAGTCGTCCGGGTGATTCTCTACTACAACCGTTACCCCAGGTCTCGCCTCGTTCTCAGCCTTATCCAGTTCTCGAACAACTTCCTGGTGAACTTTGGCTTTCAATTCGGGGACAACGGCATCAAAAGTTAGGGTAAATTCCGCAGCCAATGGTTTATGATCTGACGACACGATATCTTGATGTGAAGTATAAAAATTTAACCTGATTATATCTTTGGACTCCGTTTGATCATTATCAGAAGCAGTTGTAGCCCCGGTTGTATCTACATTTTCATCATAGTCATTGGCGCCATCTACCTCCGGATCGTAATCGAAAAGAACACTATCGTTTTCAGCATCCTGCTCCAGTCCAAGAGATTTCATTTCCTCGTCCCTTTTCTTTGCTTCTTCGGCTTCCTTGAGCTTCCGTTTATACTCTAAATAATCGTGCCGAGTGCGGAAAAGTATTCGATCGCACCAACTCGGCCCGCGTCGTTTTTCACTCGAGTCGAAGGTCCCAGTGGTCCCGATATCGTATTTATATGTTGGCAAAAACGAAATATGTCCTTCCCTCCAGCCATCGTAAAGTGCTTTCCCATTCCTTTGCTGCCGATGGAGCTGGTCATGAGGGAGTAATGAAGCAAGAGTAGTCACTAGAGATGCTGGATCAAGATGCGGGTCAAAAGCAGAATTATCCTCCAAGGATATATGTGGCTCGGGAGATAAACTGTTTGACCTTGTACCTATTGAAGACCGGCCAGAGCCTATACTATTACCATTGCTATTCTGTGTCGGAGACGAAAGGCTCGCTTTCTCATCATGAATCGAGGGGGGCTTCATAGCATGGAATTTATTTTCAGTATGCAAATGCAGTAGTCGTCGCACGTCGTCACCGGGTATATCTTCCAGACGATAATTGAGATCTCCAAACCAAAAACCAAATTCCTCATATCCTATCATGTTACCGTCGTCTTCCAAGATATCATCGCCCTCTTCGAGAGGGTTGAATTTAGCACGGCTTATGATCTGTGAAGCATCCCAGTTCCTCCTGTCTAAACTACCTTTATCGGCGCCGGCAGCAAGGTGACAGTTGACAAAGACTAGTCGAGTCGTTCCCCCAACAACTATCCGCGTCGCAACCCCGCCCTTGTTCCCCATGTATCCCATCACTCCAGTGCCCACGCCCACGGAGCTAACGGAGGATATCGTAGGGGCCACTGACGGAGATGCGTATACTAGTAAAAGCAAGCCTACAAGTTGCTGGGAAGAAATCAACTTATACCCAAGAGGCAGCGCATTCTGGACGGCCTCTTTCCACCGATCGGACGGGGCCGGGTCAACATATGGTTTCAAGGATTCCGAGGGAGACGAAACGTCGACAATTTCTTGTAAACCCAGCACATATATGTCGACGTCATCACCAGGAGCTCCGGGCGCTGGTGGCTCTAGACTGCCAGTATTCCACTGTGCAGAGCCCCGCCCAACCAGTTCCTGATCGACCCAGGAACCCGCCTCGCCGTTCCTCCTATGAGCCTTCTTTGCATTTCCTGATCTCGCATATAGCTCGTTTTCCCTGTTCAGCCCAGAAGGTTTAACGAACCAGTAGCCGATATCGGCTTCAGTTCCAGGCAGAGCGGCAACATTCCATGTGCCGATCTTCACGCGAATTTGACGCTGACGGGTAAACTCGGCCTTCCTGGCTTTGACGGCCCGCGAAAGAGATTGAAAATCAGAGGATTGCGGGCTATCATCACCGTTACTGTCAAGGGAATCGAAGAAAGTACCTGGCACATCTGCGGGGTTGGACTCGACCTCGCGGAGGGACATAGTTTGCGCCATAAATGTAACCAATGGTGAGTATTAATTATGTGGGCAGGTCGTGGAGGTTCAACTTCTCCTCATGGTGATTCGGATGCACATTGAGCACTTCCTTGGAGAATGGTTGAATATGATGGTAGCTGCGTGCCGGACCCGAGCAAGAGGTACTAATCCAAGCCCTAGGGTCAGCTGGGCAGGCTGGATTTCCAAGGTGGTCAAAGAGATCTGGATACTAATAACTATCCGTGCTCCGGTCGAACCGTCGAACGTAGATCAGGGAGAAATGGGGCGGTTTAAGGAGAAGAAGATTAATCCGTCGCATTCAGTGGAGGTGGAAATAGACCATGGATGAAAGAAAGAAAAGAAGAGTATATTTGCTGGATATTTCATTGTTCTGATGTTGGTGGTTGAGACTATGTCATAGCAAGTGTAGATCTTGTTGATAAGCTGTTTAGTTAGTCAGCACAGTATCAAGTGGGTTAACTAATCAACTTGTTCATTGAACATTGAAGAACAGTCAACGCTCATATCTCCGATATCTATTGTCAAGTCTCTATCGATAAACTTCCTGGATGTGTTATATGTCTCATCTCTCAACGTTCACTGACTAGAAAACATACTTGATATATTCACTCAGTAATATTCAGCTTCCTCCATTCTCCCACCAACCAACCGCCTTCCCATTCACAGCTATGACATTCCGACGGGGTAAAGATCGCCGCAGCAACATCCACAGCAGCATCAACAATCTCAACAACAACAACAACAACAATAATAATAATAATAATAATAATAATAGCAGTAGTAGTCAGCAACCGAACTACCGATCCCTACACAACCGGAATCTCTCAAACCTTGCGCAGCCCTCCGACTACGAATCTGACATCCCAAACAACTACATCTCGGACTCCCAAGCCCCCAACGGCTCCTCCATGGCCACCGATCCCTCCCAGCTAAAGACCCCCTCACGCACAAACGAAGAGCTGAACCTATCTGTTCTCCAGCGCCACAATCCGGCAATTCGCTCCATTCTCTCCCTGGCCCCATACGCCGTCGTCTACGTCTTCAGCGCCACCAAGCAGCTATGGGAGAAGAGCGGAATCGAGGGCACCTTGTTTGTTTGCCAGTTGACCCAGGGCGAGCTTGGTGAGGAGCGCTATAGCGTGCTTGTTCTGAATCGACGCGGTATGGACAATTTCGAAGCCCGGCTGACCGACGGCGACGACGTGGAAGTTACGGAGGAATATGTTATTTTGAAAGTTGAATCGACCGGCGCGGAACCGGGCGCGAGCACGATCAAATCAGCGGATGGTCGTGAGTCGGTAATTTACGGATTATGGATCTTTTCGGAACCTGCTCCTAGCTCTACGGCTGAGGCTAGGACGTTGAATGCCCGGATTATCAAGGAGTATGCTGTGCATGGTGGGGAGAGTAGGAAGTTTGCGCTGGAGAGGGCTGCGGTGGAGCGGAGAAATAACGCCCTTGTTGGTGCGGCTCATGTTGATCAGCACGGCGATGAGGGAGTGCAACAGGGTGGTGTTCCCATGGGCCGGCAGATTTCCCTGAAGGAACTGTTCGGTCAGCAGAGGCAGCAGGATGACGAGTGGAGTGTCAAGGTCCATAGCCCCTCGTTGCGAAATGTTGATTTGGAAACGCAGTTGGCCCAGCAAAATCTGCAATCGGCATATTTTCAGCAGCAAGACAATGGGAACTGGCCAGTTCCTCCTGCTGCGCCGCCGACAAATGCAGCCAGAAATGATGTCCTTGGCGCTCTTTTCCGAAAAGCGTATCAGGGCCCTCCAAAGTGATTTGGACAGCGTGATGTTCGTCTTGATGTATTTTTTTATCTTGGATGTTTACCGCTGCCGCTGCCAAATGGCAATGGTGGGGACAATGGTCGGAGTGCTCTACGACTAGTATGATATTCATTTGTTACCTTTCTCCATCATCTTAAATAGGGCTCTTGCTCTCGGTCAGATGACGCAATGAGATGTAAAGCAGTCTACGAGGCCTATTTCTTGTCCTTCTAAGTCTAATGGGACGCTCTGACAATTCTATATCTTTTTCGAATAATATCCCTTAAGAACCCTGCCGTCTTCTCTGCCATGATATCGCTATGCCCTGTATATGCGGAAGAGTGCGAAGGAGTCAGCAAGACTAGAGCTTCGCATACACAGGCCCTTGTCTCGAATATCGAATGGCCTCAAACCCCAAAACAAGGGATAAGAACGAAAAAGCCAGCGATACGACAAAAGCAGACATAAACACTTACGGATACAAAAGCCATGCACCACTCCGTCCTCACACACATGCATTCTCGGGGCATTACTGGTGCCGTTGCCCATACTGCCTCTTGCTCGAATGATATCCTCCCGCGTCTGGTCAGCTACCCAATGATCACTTTGAGCAAAATACAGCACCAGATCTGGTGATGAATTTGTTGGAGTAGAGGTGGAAGTTGAACTTTCAGTGGAAGATGAGGCTATTCCCCATATTTCATCGCTCCACTTATCGGATGTTATATCACGCATTTCATCAGCGGACATGTGTCTGTTGGCATGATATGTCAGCAGGAGTTCGTCTCTTATTTTTATTAACGTATTTCTCCCTGCCTAACAGCAAGTTTGTGTCTGCATTTACACTTGAGCACATTTACATTTGTAGATGGCCTTGAAAAACAGTAATGTTATGTAGATAGCTATTCACAGGGGAACGACCCAGGGGACGGGGAAGGGAAGAGAAGAAGTTGAGAAAATTGGGGAGGGAATAAGTCAAAATAACGCATTTAAACAAACACCCAAGATCTTACATTGCTTGCTCAACACCCTGTCTACTCTTCAAGAATGCTATTGTTATATCAATTGCGTCTTCTGGCGGTGAAACCATTACCATCGCCACTATGCTGCGTAGCACGGATCCTGGCAATATGTATACCAGGAGTTTGACAAGAAGGCTCGTAAGAAGCGCTAGGTATGGCATGTAGAGGAGTTTCTGTGCATTGAGTATCAGCTACAAATAAAACGGGGCCCAGCGTAAGGAGGGATAGGGCGAAAGGGGTGTGGAGAGCCGAAAAGGGAGAATGAAAAGCAGTAGGATTCCGAGAATACGGATCAATCAGATCGTGTCTGAGAGAGGAAAAGCGATAATGAGTAAATAAAATTAAAAAGAATACGGACAGTCAACTTCCTTCCAGCTGAACTCTTTGCAATATCAACAATAGTCGGAAATAATAGAATTCCGCCTATGATGTCCATCGCACCGGCATTTCCAATGGGTGTCGTTTTCTTGGTCTCTGTATGCCGTCTCAGAATCTCCATGGAGATATATGCCCCAACGGAATGCCCAATTAATATCACTTTAACATTCCTCCCTCCCTCCCCTCTCTTCTCCCCGTTTTGATCATCATCGCTCTTATTTTTCTTCTTGTGCAACTGCAGCTGTAAATTCTCATGCCACGCAGCCACGAAATCTTTTAGATTCCGGTACACAAACTCGATCTGCTCAAAGAGACTGTAGAGCTTTGGGTCTGTGGCGTGAGATTGAGATTGAGATTGAGATTGAGATTTCCCTTCTCCTGTTCTATTTTGAGACATGCTGCTGGTGGAACTGAGGACACTACTTCGGCTCATGTCATCTTCAAGAATCTCAAATCCGCCCATGCTTTTCCCGTGGATGATGCATTGGGGTATACTGCCCTTGTTGCTATTGGTATCACTAGCACTAGCAATTGATGAAAGATTGGAACTCAGCAAGGACAGATATGTATTGTAATAGGATATCAGGCCTGGATTTCCCGGGATGAAGAATAGCAATATGGGTTCTGCCTCATCTGCTGAAGAGTCTGTGATCGTTAAGAAGCTGTTTGCTGTGATGTGGGGATTTGTTAAAAGGGGCATTTTCCGCTCTGATTTGAGGAGTATATTATGCATATGAATTGATGAAGAGCAGTTATGTGGTGTTCTTATGCGCGTAGAGTTGCTCTGGGGAGATGTCAGCGTTGAAGCTTCTCTTTAAAACGGAGAAACTTTTTTCAATGTGGAGAATTTTCTGCTGAAGTTATTTTAATAATGTGCCGTTACTTGCACATGAAAATTTTATATGCTGCCAATCATTTAAGTAATGCTTAGATTTTCCTACTATTCCTTTATATATTTTGTAAAACAAAGGCATTAAAGGAATATCTGTGGATGGTACTGGCCATAAGTCTTTCATCCCAATTCTAACTGAACTAAAGCCGATAAGTCATATCCATCTATTGCTGGCCCCTGAGTCCAACTCTTCGTTTCTAAAACCTAGGTGTAGTGAGAGATTTTGCCTGTAACCGGGATTGCTTAAGCAATGATTATACAAGAGGAAATATCATGGAAAATATCATAGCCCAGAAGAGGGTCATTAGGAAACAAAATAAACATAATTAAATTGTACACGAATAAACTTGGTCCAAGAAGAAATCGTATATGATCTTCGTAATCATATGATCACAGGTGAGGATGATTCAGTATAGATAGCACCAAAATATCCCACATTGTGGTTTGATAGCTTGTACAGATATATAGCGTCCATTCTCTTAGTTAGTGTTAATCAAGAGCGGTAAAACATTTGTAAAGCGGTGGTGCAGATTGAGTGGCCGCAGGATAGGATATTGAATGTACCCTGCCTATCCCAGATATCTCTAGAAGGGGTGAACCTTATCTGAGAGGTCTTCAACGTGAATATTTTGAGATCCAACTTGTTCTAGCGTCCCTCAATGTGCCTTGTTCAAGCCTGTTCTGGCAGTGTGAGAAGAGCTTCTTGAAGTTCTAAATTTCTTATCCAGTCCGCCTCAAAGTGCTCCACTGGGTTTGTTTCAACACTTTGGTGGAATCATCAGCATGGACGAAGGCTTTCATGGTACAGACGACATCGAAGGAAGCATCAGCGAAGGCGGAGAGATGGTGGTAATCACCCCCATTGAAAATGGAAAATCTTGCAAGTGGTGGAATTTCACACTGCGCTGAGTGCTTTTCAGGTGGTGAGAGATAACTAACTAATAATATCAATCCCCATAACGTTCATATAGTTAACTATACAGGAATGGATGAAGACTCACATGAAATTTGCGCTGAGTTAAATAAGTTTATTCTGGCATGCATGCACAGGGACTGAGCTGTCATTCATACTATCGGGTTGTGCAATGATCTATGATGTTCATCTCATGGAAGAAAAGCTATAACTACACCAGATTAAGGGTGAAATACGGTTCTCAGGTCCTCGATGCCGTAGCTGGGTCTGGATGTGTTGTCATGTATAACTATAGGACGGAAAGGTCTGCTGTAGCTGGCACTGGTGCGTGGGGCTTAAAATATCCCCTGCAGGGGTGCAAGATGCATTTGAAGGCCAACGATCTTATAGACCAGATACCCAGTCTGAAAGTCTGTGCTTAACTAGCCTGACAGACACCATTGCTATTAAAATATATATATATATATATATATCTTGCGATTTCAATGCTGAAGGTGCAGGAGATTCTCCTTGTAAATCTCTCTGCAACATTTGTTCTAGGGAGCTGTTGTCGGGTTTCATGTCGTCACTTCAAACCATGTATTTCAACCTCAAACCATGCCCCGATCTTGGCGCCTGGGGCTTACAATCCGGGGAAGGGCAACTTAATTTGGGAAGTTAATGACAACCTATGGACACCATGGATCAGTATTCGGGCTAAACATCATGCAAGGTATCAGGTTCTGCGTGTTTGTTCCTAATCACTCGATTCGGAAAAGAAAAGGTAGCGAAAAAGGATCAATTATCCCATAGATATATATGTGTGCCTTTCTTCCCTCAATCTCATTCTTAATAATAAACACTAAAAAAAGGATTCAAGGCGAATTCATAGATATGGCGCATGGAGACGTGTTAAGGGAAACACACGTTGGGACGTTGGAAGAAGCGGCATAATAGCTGAACTAACTAAACAAATAAATAGCCAGCACACAGATGCACAAGAGGATAGGATAGGATAGGATAGGCGCACTCCGCAAAAATAGAATGACCGAGACAGGAGAAGAAGAAGAAATGGAAAGGGCCCATACGTTCCCAAAACACCCACAAAAACCAAACCCCATACCGAGCAGAAACCACTGCACAAAACACAACCAACCTGACAGCGCGCGTAAGACAAGAAAGAAGAGGGGGAAAGAGTGAAAAACGCGGTTTTTATGTAGCGCGAGTATTGTCTCCACCTCCTCCACTGCGATCGCCAACACGACCCCCAGCAAGGATAGCACCACCATCATTCTTCTCGGGGGATATTTGCATGCCGTCCTTCAGCAATGGGCGTGGCGGTGCCGATGGCCGCACTATTCGCCTTCGTCCCTGGCCCGGACCCCACGTCCCCAACCGCCTCTGCCGCGACTCCCATTCCCGGCGAAGCATTCTTCCCGGCAACTCCTGCCTTCAACGACGACATGGTCAGGTTAATGGAAATCTTCTTCGGCCCACCGCCACCGCCACCAGCAGCAGTGCCACCTCCTGTCCCGGCCTTCGTCTTCAACTTCGTATTCGACGAATCCACATCACCGCCACTATCGCCATCACCAAGTCTCTCCCCAGCCGAAAAATTCTTCTTCTTCCTCAAAGCGCTAACACCGCTACCCATGGAGGAGCCGACGCTGCTAAGACTTGAGCTGCGCCGCTTCGTGCCCGAGGATAATTTGATGAGCTCGTCATCGTCGTCGTCTTCTTCGCGGCGGCGTTTTTCGGTGTAGCGGTGTGGGGGGAGGCGGGGGTTTGGTTGGAGTTGCTGTTGAGGGTGCGTGCTGGAGTCTGAGGTGGTGATGAAGGTGGTTTCAGTGAGTGGTTGTTGAGCCTGTGGCTGTGTCTGTGTCTGCGCTTGGTCAAGGGAGGAAGGTAATAGATCTGCCGGCTGCTGTTCCTGCACATTAACGTCCATAGGGTCGCCGTCGTCATTATCGTCAGGATAATCGACGAGAGGTTTGACGGCGGGCGACGCAGATCCGTTGACCGCGACCCCTGTCGTCATCGTTGTACCGGTCGTCGTCACAGTCGTATCCAGTCGTTGCTGCTTTTCCTGCTGATTGTCGACGTAAGCACTGCTGTCTCTTCACCGAAACGACGCGCATGCAAAAACTTTTGACATGCACGATTTTCTTTTCTTTACTATCATGAAAGAAGCTTACCTCATCTTCCTCGTCATCCGAGTTATCGAAGTACTCTTCCTCCGCCGCATCCATCTCCTGAATGCCATGCCACCGCTGCCCACCGTTGATGAGCATTCGCGGCACAGCAGCTGTGCCCGACTCATCCTGGTTAAATAGCGTCGCATCTGCACCTTCAGCAGTATTGCCGTATCCTTGCATCTGATCATAACGCAATATCAGATTCTGGAACGTGTCAACGTAGGTGATGTCCTTGAGAACATCTCTGTGCTTCCCGACGACGTGTATGATTATCGCCTTAATATTTTCGCGCTTGACGAATTCGAAGAGTTCCAAACAGGCGGAGTTCAGCAGGTTGTCTCGCGGCATGGATTCGTAGACAATGTTGAGTATTAGTTCGAAAATGTTGTTGTGGGTCATCTGCGCTACGTAGAATGTATCTTGGAGGCTTATCAAGGCACGGAAGAATTTCACAGCGGCTGGCGGACAAGGTCATGGTTAGCGCGGAACCAACTCCTAACGACCAACCTTCTAAAGAGACAGATATTGCATACTTAGTTTCAAATGTTTGTGCGGCACTGTTAACATTTGCGCCACCTTAGGCGTAAGTGACTCCCCATGTATAAACCCTCGACATCGTAAATAATGCTGCCTAACAAAGAAAGTGAGAATATCAACAAGATGCGAATATAGCGAGACTTCTTGAAACGTAAGATCATTAACTAAAAGCGCCATATTTGTCAGTATTCAATACTAAGCCTTTCTGCTCGGTCTTTTTCTTTTCAGTAATCTTACGTGATTTCCTAGCGTCCAGTAGTTTGAACGGTGCAAACAGCTTTTTCACCAATTCATCGAAATGGCTCTGCACGAAAGCGCCCGGTAGCGGCGGGTTCTGCGCGTGCAGTTTCGAAGCACAGTCTGCTCCAGTGCTACTCTTCGGATCCTGGATCGGCAACAGCGGGTCTAGGGTGGCCTTAATTGCATCTGCCAATTGGTTCTTAACGCCCAAATCTGTCTCCGCGTGAAACAAGTCTATAAGCCTATCCGTCAGCGACACTTTATTTTCATTCATGACCTTGAGCATATATCCGCGCATCATCAGCTGGTCGTGGTCGAGCAGGGCAACTAGGATGTCGATACCGGTCGTTCGTATGGCGGGGTTGGGGTGCTTCACGGAAAACGCGATGACGGAGAAGAGGCCGTGACTGATGAAGTTGGTGAAGAGGCTGCCACGTGCGGGAGCTTGGAGGTTTTTGGCGATGGCGGCGCATTGTTGGAGGAATTGGACTGCCTCTTCTTTTCGCTTGTTGTCTACATTTTTCGGGTTGAAGACGGCGAAGAGTTCGTGGAGGAAATGGGTGTTACTTTGGAGGTGCTGGACTATATCGACTTGGTTGAAGAAGATTAGGGAGTTTAGTACGGAGAAGGTGGGGTCGTCGAGAATTCGGGCCAGCACAACGTCTTTCAGATATTGTAGGCGCCAGGTGTGTCTGATTTTGCGCAGGACTACTGGGTCCTTGATTGGAACAACTTGTTTAAAGCGACTGCGGTCATTGAGGTATTGACGATGGTTTGCCTTGTGAGCGGGGAAATCGGGATCGTCTGGAGGGGGTATGTGGAAGGTCAGTCAGACAAATACGGAAAGTTAGAAAGCATAGTTGGTTGAATGTGACGTACATTCCAGAGCGCCAGCGACACCATTGATAACATGATCGTTCACGAGCAGCTCGGTGAGAGTATTGTCGTTGAGCAGTATAATGGACTTCATAATATTACATAGCCGGTGCAGATCCGGGAGGCTTTCTAGGTCTTCGGCATCGAAAACCAGGGGAACAAGCTTGAGGATGTATTCATCGCGGAGTATAAATTTGGTGAGTGAATCTCGTGTAGGACCGACGCTGGCTTGTCGTATTTTTTGCTCAACATCTGAAAGATTTCCTAGGTCTGGGGCGGGGAGTATGACGGGATTTCCGAAGCTAGCGTCAAGGGCATCGTCGGAAAGGGAGTCATCTGAGGACTAGGCATTAGTGAATCGAGGATATCGATCGTCATGAAGACGTAAAGCAACAGGTTAGTTATGTAAATCAACTAACCTTGACCCGTGAAAGATATCATTTGTCGCTGAACATTGCTCACGAACTCCCTTTAAATCGTGAATAACCCCATTAGTAACAGATCAACCGACTGGCGGAATCACGGAAAAGAAAAATGAAGAGCAGGAAGAAACCAAAAGGGTACGAACCAAATGACAGCGCAACCCTCTGCCTCCTGGAAACTTAATGCCATATCTGTGCCGCTTGCCTCTGTCCACACGATCAACGTCTCTGTCCTTCAAGTATCAGCCCGTGTTCCTGTCCGCCTGTTCCGAAGAGGGTGCAAGCGCAGAAGAAGATTTGCATTTGCCAGACCTTGTTGCTTCTGATATCCATCATCCCTACAAACCCTGGTCTCCAGTAACATGCGCTCAGGTTCTTCCTCGGACTCAACGTAGATTCGCGGTTCATCCTAACAAAGAAAGATAATCATGCATTAGCAAAAGAGATCCTTTACTTCGGCGCGAGATGTCTGAGCAAGGCAGCACGTTATGCGATCGGACTAATGTGCGAGAGTAGAGAGGTGTGAATTGATGAGATGAGGGTGAGAGGAGAGAAGAAAAGAAGAAGCGCACATACATCGATAACTTGAGCAGAACACAAGCCGGTCCCTCTATCAAACCAGTCATTATCTCTGAGTTCATAGACCTTGACCCGCTTGCGATCGTTTAGCAGTGGCGCCACCGCTGCCATCATCCGAGATAAAAGAGGCGTCTCGTCACTCCGGCGACAACTCTTGTCGAGAGTACCGGGGGTGATGAGAGCCGCAGCCAATACACGCAATCTCTCGCAAAAGTTGAAGGTGGGGGAGAAGAGAGGAAAGAGAGGAAGATAAGGGATTTACGCCAGGGGAGACAGAGAAAAGGTCGCGATCGGCAGATGCGCCGACGGGAGTGGGATGGGAGGAATTATTAATTTTTTGTCTTCTTCTATTATCCTATTCTTTCCTATTCTTGTTTGTCCTTTTATTAGTATTTGCGACGAGATAGCGTCGTCGTGAGATTGCGGAGGTTATTTATATTTAGGTGCGATCTACGGGCGTAGACGTGGACGGAAGGGTTTGTGTACCCTGGGGGTGGGGGTGGGGTACAAGGGAGTGCGCCTGGGTAGGGTTTGGCAGAGGAAGCTCAAGACCGCTGTACTTTTACAGGCGCAGGGAAATGGAGATGTTTAGGCGACAAACAACGCGAGCGACGGCAGATGGGAGGCTGGAAGAGTGAGAGAGGAAGAATGTTGAAAACTGAGGATGCTGGATACCGAAAGGATCGGAGTTGTCTATTAAATAGGGATCTGGGAGAGGAATAAGGTGGGCAAACAGGCGGGTTCGGGACTGGGTGGACGGGGGCAGCAGTATTCAGAGTGTGAGAGAGTGTGTGTCTCTGTGTGGCCGCCAGGAGTCGAGTACTGTCGCGACGGACCGATACAGGAAGGAGAGCAGCGGGAGAGAGATGGATCAGATGGATCAGAGATGGCTACGGCGGCAAAAGAATGACATCAGCTGTAAGAGATCGCCTTCGTGGAAGAGGAAGAGGGTATTCAGTTCAGTCAGTCAGAGATAGTTGGCAGTGGGTAGAGGTTTGGACGTTGGACGTGGACGTTGAAATTTGAAGGTTGCCAGATGTTGGTTGAAGTTGTGTCTGGAGGCTGGCCGCATCGGGTTAGTCTGCCGGTCTGTGGGTTGGGGCAGAACATTTAAAGGAATGACGTGTTATCTCGCGCGAGAGAGTTACATAAGTAACTAATTGGAGAGGGGATCGATTCGCTGGCTGAAGAGCAGTTGGTGCTGGCTCATTGCTGGCACCGGTTTTCTTCTCTTTTTAACTAGTTATATAGATGCTACAACTTCCAGACTTCTTTCCGTTGAAGTGGCTGCAAAGCACAAGAGGTTCTCAAACTGTGTTTGTTGTTTGTTTTCAGGGCGTCACTGAAGATAATTCTTCAAACAGCTTCTGAGCATTTACTTTACTTTCTTCTGGAAGCGCAGAGAAAGTTACTTTCTCGAAGCAATTTGAGATTCTAGTTGGAAATTCTTCTACATTAAGAGTCAAAGAATAAGAAGATTCCTCTTGATGCCTCTAAGCTACATTTTCTCACCATCTTTCTCTCTCTCTCTCTCTCTCTCTCTCTCTCTCTCTCTCTCTCTCCTGTGACTGACACCTTCATCAGGTTCAGGGATCAATTTTCTAGAGGCTAAATTATGATATCATAATATTCCTACCTTCATGTTTAAGTGGAGTTCTGATCTTGTCTCTTTGCTATATTTGCTAACATTTCATGACTTGAGATCGCTCAAGTACACTAAATATCAATCAACAAAGAGACAGCAGAGATTGTCTTCTGGTAAGTGAGCTGCTGACAGCAATTTTCGATTTTTCTATCTTAAGATGAACTTAGCTTCCATGAGAAAGCTTGGTTACAGTCAAACGACAGAATAAGAAATGCTTCTTTTTAATATTATGTTCCTTCTCCCTCTTTTCTCCTCCTCCGTTCCATCATTCCTATCATTTCGTATATCCTGTGATATGTACCGTACATAGGGTCCGTGCGAATGCTGAAGTCTTACAGCAACCTTTCTCCTCAAGGCAACGCCCCCGGAGAAAAGGTTGCGGAACCGCGGGGAGCAAGAAGTAGCCAATTGTTGTTACAATCTGGGTGTGAAATGCCTGAGGTGATACCATGAAGGTTTCTTGTAACTCTTGTCTAGTTAGGATTATACGATTTGTGTCTGGAGATTTTGATCTTTCTTGCAATTTTATCACTGCGCCACAAAAGCTTTTTTGATGTGGAGGCCTTTAATTGACCTTGATAATTACACCCCCCGGCCAACAGTAATGCAGGCATTCTATTTGAAGAATTAAAGACTAATAAAGTGCCGTATTTTTTTTTTTTTTTTTTGGTTTCTTTTTTGGCCGATGTTTATTAGCCTGGAATAGAATGCCCTGTGCATCGACTGAGCCAAAGAATCCAAGGTTAGTTAGTTATCAGCAGTATTAATAATGGTTGCCCGGGCAGCCGTCCCGCTGCACGTGATATAGGCGTATTAGTTGGCTAGCTAGTCCTAACCAATAGAAGGATTAACCATCCATCATCCGCTTGTCATGTGGCCGCGGAATATTGAAGAAGTTGATATAAATATACCGTAGTGCGTAAAAACCCCGAATAATCTTTCGAACAAGGGCCACTAGCGATCCACTTGAAGTCTAACTTATCTCCGGTTTCTCGCTTGGCCTTTTTTTTTTTTTTTTTTTTTTTTGTTTTCCCTGTTAGTTTTTCGCAACAAGTGTGGGGTTGGTCGAGATTAGTTAACTCACACTCACACATAACTACACCTTATGTGGGATGGGTGTAACCAAGGAACAGAATGACGGGATCGGAATCGGGCCGGGAGGGATTGATTGCAGTCGGGGATTTCTCTTTTCTCTTTTCACTTTTCACATTGATTGATTGGTCTTTTGGTCCTGGTTTATCTGTGCGGATGCCAGGGGAGAATCGAGAGATTACTATGGAAGAGGATTAGGGTGTGTCGGAGAAAATATCGGTAGGGTGATTCGAGCATGCCATGGATGCACTGAAGGAATGCAGTGTGTGGTTCACCAGGCTGGTTTCCTGGTTGTCTGGCGCATTAATGTGCTTATTATTAGTCTGTAGGTATTAGTTAATAGATGGTTCTCACTCAAATCCATGTTCCTACCCATTCACTGAAAAGCAATGTCAATTTTACAAGCTTACTTAGGCACATGCATAATTAGTGGAATTCTAGTTATATATATACGCAAACAGATTTCTCGGGGTGGTAATTTTAGTCTCCTGTTCGTTAGATGGGATCCGATTGGCGCATGGACCGCCCTCAACCAGAACGTTCTCCCAAGTTTCTTTCTGATCTTCTTTTCCTCTTCCTCCTCGAGTTATTTCAACTTCATAGCCCCGCCCCCCTCCAATTCCTCACAGCAAGCGACTTCTGGAGTTTTGCGCTTGCTCGGCCCTGTAAAGCTCCAATTTTATATTCTTTTTCCCTGTTGATTGTGTATAGTTATACCCCAGTTTAGTCAATGAATCTTTCGTCTTCTCCTGTATATATCTTCTCGTTCCAGTTACGCCCCGCTGATCCCTAAGAACCGCAAAGGAAATATGACTGAAGCAGTAGACAGTATCCATGTCCAAACCAAAACTACTGATATGAATCATACTACAGCAGCAGCCTTCGATGGAAGTGTCGGGTCGCCCAAGGCTTCAGATGCCATCAGGGGTGGTAATGATGAAGAGGGCCAGGAGGGTCCACGTGCACCGGCTACCAAGAAGCGTTATTTCGCATACTTCCGTACCAGGGGGTTCTATATCGTGCTTGTGCTCGGGTTAGTTCCCCAGCTCATATATCCCTATCCTCCTCATCTTAAAGAAAGAGGCGCCGCTAATGATCTCTCAATGTCTGTCCGCAACAGCCAAATCCTCGCCCTATGCATCACCTCCACAAACACCTTCTCCCAACTCCTCTCCAACACAGGCACCTCAATCCCCGCCCTCCAATCCCTCTTCAACTACGTCCTGCTCAACCTCATCTTCACCACCTACACAATCAACCGCTACGGCTTCCCCCTCTGGCTCCGCACCATAAAAACAGACGGCTGGAAGTACATCGTCCTCGCCTTCTGCGACGTCGAGGGTAACTACTTCATCGTCCTCGCCTACAAATACACCACCCTCCTCAGCGCCCAACTCATCAACTTCTGGGCCATCGTTATCGTCGTCACTATCTCCTTCATATTCCTCCGCGTGCGCTACCATTGGGCTCAAGTCATCGGTATTCTCGTCGCCATCGGGGGAATGGGCGTGCTTTTCGGCTCAGACCATCTCACTGGCAGCGGTGGCGGTGGTGGTAGTAGTAGTAGCAACCGCCCGTCTTCCAGCAGCCAGATAAAAGGTGACCTCTTCGCCCTGCTAGGCGCCACTTTCTACGGCCTCACGAATGTTGCGGAGGAATATCTCGTCAGCAAGCGGCCCATGTACGAAGTCCTCGGCCAACTGGGTTTCTACGGCATGGTCATCATCGGCGTGCAGGCCGCCATTTTCGACCGGGACTCCTTCGCCAATGCCACCTGGAACGCCAAAGTGGGTGGATACTTCACCGGCTACACGCTGTGTCTGTTCATCTTCTACACGCTCGCGCCGCTGCTGTTCCGTCTGGCATCCGCCGCGTTTTTCAATATCAGTCTGCTCACGGCGAATTTCTGGGGTGTTATTATTGGGATTAAGGTTTTTGGGTTTTCAGTTCATTGGATGTATCCGATTGCGTTTGTGTGTATTATGCTCGGGCAAGGGATTTACTATTTGGCTATGCAGGATCTGGGTGAGGCGAAGAAGCCTTGGTTGGGCGTTAATCAGGAGAAAGGTGTTAGTGGGGTCGGGACGGCGAAGAGGAAGATTGCCGCTAGGGCTGGGGCTGAGGTTGGGACGGGGAATGGGAATGGGAATGGGAATGGGAATGGGAGTGATAACGCTGTTTAGTGGCGGAGTTCCGCGGGATTGTTTCTTTTTTGCCCCGTTATCCCCTCCACACAGATTCCATCCCCCCATCCTTTGACCACCAGCAACGGACTGGTCAATTAGATACATCCATAGACATGTCTCCCCCAGCCCACGCGCAGTCATGAGCAGGCCCCCTTCCCTTGGCTGGATTAGGGACCCACCACACCTTTCCTCCGTGTGGCGTCATATTTCCACTGTCCCAGAGGACATGATCCCGATTTACCTTGGTCCTTTTGTGCTTCTCACATTTACTTTATGGATAAAATCATCCAATTTCTTTTTGTAAGTATTGATGAAATATGTGCCAATTCCACATAGAAATCAGCCAATATCTCAGGCCGCCAAAAAAAGAGGGTAATTTTGACATCTTAGATATCACGCTCCACTCCTCAAGCCGAATAGGCATACATCTACAAGGCCCCCGCAAAATATATAAAGATATTATCCCAACCCACAAATAGCTATCCCGGAACGATGAACCACTCAGGAAAAGAGAAAGAAAATATCCAGTGTGCCCGAAAGACAAAAAAAATGCACGGGTATAAACAAGAGCACATCGCAGTCCAAATCCGAATAAATAAATAAATCAAGAAAAGAAAATGGCGTTGGGGAAATCATACCTCCCGTAAACTCGACATGGTCATCCATCCCGCCCCCAGCGCTCGTTGTTGCAACTTACCAACACCATCCGTGGAAGTAGTTAATCAGAGTTGCAGGCTCCATAACCCGCACTCGAAACCGAAATCGAAGCTGGCGGAGAGGGTTGTCTCAAACCAGCCCCTCCATCGGTGATAATAACAGTTCCACTACTACTACTACCACCCTTCCGCCTAGTAATTACACCCCCCCGGCTTCCCCGCATTGGTTCCCCCGCCAATCCCTTCCCCTTCTTCTTGTCCTCCGCTTCCTCTACGACTATTACGCCACTACTACTCCCAGCCCACCACGCAAAGACACAACCAACCCCCTGTCCCACAACCCGATACGGCAAATACATCAATCCCAACAATGCCCGCGCCGGCAGCATGACCATGCCGTACAACCAATTCAACAACGTCAAAAGCGAAAGGCGGTGCGGTGTCGTTGCTGCCAGCGCTGTTGCTGTTGTCGACGTCGTCGTCGTTTTCGTCTTCGTCGTCGTTGCGGATGTGGGTGTGGGTGTGGATTTGAGCTGCTGCGCCGTCGAGGCGTTTAGAGCGATGACGTCGTTCAGCCGCTTCTCGAGAGACTGCAGGCGCGTTTCGGTTGCAAGGGCATATTGGGCTGTGCGCTTTTCGTAGCGGCGCATGGCGCGGGTGAGGGCTGAGAGGTCTGTGGAGATTTGGTCGGGGGGGGTTGGTGTGCTAGCAATGGGGGCTGGGGAGAGGGGGTCATTTATGGGGCTGTCGGGGGACTGTTGCGGTTGAAGTTGCGGCTTGGATTGGGATTGGCGCTGGTGATTGAAGTGATAATGATGCTGGTGTTGGTGTTGATGTTTGCTGGCGGCGAATTTAGCGATATGGACTTCCAGCTCCCCGAGGCGGGTGGAGAGGTCGTGGATTTTGCTTGCGTCGATCCTCTCGTGGCGGTCTTGGGTGTTGCTTGCTGCAACAAGGCGTTGGAGGTAGAGGGTGCGTGCCTGGACCATCTTTAGGAGGTGCGAGAATGGGCGTATTTCGGCTGCGAGAAGGAAGACGGTTAGGTTACAGTTGGACACGAGGCCTTCGGAGGGGCGGGAGAGTTGCAATCTCAATTGGTGAAGGAGCCAGGCGCCAATTGTGGGGAAGAGGAAACAGGATGCTAGAGCTGCTAGTTCGTGACGGCGGAGTTCTTTGACTGCTGCTTTGGCAACTTCGGATTGTCGTGGTTGTGTCGTTGGAGAGCTTGTAGATGAATGTTTCTGTTTTTTGTTCTCTTCCTCGTCGTTATTGGGTTCGGATTCGGGAACCTCAATAGTTAAATCCATGTCGGATGCCACTTCTTGCGGAAGTCCTGGGTTCAGCTCTTGCGCTGAGCTGTACCAGTCCCTGAGAGTGATATTGTTAGTCGATGAAGAACATTACGTATATAAAATAGTATATCTTCTGGAGTAGGCTCTCCTTACCAAGGCAATCGAATGGACCAATTGAGAAAGATGGCCGCCAGAACCAGCAAGGTCATATCTGTTGCAATCGCGCTTCCATTGGTAAAGAGGAGACCCCAGACGGCTGGCAACAGCGCCAGCGCCAGCGGAATAGACTGCCAATGCGACTCATTGTTATGGGCCAGGGGTGTAGTTTTTGAATCAACCCGGGGTAAAATCAGATCATCCGTCGAAGACTTGATGGACTGGCGGGCTTCTAAAACAGTATCAGAGAAAGTCGAGCTGCGCCGCAACCTGCCTGGCCCAGGAAGACTCGACGAGGGCTCAGAGAAAGTGGTCACCACCGAACGAGTAAAGGGTCTCTGACGGAGATGTTGTGTAGAGGCTATCAGGCTGACTCCTGTTTGCGATGATGCTTGAGAAGAGAGTATTCTCGATTCAGCCATGGTGGGATCCTCTCGTTGGAAGCTAAGACGGATACTATCAGTCAACAACAGAAGATCAGGACGGATCGCGGATGAATAGGAGAACACACCGTTGTTGCAATTATTTGCTATTTTCATGGTTAATTTTATTAGTTGTGTCTGCGCATTGCGACGTCGTCCTAGCCCATCTTACTCTGGCTTCCGGTATTGACATCGAGAGGGTGCCTGCAAACGGTGTTCGATGGTTGGCTGCCAATGGGTATGACGTAACTAACTAGCGGAACCTCAAATTTGTCCAGCGGTAATTTTACACGTTGATGTTCAATCGATTAATCAGTTATGAAGTAAATAACAATCATAAGGCTATTGGCCTCAACGTTATATATTTATATCAACTAACTTCGTACAGGTGTCACAATCAGCACTCTTAACATAATATAAACGTTCTGCCCAGAATGAGGCGCAACCCCTGTGGATGAGTCTAGAGACTCTCAGGCCTACGCATGCTGCAGATTTCGGTGACAGTGCCCTAAATCTTAACTGGCAGCCTTAACTTCAAATAGTGGTCTGAAGCCTAAGATTTAGTTAACCGTGGCAGTTAATGATGTGGGCTTTCTTAGTGCCTTGGGCTTTTGATACCTGCAGATTCCGGACATCTTGCAGTGACCGACATTGATATGTCTATAAAATCCACATTTTCTTGTTAACTTATCATTCTTCAAATGATAAAACATTTCTCTGTGATCACAATATTTCTACTACCATCTCAGCACTTGCTCAACCTCCTCCAATTCTAAAAACCTCTTCTTCCTCTTCAGGGCAGCAGAAGTTCACCCCAAAAGCCATGAAAAGTCAAGAATTCCCCGTTTGGTGACCTCCTGCAAAAGGCCTTAAAACCCCTCGAATCTAGACTTTAGAGGACTAAAGGTATTCAATACAGTTAAAAGTAGGAGAGAGGGAGTTTTGGGGCACCGTTTGTTCACCCATGTAGGGATCAGCCCGCTGATGCCGGGTCCAGCTCTTCTTCATGAATGCGCAACGACCAACATGATACAGAGCCTACAGAAGCTTCTCCGCGAAACGAACTACCCTTTAAATTTTGAGGTGGATCTCGCCAAAGGGGCGGTAAGAACTAGGGAGTGAGTGTTCATCCAGATGAAAGCCATGGATATGTATGTAGTGTTTCTGCAGAGAACACACCCACGATGTTTTGAAAACTCGAAGAGATGTTGTGACAAGATGCCATGCACTGCTGTAGATTACAACGCAACGGCCAAGGGAAACAGAGTAAGTCGGTGCATAAAGCTTTGTTACCGGCCGGCTCGTATCCAATCGTCGCGTTGTTGGTCGGGATGGAGTTGGGGTCGAAGTTCGCCGAACAACACGGAGAAGGTGGTGTCAACGGCATGGAACCTGAGCATTTCGCGAGTCACAATTGGACGGAATGAAAAAATCGGACCGTAACTAACTGCGGGATAACTTGTCCCGACCCCATCTAGGCACCTTCATTCCATAGTGCGAAAGAAGCCCTTAAGAATGTGAAAAGTAGCTAAAAGTAGCCCTGAATTCTGTGCTGCTGTGATCTCACTACGGCCGTATAAATTTAGAATCGGGAAGAATTTCACCGACACGGAGGACTTGAAGTTATTCGCAGGCACCCGGAAACACCCTCCTGTCTAAACCCCCCCTACAATGATTCAATGAAAACTTTCCTTTGAGTACGGCATTAAGTTAAGGATTCGTTATTGTAACATCTAATCTCCGTTACTGTTGTTATCCTAAAGTCCATTATTGCCGTGTAAAGCAGACCCCATATGTCTATATAAATGGAGCGGTTGGTCACCAATTCATAGAGATGGAAACAATCAAGCAAACGAAGAAGAAGAAGATTACAGAAAATCGAACCTTGCTAGGAGTCTCAGGCATATCCTATCTCTATTATAATTACTCTGGCAAATTTGATTTCGGATAGTATCAAGTCGTGACCTCCATCCTTCTATTTACCCATCCGTGTGAAACGCGACATTCAGGATCAAAAATGACGTCCCACTCAAAATTCGGAGCTCAAACTACGGCAACCGAAGTTACTAAAGCATTTTCTGATCAGATTAAAGGATTGACCGGTATACATATTTTCTACGTACCCTATGGTTTCTCGGATGCTAATCATTCCTCTTCACAGTCCTCATAACGGGAGCCAATCCTAACGGTATTGGCGGTAGTACAGCCATGACAATTGCACAACATGCCCCGGCCTGTATAATAATAACGGGCAGAACGCAAGAGAAGCTGGACGCAATGGTCAAAGATCTAAATACCAGCTTTCCAGAAGTGCAGGTAGTACCCGCAATCGTGGATCTTTCTTCACAGCGTTCAGTCCGAGAAGCCGCGGCGGAGATCAGCAAAGCTGTCGAAGCAATCGACGTTGTCATTAATAATGCCGGCGTTATGGCCATTCCCGAACGCGAAATCAGCGAAGATGGCTTTGAGATGCATCTGGCAACGAACCACATCGGCAATTTCCTCCTCACGAACCTGCTCATGGATAAAATTCGCCTGGCTGCTATCAAACGCCCAGGCGTAACCCGTATCGTCAATGTATCGTCAGTTGGTTTTGACCTTTCCGCGTTCCGTTTCCAGGACTATAACTTCGACGGTCATCCCGTTGGTGAGGACGAAGTGGGACTTCCAGGGCCACTCGTGGCGTATAGCCTTCCAACGGAGCGGGTGGATCATTACATGTCATTGATTGCCTATGGACAGTCTAAGACGGCGAATGTGCTATTCATCACTTATCTGGCGAAGCACCTTGCAGGCTATGGAATCTCTTCTTTCGTGATTCATCCAGGAGGTATATACCAGATCCAATCCCTGCATCCCAAAGACTTTTCATCTTGTATTTCTTCTTTCCCCACCCCTACTAACGACCAATGAAGCCATCCAAACAGAGTTAGGACGACATCTGACCCCAACAACACTGGCAGAAATAGCCAGTGCTATACCAGGCTGGAAAACTCGAGATCAGGGAGCTGCAACGTCGGTGGTTGCGGCGTTTGACCCTGCACTTAAAGGTACGCATTCATGGATTCATGGCCTCATTGATTCGTTACCTTTGAAGTTTGAAGAAGAAGAGCGATTTGTAATAAGGCGCGCTATAGATCATTCCGGTGCTTATTTGATAGATTGTCAAATTTCATCGGCGCCTGCGTATGCTACCGATCCAGAGAAGGCGGAGAAACTGTGGAAATTGACGGAATCGTTTGTTGGGCAGGAATTCAGGTTGTAACTAGCACCGAGATCTGCGCTCGCTTCCTGATTGTGCTAAGGGTAATTTGGTGGTTTTTAGATGGCTCAATAGTTAATAGCGCGGGCTGTTTTGATATTCTGTTGATGTTCCCACTCACTGCTGGTTGTTATTAAAGACAATTCTCTCATTGTTGTAAGGGTTATTCTCCAGTTTGCGTTTAATGATAGATGGTGTTCAGTAATGACTTCGAAGCTGTTGGCTCCTCCAATGATGATATCTTTAGTTACAGGGTGTGCAGTTGGATGTGGGCTTTAAAGTTGAATATGATTCCAACACCTCATTAATACTACATCTCTCTATATGCTCTTGATGGCAGTGATTTTATCATGTTTCTCAGGTCCTTCAACCTTAATTAGCCCTAATCCTGGTTCCTAACACTGGAGTTGAGGGCGGCGAGATTGAATAGATCCGGCTAGCAATAACCAGTTTATGTGTTGGTCTATGCGCAGAGTAGTTTACTATTATTTTTGAAGTTGACCATGTCTCTAAAGAAGTGGGCTCAACTTGCAAAACCACATTCAAGTTTTATAAAACCATGATCAACTGTAACTCCCCATGTTTCATGTATTAAAATAAAGTGTAAACCGTTGAGATTTAGTCTGAGCAGAAGTTATTTGCTCCCTTACCAAGTAGTTAACTAGTTGGAGAGTTAAAGTTCCCACCCAAAACCCGCAACCACTCGCAGATCGACCCCTCAACCAACCAGATACAAAGTTATTCTCTCAACCCTCACATCCCCCCCCCCAAAACAAACCAAGAAAAGAATATGTCACGAACAGTCCTGATCACAGGTGCTACGGGTCTTCTCGGGCGCCAGGTCCTCAACGCCTTTGAGCGAGACAGCCTCAATTGGAAAACTATCGGACAAGGTTTCTCAAGAGCGGGGCCTGGAACCGCGGCTTCAGATACAGATGCGGAGATTATCAAGGCGGACTTGACAGATGAAAGTGAGATTGTAGCATTACTGGATCGGACGAAGTGAGTACATCTTCAATGTGAAGCGCAATGGGGAGAGAGGCGGGCTGTTTTGATATGCTGATGGTGATGATGAATGCGTACGTGCGTGGTAATGAAGGCCGCAGGTTGTCGTGCATTGTGAGTTAGATTATTTCTCTCAAATATATGCCTAATTCTGGAGAATTCTTATTTTCAAAATTACGCCCAATTGTGCTTTTACCTGAACGCAAATCTAATTCCTCTTCTCTTATGCCCAACCTTCCAGGCGCCGCCAACCGCTTCCCAGATAAATGCGACTTAGACCAAGACGCGGCCCGCAAAATAAACGTAGCCGCCACCAAGTCCCTCGCTAGAGAAACCTCTGCCCGATCCATCCTTCTTATCTACATCTCGACAGACTACGTATTCCCCGGCAAACCAGATGAAGCACCATATGAAGTCTCCGCGAAGACCGAACCACCAAACATCTACGGAGAGACGAAGCGAGATGGCGAGATTGCAGTGTTAGAGGAGACAAGGCAGTCGGGGCTTGGCGTGGTCCTACGTGTCCCCGTGCTGTATGGGCCAACAAAGCAGAATAGCGAGAGCGCGGTGAATGTTCTTGTCGATGCGGTGTGGAAGGCGCAGGATGTGAATGCCGGGATTAAGATGGATGATTGGGCGATAAGATACCCGACGCATACGGCAGATGTAGGCAGGGTGTGCCATGATATCGCTGTGAAGTATCTTGGTGACGAGGAGGACGTCAAGGCGCTTCCCAGGATCCTGCAGTTTTCGTCAGAGGATCGGATGACTAAGTATGAAATTTGCCAGAAGCTGGCGGAGATTTTGGGCCTGCCGTTACCTGGGATGATACCGGTGAAGGAGGGGCCGAAGCCAGGGGAGGTACAGAGGCCGTATGATACGCATTTGTCGACGAGGGAGCTGCAACGAATTGGAATTGGGGTTGAAACGCAGTCGTTCATTGCCTGGTGGTGAGTTGCAAACTCGTCCCCCACTTGATGGTGAAGCCGGATAGGGTGTGTGTGTGTGTGTACTACTGACCTACTGATTTAGGAGGAGGGAGCTTCGTGCGTTCCGGCACTAAGAGAGGGTAAGTGAGTGTAATATCAATTGAGGCTCCAGGTTGGCTTTGGCTATTTACGATCAGTAGATGTAAACGAAATAAGGGGCAGGGACAGGAGATTTGCAAGGAGTTATCACAAAGCATGAAAAACAACGAATCTAGCTCCTTAATTAATAATTAGCTACAACATCGGTAGTTAGAGATGTGTTAACTACTAAATGCCGTTGATGTTCAGCACCGCACATGTGAAAATGATGCCCTGTCAACCTCTTACATGCCGGAGAACACAAGGTAACAATGCTGCCTTGTGATGAAAACACGCTCATCGGATATTCCTCGGACATTAGGGTAGAATGATATCTCAGGAATTCTGTCATTGGCACGAAGGGGGTCTGCCAGCTCTTGCACCCTTGATTCCCATTTCTGACGCAGTGGAAGGGAGGCAGCTTGCAAATGTCAGGGATTGACGCTGGCACAGGAGAATTATCGGAAATGTGCAGCATATACGGAAGTATGACGGGATATGCTAGATAGATATTTAAATGATATCAAAAATGACTCCGGAGGTGTAGAAACCGAACAAAACCTCTAGACATTCAAAGGAGGAATGGCTACCTGGTTATCATGTAGTGAAACAGCTGTCAAAATGGGGTTATATAGCAATGATATCTGACAACAACCGAGCTAGCTCGCTCTATATAAGACCTACACAAGGCAATCCCATCTATTCAGCTGTTTAGCCAACTTTGCGCCCATTCAGCAAGATAGTGCGCCGGTCGAGAAGATCTGAGATGCAAGCTTGATGCATTCAACCCAACTCCCGGGTCTGCGAACGTTATGGGCCGGTTGGGCTGTCTCCATCGCAATTCTGACGTCAAGGAACAGGTTTTTGAGAATGTTGATTGGTTGCGACGATGAGCAAAAAGGAGAATAAGCTCCCATGCTTCCGGAGTCAAAAAAATGCTACCCTTGCTGGAGGCTATCCTTGTCGCATTTCCCCAGCTTAATTCGCCCGTTTAATGGCTGGGGTTGGACGTAGGGCTCTGCCGCTGTCAAGCTTGTTTTCTGAGCGATCTGGTTTGACGTTTGGAAGAAATAGATAAAAAGTAAGTTGTAAATATTAAGTAATTAAGTAAACATGAAATCGCCACGTTGCGAGCCAGAGGATATCAAAACGCACAAACGTCATTTAAGAGGAAATAAAGGAATAACAAATCTGAAACGAAGTGGGGAGTTTTCTCTTATACGCAGCAGCGTATATTCGAAACCAACCCCATTCGGGGGAAAATTGGAAAATTGGAAAAATAAGGGATCCCCTGCACTGTTTAGCGAAGGGATTTATTTTAATGCTATTGTTAGTGACAGACATTGATTGATTAATCATAAGATTAAAAACTTCTCAACAACCCTGACATCGCTTTTTCTTCTTCTCTGAGTAGTTAAATAGTGCAACAGAAATAAACCCAAAAAAAAAACCCCCAAAAAAAAGGACTTCTTCCCCCTCCCCCCCCCCTTTTAATATCTTTCTTCTTTTTGGCTGTTAGAACAAGCACTCTCTTGCGCTAGTGTTTGCTGTCTGGTATTCTGTCTGCATTCTGCAGAGCCAGGAGAATCCTTCACAACCGTGTTATTTTTTTTTTTTTTTGTTTCTTTTGAACTGGCTAATTGCGCCGTCGCGATTCTCCCGATCGACGCCGTTCCAACCTTCAAGCCGCCTAATGGGTCTGGCCACATTGGCTAGTACATTTACCTCCCAATCCTCACGTTCCACAGCCGCGATCGCCAACGCCAGATCCGTCTTCTAAATCCGCCTAATATTGCTGAGATCGAGAGAGATATAGTCTGGGCGATCCCTCTGCCAGCTCATTTTTGCCTCCTCATTTGGCAATCCCCCACCCTGTGGCGCACCAACGCACCACCGCCTGCCGCTCTGCTCTCCCCGCCACACGAGCAGCATCCTTCTTTTCCAGTCCAATTGATATCCCACTGCTGTCCGATATCTCGTAGGCGATAGCTCGCGCATGTAGCTCGCCTTTTATATTTGCCCCAGGAATTTGGCGATTTGTCTTGAAATTCAGGTCGCCTTGGCGACTGCTGTGTGACCAATGCGAGACTGGGGAGGACCTGGCAGTACAACACACGGAAATATACATCCAAGGCCGTCCGGGGAAGATTCTTAACATTTTCAAAGGCAGGGAGTGCGATACGATGGACACCTTATGAGACACAAGCAAAAGAATTGGTGACCACATTTGAAAACTACATCATCCAGGTGCCTTGTTGACTTCAACTGCGCCCACAATGACACAAACACCCAAAACAGCACTTAAATTTTCTAGATATCGGTCTGTCAGGAACGCCGCTGAGGCAAACGTGATCCAGAATGCGGCAGCGCAATCCTCCCCAGATCCCTCGAGTCCCACCTCTTTGTTTGGAAATGCTCAGAGTAGTCCTCCGTCCTCGGTCCCCAAGACCCGGAGTGAATCCATCAAGCGAAGTATGTCAAGATACCGACATGCAAAACCTGGTGCAACGAAGGCTGCCAATTCTGTGCCTCCACCTCCTCCGCTTCCTGCAGAAGTGGCATTACCAGACGGTCAACATACGCAGGGGGATTTCGTGCAAGACATTCACGAAACGAGACCGAACGAGCTCACCTCGAAAGAGGATGCAGGATCCACGCGGCACCAGCACCACCCAGACACAGTGCGTTCCTCCTTCGCCTCTTACCCTCAGGGGCCTGTGCAACCTCCGAGTCAGAGTTTCAAAAATGACTCGTGGAGTGCGAGATCGATGGACAGCGGCGTGGAAAATGCAAACTCATCCACAGAATATTTGCCCCAAGAGAGGAACAGTAGTGTATCCAGCATGGAAGATTCTCGACCCCGTCAACTCCATACGAGTATCGATGTCCAGCGCTCGAAAGTACTCAGTGCAACAAATAAATCACATAATACCCCAACCAAGCCGAGCAGGCTACGCACTGTTGTAGAACCAAGAACTCAGGGTGATCAGGACCATGTCCAACGCATCACGAGTGATGAACTCGCTGCGAACAAGAGGGCCGCGGCAAAACACCACGGCCCCAAACCAAAGCAACAATTAGGGAAAGGGAAGACCGGTGGGTTCCTGTCGAGGATGATGTTTTTGGATCCTACTTCACACTCGAAGTTAAACATCAACAGCGATAATCATAATCATAATAACAATCATCGCGATAAACTGAAGACACTGATCTCCTCTCCTCGGCTTATTCGCCCTGAGGAAGTCAAGGTGACTTCTGGCAACGACGCGCCTGTTTCTGCCGTGAACGCTGGGGAAAGAAAGGTCCTCGTGACCTGCAACGACTCTTCCATCTCCCTTCCAGTAACTCCCAATACCCAGATACAAGATCTTCTATATTCAGCAGCAAACTGTCTCCCGGAAAACATCGAACCACAGTCGTGTATCCTTTTAGAATCGTTTAAGCAGTTGGGCCTGGAGAGGCCATTACGAAAATATGAGCACGCTCGTGACGTCATGAATTCATGGGACACCGATTCGCAGAACCACTTGATAGTGTCACGGCTACCGGATAGGCGCGAAAGGGAGGGCTTGGATGTTAAATCAGCACCTCGTAAGCAACCGTCAGAATCTGTATTCCACTTCTACCACTCCCAACGTCCGGGCAAGTGGTATAAACGCTGGGTCACTCTGCGAGCAGATGGTCAGGTTGTTATTGCGAAGAAACAAGGAGGGGAATCTGTGAATATCTGCCACCTGTCTGACTTTGACATTTACTCCCTTTCCTCGCGGGAGACCGCGAAACGTGTTAAGGTCCCGAAAAAGGTATGTTTCGCTATCAAAAGTCAGCAGAAATTGAGCATGTTTTTGGCCACGGAGAATTTCGTGCATTACTTTGCCACGGATGATGAGCAGGCAGCGATTAGGTGGTATCAGGCTGTGCAGCAGTGGCGGAGCTGGTATCTTGTTAATGTTATGGGTGAGGGAGATAAGAAGGAGAAACAAGCGTTGAGTCCAAGTACGAGATCTCCTCAATCCGGAAATATACCAAATGGGTCAAACGATATTGGGAATTCGGATTCTTCCATTGGAACGTTTCAACTGCTCCTCGGCCGGGACCCTCCGTCATGCAAGTATGAGTCTAGCGAAAGCGACTCAGTACGAAAGGATGCCTTTGCCAAAGCAGTATCCATAGCCAAACGTTCTTCCCTCCGTACTCGCTCAAGACGCCCTCAGCTATTCTCATCCTTCAACAAATCTACTAAGGAGTCTATCAGCGAATCCGATGCCGAACCCTTCACTTCTACAGGCCTACTGGGCAAATCATACTCCCAGCGCAAAAAGGCCCTTGAGGACCGCGAAAAGGAAGCTCCCCCGCTGCCCTTCACCGGCCACGGACTCCTAGGCACCCTAGCCGCTGAACCTCCCAATTCCCCCACTTCGAGCCGCCGCAGCAGTCGCGATTACGCGGCCCAATCGCTTCCCACCAGCCCCAATGGCAGCATAAGCGCCTCCTTCAACAGATCCAAGTTCATCAAGCAGAAACCCAAACCCCTCGTGGACCTGACTCCCACATACCAAGAGCCAGTCCATCACGCGCGAAAGGGCCGTGGCGTTGCCACAGACCCAGGCCAACCCCTCGTTGAGGCCGCCACGAGCCCCGAGTTACTCCCAGGCGCAATCGTCATCCCCAGCGCAACCACTTGGCGCAAACCGACAGCATCGCTCACATCCTCTCTCTCTCAATCTCACAGTACCTCGCCCGACATTCCCCATCTGTCGTCGTTTAGTCGCAGTGGTGGTGTTGGCGTCGGTGCCCGCTCCTCAACGGCCCGCAGCACTAGTGTCCGCTACCGCCAACGAGCCACTTCGGTTAATAACCACGACTCGCCCTTCCCGCCTGTGCCGTTGCTGTCGGAGACCTCCCCGACACAACCGAACAGTCAAGGCCAGGAGCCCCTTTTCTCACCCACAGGTCTGCTGGCGCGGTCTATCAGTACCTCGCATGGCCACACGCCGGAAGTTGGCCATGGGGTGGCGACGGGCGACAGGAACAATTTTGCGAAGCCGATGCTGGATATCTCCCAGGATAGTCAGTTTGTGGAGGGGAGTTTGTTGAGGGAGGTTGAAGCTGGGGAGGTTGGGAAGGGGGTTGGGGGGAAGGTGCCTATACCTGCACCGGTTATTGATAGGGGTTGAAGAATGGGGCCGTCTGCCTTTTTGATTCGATCCTGTAGGGCCCTGGTTACAGTGCATGTGCTTCGTCATACTTGGGGAGATTTTATGTTTCTCATTTCTGTTATGTGAGGTCTCTCAATCATTGGTATTATTGATTCATGAGTGTAACTTTTTTATGTATGTAGGGGTTAATTCCTCCTCCGACCCGTTCGTTTCGTTGTTCATCCGGGTACTACTACCCACTGGAGGCCTCTGAAGGCCCACCAACATCTTGGTGCATATGTTCTTTGCCGTCAGTTCTGCTTCACATTTTCATACCCTACAGGAGGTATCCTGTTCTGATTGTTGCGTCCTAAAACCACATTTGGTTCCACATACCCTCTTTGTTTTTAACTTCCCAAGGCTGGACCTCCTACCCGTTTTAGCCTTGCCCGCCTTTCAATATATTTCCCGGGTTCGATCCTTTATCACACCAATTCGATTCTCTGTGGGCGGAAAAAAAGGTTTCTAGAACGTGTATCTCTCTCTACACCACCTGGGAAGGGCCCAGACGCGTATAAAGCACTTCAAAGCGGCAGACGGGAACTCTGCACACGCCGCCTATTGATAAAAGAGGAATCAGTTCCTCGTAGTCACGGACAAAGAGTATAGATCAGCGCACATATCAAAGTAACCATACAGCATCCGCTGAAGCCAGGTCTGTATCTTCCAGGAGGCCGTCCCTTGATCGAATAAGTGGGAACTCAGAACTATTATGTGCGTTGCACCCTTCTTGAGATATTACAACTAGACATGAACGACATGACAAACGAAAAGCCTCGCTTGTCCAAAACCAAATCACATATACCGCACATTGATTAGCCGAGTTTGTCCTCTAAGGTCAGCACGGCACCGTGTTGGTTAAGGTGCCCGCAGGAGCTCTCCACAAATTATCTCTTCTCCATCGCATCCCTCAAGGGGACATCCATAGTGAAAAGAAGATCATCGAACCCTATCCAAGCCGCGTAGACAAGACGCGAAGAGTGCTTCAGATAAGACAGTAAATACAACAGCGACGACGTGTTAAATCATCAAGCCATCATAAGAGCGAAATAAAATCCACCATTTCAGCCGAAGACACAAAAGACAAATGTGTCCCCAGCGGTGGTTAAATCTTAAAATTGTTCAAAAATTCCCAGCCGATCCGAAGACCAACATGGAGCGGTCAGTAGTTGTAGTTTTCAACTAGCAAAAACGTTGCCTCAGGCGAACCTTCACTGGTAACGTAAAACCCGTGCACTTGGATGGGGAAGAAAAGAAAGAAGAGAGAAAATCAGAATGTTTGGCTGGCGACGGAGGTATTTATGGCGCGGTCAAGGACGGCGCTAGTGGTAGCCGAGATTTGAGGAAATGTGATTGGCCGAGAAGGATTAGTCAGGAAATTCCAGGTACGTTAGGGTCAAGGGCCATCACGTGAATATGTTGCCAGATTACCGGGTTTGGGAAGGGAGAACCCAGAGGTTTGATGATTCATTCATTCCTCTCCAGCTTGCCAAAAGTGGACAGACTGAAGAGTGTGAAGCCTCGCAAGAAGAAGAGTAGCTGACTGTGGAATCCAGTACGGGAGACCCCTTAATTTTTCTCTTAAGGAATGTAACGCAGAACATGCCCCAGGTCCACACGGTAATAATAACTATGTAGCCGGGGGGGGGGGGGGGGGGGGGGGGGGGGGGGGGTTGCCCTCTAAGCAGGGGTGTATGTCGAGCGCACATCCATGAAACTGATCAATGGTATGAATGAATTAAGCGTAGCTTCATAGTCTATCCCTGGGAAAATTACAGTAGCAACCGGAACGTTATCTGCAGTTATTGCCATATCGCCGCCGTCATTCTCCTGGGCAACCCCACCAAATATATATATAAATAAATAATAAATAAAATAAATAAAATAAAATAAAACCACTCTCTCATTCCGCAGTTCAACTCCACGGGCTGTTCCAGGCTCTAGTCAACTAAGGCTGCCCCGATGGAAACGCTGTGGATCGGGCCGATGCCGCCAACCTCTTGGGCATGCCGGAACCCGATTCAGCCAGCAGCGTCAGAGGTTTATCTCTGCATGCACATGCACATGCACATGCACATGCACATGCACATATATGTACGGAGTATGTCCCCTGCTTATAGCCAGTGCGGGACTCCTTGTTGGCCTCGATACCAGGTAGATTACAGCTGATTCACGCTAGTTAGTAAAGAGTTTAGTTATATTTGTTACTCTGTATGAGAATGAGGCGAGGAACGTGTGAAGGCTGGATCAAGCAGGAGGAAATTATGGTTGTCGTGTGCTGTAGATAAATCATATACATAAGGAGTAGTTAACTAGTTTTATGATAGTTAACTAGATAATAATTATGTAGTATTTATTTAGTCAATTGATCTCGATAAGTACTTTTAATTTTAATACATGTTGGTGACATCTAGCTCCTCTTGAAACCGTTCTTGCGTTCGTTAGGCTACATTTAGCTACAGATTAAATTCCCCTGCTAACTGTATCTGTCTAGCTCAAAAGGGGATGGATATTGGTATGGGATTTCTCTGTTTTCTTTTATTGTTTAAACCCTAGTTATTTCGGCATTCGCTCTTTTATTACTACTATTCAGTTCCTCCCTTCATTCCAGTAGGTAGGTAATCTCTCCTGTTACTGGTAACCTCTCTTCCTGTTATCTTTTCCAATTCTTAAATTTCTTAAATTTTCTTCGATTCCCAGCCCTGTTTCTGGTCTGTTTTCTCTGTTTTCTCAGTTTTCGCCTTTCTGTATATATCACTATAAATTTTCACAGCCGCCTTCCGACCCCCCGAGTTCCGTTCTATAGATCTCACTCATCCTTCTGCATGCGCCCATAGCAGCGTAGCTTTGTGTCCTCTTGTTGTGATAAGCGGAGCCGCGCTACTCCATGCTGTCTGCTATTAACAATCTAAGATCGCTTTCTATTCATCCGACCAGAATGAAACACACCTCCCTCCTGTTTTCTCCCTTGAAACTTCGCCGGACCTTGCTGGCTGCTTTTCTCTCCCCTCTAATCTTCTCCTCCTGCTCTCATGCTGAGCGGAATTGCTACCTACCAAACGGCGAAGTCGAAAAAAACGATGCCCCGTGTTTTCCGCAGAATCCCGAATCTTCCTGCTGCGGCGGAAGCACTTATGTTTGCGCCACGAACAACATGTGTGCCCTCTATGACGGGTCGTATTATGTCATAGGTAGTTGTACGGATAAGTCGTGGAATAGTCCCGCCTGTCCGTCTTACTGCTTCTTTCGTCCGTATTGCCTCTCTTATCCTTCTCGATGCCATAGTTCTCCATACCAAACAAGTAGATTGATATCTCCTCCTGATAAAAACAGGCGACCACATCCACAACTCCGTCAAGCGATGCGGTAATGATACATATTGTTGCAATGATGGCCCCAAATGCAGTTGTGATACCAACAACAATACCCAAAAAATCCTCGACTTCCTCCCCGTCTTCTCAGAACTCGTGGGGTCCCCCGTCTCCCTCAACACAGCCATCGGATCCACTTCTCTCTTCACCCCATTCGGCGCCACACGGCCCGCCACCACCACCACCACCATCACCACGTCTTCCTCCACGTCTTCTACCTCGCCACCCGCCGTTGTCACCGGGTTCCCTGGGGCAAAAACAGATCCACCCGTTGCAGAAACCAAGTATAATAAAGATATCGGTATAAAAGTCGGCCTTGGGGTTGGCATCCCACTGGGCATTGTAGCAATAGTTCTTGCCTCTCTTCTCTATCATTTTTTGAAAAAAACCTCTTCCGGCAGCAGGGGTTCTGGCACTGGCCCCCGTGTTGCTCCTGCCTCTGGTTCCAGTTCCGGCGGATTTCTCAGTATTTTCAGGTGGAAAAAAGAGGATGTAAGCTTGCTGATCCTACTGTATTGTCATAGATTTATATCTATTATTTGGGATACTGATGTAGATGCAGCCCACAATCCGGCTTCCCATGCTCGAAAATTCATCACCCTCCGAAGTGCCCGATAACGGTCCTGCTCATGGTAACCAACCTAATTCCCTGCTTGGCTTCTATAAGCCATCTGCAGATGGAATGCACCCGCGCATTATTCATGAGGCACCTTGATATGTTGTAATTGCATTCTTGAGATCTTGAAGTTATGACGTGAAGTTTAAAAGGAAAACAAAACTACGGTTGGGTTCCGATTTAGGAAGGAAGGAACCATCTGAAGTTGGCACTTCGAATAACCTTGCTGAAAACGTTGAGAAGTTTAAAAAGGTTAAATAAGCTTATTTTCTTTCTTCTTTTATTTTTAAGTTTGATGATACCATAGTTCAACTCGCGGCTTCTTTGTCTTTTACCCTCTCTCTGCTTCACATGATTCCTTTGCCTGTTCAACTTCAACATTATGGTGGCTGCTGCGCGGCACGTTGTATAGATGTCTTTATTCATGCTAATCAATGTACAGTCCAGTACAGCTGTCAGGAAAGTTCTTCATCTAACCATCGCTTTTCTTTTTAAAAAAAGAAAAGAGAAAACATATTTGACCCCTTTCCTTCATTTCTCATAGTTGATGTGGTTGATTGTTTGGCTTGATGTCATTTGTCCGTATCTACTAATTATTCCATTTTGCCCGGACTTCTGATGTTTCCAACACTTCCTTTCCCTCTCTTTTATGTCTTTACACTACATGCTGTTCATGTGCAGGATAATGTTGCTTATAGATTACCCTCTCTGGCCCCTTTTCTATGCTTATCGATGATGTGTGACCTCAGAGTGAGCGAATGGGCGGGGTCACAAATTGACGCTGCTGTTGAGTTTATTAACCCTCCCCGGGGACCTTGGTTTCTCTAGTAGCTGCAGAGCCAGTTTGCTACGCAGGTGCACAGTGGCTACGACAGCTCCGAAACTCTATTCTTGATATGAACCATCAAACCGATTCCACGAGGAGCACTATTGCATTAAAGAACTGTATTCACATTCAAAATTGCCGCCACTCTTTATGGAACCCTTCATCATAAACCATGGCGGGGGGAAAGAGCTTCATTCATGGTCATTCAGGCATTTGGTCACGATGAGGGTACTCCGCACAAGGGTGTTAAAATCATAAAAGAAGATTCATGAGCAGTCATCAACAGCACATTCTGAGAAGAGAAAACTACACTCACTAGTGAAGATAAGATACTACTGAAATGACTGAATCAAGAATGTCAAATCTGTATGTGAATAATTGCTTGAGTATTCCTAGTGCGTCCCCCGGCTCCTAGATGCGACTTGCGATTATGGATCCTTATTCCCAACGGTACTAGACATTCCCTCCAGCAACTTCCCCATCGCGATTTTCTACCGCACCAATTGCCCTAAGGCAAGAGCAGTTACAGCACAACCGTCCTGTTTATCAGACTGGAGTGTTTCAATCGCAAAGACAACAACCAACCAAGAAAAACCCCAGCAGAATGTGTGCTTGTACGATTCGGGATCTCACACATGTCTGTGCCCTACAGAGAAGGCCGGGACGAACATATGAAGTTGAGAGTAAATGGCTGGTCAATCGGTACGCCGATAATAACTCTGGGCTGTAAGAACAGTCCCGAATAAGGGTTACGCAGGTCCTTCCAGTTAGCCGATTGTGTTACGCAAAGAATGTAAAGTTGGTCACTCCATACCTGTCTAACTATAAGATCTGTTCCTCAATTCCAGGACGGCACGCAGTACGCTGTTGGACTTTAAAAAAAGGGAGGAGTCATTGTTGATGTCTCCAGAACTAGCATAGATTCTAACCTAGGGTTTGTTAAGGGGTAAGGATACTGAAACGCAGCTTTGTGTGGTGGCTATTTGGTGTGCTGAGGTTAAGAGAAGCAGAAGGCTAGGGTGGTTAGGTTCTACGCGGTTAGGGATGATAAGCGATACTGCATTGGGGAGTGAGCGGGGTTGCATTGATTCATGTGGTAAGCAGATGTTGAGTCAGTATATGATAACCTAGTTAGTGTTGAGGGTGGATATATAAATTGGAGTCTGTTTGCGGTTCCAGAACAAATCCGCTACTCAACCACACTCAAAGCGGAATACATAGGGTTCACCCACTCAAAGACCTCGCAATATGGGTCATTGTAACCCGCATAGCGGACTGACAGACAACCGCCGGTATTCATTGTACCATATCCAGAACAGGTATTAGCTACGGATAATCGCACCAAAACGGACAACGTTGAGAACCCTCAGTATCACCGCTATTTGCTGAGGAACATTTGATTCGCATTTTCCTGCCTTGGAAGAACAGGGCGAGTGCGCGTTAGTTTGCGTCAGAATGCCACAAGGTAGCTGTGGCAATGGTGAGTAGATAGTTGGCTCCGCAACTGCTTGTATGTTTCCTTCATTAGATATTATTTCATATTCCAAAGGCCTATAAGTCGCCACATGTATATTATTAGCCCCCTGTAAGCAGGTTCGGATACTGTAGGGTTCAGATATTCAACCACACATGGCAGAAGAAGATTCATGGAGAGAAAGCTCAGCATCGGGTGCAGCTTCGACCAGTGTAAAAGTTTTTTTATTATTCACGGAAGCACATCCATTATAAATAATCAGAGTGCATGGGGCTGATAATATTTGCATTAATTTTTTTATTGGATGGCATCTTCAAGATTTGTTTTCTATGTTGGTTAACAGTTGAACGTGGGTCGGCTATTCAGGGTACAACAACATAGGGAATAGGATGCGAGTTTCAGGGTTATCTGTCACGAAGGAATTACGGCATGGTTTCACTAACTAGGCATCGATCAGCCATCAAACAGCATGGCTGGTACCAGAGGCTTTGCTAACTCTGAAACCAGGGGACTTGGACTCAAGGGATGCAGCGGCCGTTTGAGCGGCAGAGTGATCTCAAAAGTCCGAAACAAGCTGGGTGGGCATTATTTTGGGGCACTACGAAGTTGGGGCATTCACTGGCCATTTTAGCGAGTCAAAGACGTTCGACATCGAAGGGAAAAGGGCCCGAGGATGGATGAGGGGATATGGGGATAAGGGGATAAGTGTCAAGGGGGGAGTTAATTTAGAAACAAATAGCGCTTGTTTGCGAAGTTGGAATTATTCCCTGGTTGTGGCTGTTAGGCTGATTGATTGGTGTGTGCTTGTTAATGACCAGGAGGTGCTTGATTATTTAGTTGCAGAGAGAAATCCTCGACAGACCTTTTCAACAGGAGGAGGAGGAGGGATTCACCAAGGGTACACTCCATAGTGTGTAAGGGGTTAAGCACGGAGTACTCCGTACGCAGGAGTTATTGAGAGAGGAAGACATGAAATAAATGAATAATGGAGATATTCATTTGTGGGCATGATGATGATCAAGAAAATCTTTCTCTTGATCAGTATATCAAAAGAGTAGTTTTATAGGAGTGGGCAGACAGATAAGCTGCTGCAAGTTCTGATTCAAAAAAAAAAAAAGAATTAAAAAAAAAATAGTAAAATAAAAATAAAAATAAAAATAACAATAACAATAAACAATTAAAATAAACTACGAAGTTAAAATTTACTCCATCTCCAAGGTGCCAAGTTGACAGTTAAATAAAACCATGTTCAACTGCAACCCCACTAAACTAAAAAATATTTAGCTAACTAAACCACACAAACTCCGCTATTTCTCCCCAACTTTCTTCAGCTGCATCTCCACGATCCTCCCTCAGCATACCTGTACATGTATACCTAGGTACTGTACCTATTCCATGTAGTGTATGCATTAATTAGTTATTACTTAGTGCTGGCATTTGCTTTGATGTTTACTGGACAGCACCACATTCTTCTTCTGCCTCCCACTCAAGTCGCGATTCGCACATCCTTTACTCACATACACATACACGCACAGACATCCTGGGTCTGTATCCACATCACCAATAGAGGAGAAGGTCAAGTGCATTATGAAACTGTTCAAGAATTTCCTCTCCAAAGGCAAAAGAGAGAGTGCCAACCACTATGGCTACAGTCAACATGAGAAATGCAGCAACAAAGCCAACCACTATGAACACAACAATCCACAATATCCTACCCCCAACAACAGCCCGCGTAGGGACTTTACTCGAGAGCTGTCTCCCGAGATCCTCTCTAGGATCTTCGGCTATGTCTGCCTCCATACCCTGGATGACACCTACAACTCCTCCGAGGAGTCAATGACTGAAGACGGCTGCATGCTCTGTAAAATGCGGGACCTCGCTCATTGTGCCCTTGTGTGTAGGAGATGGCACCCTCCCGCCCACGATCTGCTGTTTGTGATAGTCCATATCTATTCCCGCATACTATTGAGTTATCAATAATATATCCAATATTTTAAGTGATTATTTTTTTTTACAGTGCTAACTATTCCCCTGCACCGCTACATCTAATAGGTACCAAAATGTCCGTATCGATGCTGTCCACTATTGCGACCTCGAGTACGAATTGTCCGCGAAAAGGAAAAAGAACTCCTTTCTTGATCACAATTCAGAACCACTAGACGCACCCATGACACGCTTGACATTGTTCAGCAGAACAGTGCGCGAATCACAGCGCATTGGAAAGCTGGTTCTTTCACTGCGGATGCCATACATGACAAGAGAAGCCGGTAAGCTACTTCTGGCACAGACAGTGCTGATGTTACCCAACCTACGATATGTCGACTTGCCCGCTGGCTTTTTCTGTGACGATGAGTCAACCATGATCCTCAAGCAAACAATGATTGCTCGCTGTCCCGATATTCGACGCATGCGATATGCCAGGGGCTCCGAGAAAACATTCAGTGCTATCCAGCAAGAGGATGAAGTATCAAACGTAGACCAATTTATATATGGTCGACAACAGCGCCACAAGCCTCAGCCCCCGCGGCCACAGATAAAAGTATGGCCCAATCTCGAGGTGTTAGAGCTATGCGGCCTAAACACTTCAATTGACGTTCTCCGCCGGGTTCTGAGCCGCCTCCCTTGCATGACAGATCTAAAGCTGGAAGATCTAAGCGAGCTAGAAAGCCTCATCTTCAAGGACTCCCCATCTCTATGCCCCTTCCCCCCCATCGAACGTCTCACCCTCCACGATACCCCAGGTATCACCTACCGCGCATTCATCGACTACTTCAGCACCAGTAACAACAGACATGCCCTCAAACACCTCACCCTCTCCAACACCGGCATCCCCCCCGGCTCCCTGCACCACATCCTCAAAAACGCCCCGCGCCTCCAAAGCCTCTCCGTCACCCAGTACATCTCAGACGCTTTCGTGCAGGACAACGTCCCCCCTCTCGCGTCCCGCTCCCTCCGTCTCCTCCACTACGAAATCACAGCCAAATCCGAAAATCACGCCGCCCACTACTACAAATACCTCATGGCATCCCTGCTTGCTGGCTCCCTCCCGTCCCTGCTGGATCTATACGTCCGCGACGCCTCGTTCCCGGAAACCCTCATGTACGCCTCACTCCCGCAGATGGGTCGAAAAGGTGGAGCTGGTGGAGCTGGAATTAAAGGCCTCAACCAGGCCATGTCCGTCTATAGCAAGGGGGCTAAAGAGGCGGAGTGGAACTTCACCGCGTACGAGCCGCTTGACATGCCTGGCATGGGGGGGCCGGGTGGTGGCGGTCGACGGCGTGGGAGTAGCTCGCGCCCTGTTAGTTTCCATGGGGCGCAGTTGAGTCCGGCGTGGGGTGACGAGGCGCGCAGGAGCGTGTTGGTTGGGAACGGGGCCGGTGGGTTCCTTGCGTTACCTGGTGAGGAGCAGAGGCCAAAGAGTAGCAGTGGTTATGGAGGTGGTGGTGGTGGGCCGTGGATGCATCGACGGGAGGGAAGTAAGCAGGATTTGTGGCGGTGATCAAGGGGCGGTTTCGGGATATTTTTCCATGTTCACTTCTGCTTTGGGGATGTCTTGGGTTATGTCGTTGGGGTGTTTTTTTCCCCCTACCTTTTGCTCTTGGATTTTCCTGTTTGCTATATGGGATTTGGATTGAATGGGTTGGATTTGTTTGATATCATCTGGCTTGATTTGGCTGGTTTGTTTTGGTTGCGTTCACTTGCTTAACGATATTATTGGGACGATAAGGGATAATGGCCTGGATACCTGAGTAGGTTGGTAGAATGTGGTGCTAAACCTGAGGAGGAGCGTCGTTCTTTTTCATCCAATCTTTCAGGGCTGGGTTGTTTTTTAATCTTTAATTGTTTGTCTTCTCATTGACGTGGTCTCGCCTGGTTTCTGCGAGTCCCCACCCTTTTTTTGATTCTCTTTATAGCACGTTGTTTGACATTTTTTGTTAGTTTTTGAATATTCCCCCTTTCCGCAAACATGTTTTTGACCTTTTATTTTATTTTATTTTATTTTTTTTTGGTTCCTTAGGGACATGCATTTGGCTCCATGTTAATGAGATTATGATGCCAAATATCACCGTAGGTAATTTTAAATAGTTCTGCAGGCTCTGCACAGGAATGAAACTGTTGAATAAATGATTATGTGGATACATTATACTTCGCCCGCCGAAATTCGACCTTCTCATGCTCGTTCGTATGTATAGACATCGTCTGCTTATGATTAAATGCTGAAGCCGTTTTCTCTTTGTTGATATGCTCTTATGGCAAAAAGAGGCCTGGCACCTTCTTTCGGTCTAAACCATGTATCGTGGTGAGAAAAATGGGAACGCTAATTCGCAATTAACATAGATCTTCAGAAGGCAGAGGTGGCAGAGATGTAGAGAATAGATACGTAACTAAGCTTGTAACAGGCTTTCTAGAGTGAAAATCAAGCCAACTGATTTCACCTTCTCATCGCCGGAGGTTGAGGGACGATCTTCTTGGAGTTGTGGCGAGAACATACTTGACCATTGTGCTTTGGCCTCCATGCTGGGAAGTTATCTGCGTATTTTAATTTGCCTCCCCCGCCCCGCAATTACATATCTTCCCCGGTTCTGCGCCTAAGTATATCTGGAAGGAGTATGATGGGTACTTTCTAATATTTAGGAAGGATACCACGAAGCCACTTCTCTCGTTCCATAGCTATCAATGTATTTCATGATGGTGGTTGTGTCATTCGTGGGCGCCGTGTGTATGTATGAGTCTAGCTTTATCGACCACTGAACACCAGCGATTTGAGAGATGAATACAACCTTCAACGCTTTTAGAGGAGCTGTGGAATAGGTATCCAGGGGATATGGGGTGTGGGACAATATGTCATCCCATTAATGATAAAACGGGGATCAGCTTGAAATCGTCCGCTTCTCTGGCAGTGCTTTTTGAGTTTAATTCTTTATGGCTCTGATACGTTGTGTCCATCCTATTGTGCACGCAAACCTTGCCGAGAGTAATCTGTAGAACCTGTTTTGCCCAAGTCTGTACTTGCACACCACTTGTGCATGCAAAGGCCGGGGTCATGGCTGCAGAAAGACGGGTATGAGCGGCAGCACGTGGAGAACACTGGCGAGAACCTTGCCGGATAGGGATGGGATGGGAGGAAAAGAGTGGAGCGCATTGGAGAAAAATGGGATGTTGGATATGGTACCATACTCTCATTTCTGTGAATAACCATGGAATCCATGGGGGGTTTTGGGTTCTTCTCTTGTGGTGTTTGATTTATTCACACCGCCCTTCTTTTTCACCTTTCCACTTTTTCAAATAAGTTATCCGTTTGAGTTAAATATGACATTTCCGAGCCCCTAGTTAGTTAAGGGTGCGAGAAACGTGATGACAGCGGAACGAATCATCCCAGAACCCTTGGCGGGTGGAATTTGACGAAAGCACGCAGTCAGCGGTTCGGTGAACTCCTTACCGACTCCACTAACCAGATTCTTCTTCCCGAGCAAAGAAGTGAGCTTTACTCTTTTCCGCAAGCACCTGTATCAATTAATCATTTGAACAACTTGAGCAGGAGAGCCTGAGAGCGTGAGTTTATCGCGGATCTCTCGGCAACTATCTAACCTCCATACGTTTGGGAATATTTGGGTGGATTGTGTAACTATGTGCCGTGAGAAAACCAATAGCAATTCCCTGTATTATCGTGCATGTTGCTCCGTAGACAGAGATATACAATGTATATATGATGTTGGGTGTAAGAAGTTGCTCTCTAAATGAAAAAGCAGACGACTAGTTCTATATGGAGGATTGTTGTTCGTCAGGAGCCAGCCCCGGCCCAAAACGGCAAGTGCTTGGCTTGCCCAGCACCTGCAACTTCCGACCTCAACTTTTTTGAATTTCTGAACTTTTTTGAACTTTGGATCTTTTTGAACCCCAATGTTCAACGTCAACATCTCCATATCCTGCAAACCACGGCACACCACCCACAATCCTCCCGCCCCCCCCCCCCCCCCCCCCTCCTCTCACTGTGTGTCTATCCTCTCCACACACACACAGACGGACAGACACCAACCCAATCCTCTCGGTCTTCACGCTCTCTATCCCTCTCTCCATTATCCCCCCTATCCCCTCTCCTCTCACACTCTTTTCTCGCCTTCGTTTGTTGCTGTGTGTGTTTGCCTGTGTGTGTGTTGCTGGCTGCTGCTGCTGCTGCTGCTTCTCTCTGCCAGTAGTATTTAAATAAAAATAAAAATAAAAATAAAAATAGCTTAGAGCCCCCCCTCGTCTCGACCAGATAAATCACCAATTCCACCATACCCACCACCATCCCTCGTGATCCTACTGGTCTGACATCTCACCCACCTCACCTCACCCTACCCTCCTCCCCGATCAATTCATCAGTCCGAATCAGAGATAATGGCTGCTATGCATCCGCCCTCCCCGAAGTTGGACCGTTATGTCGTTATCCATGTTGCTACCACCTGCGATGAACATGGCGTATACGTCACCAAAGACTCCGCTGAAGTTATCGAACTGGGCTGGATATTGTTGGACGCGGAAAACTGCAAGGAGGTGAGCTTTTATTTTGCTTTGAAGAAAACTACAGAAAGAGGGAGATAAAAAATATCTATAACTATAGATTTTATGTCTAATTGGTTTTTTTCTTTCTTTTTCTTTCTTGTTTGGTTACGACACTTGCTCTCGTGGATGTTGCGATAGTCATTTGGTTTGACTAACGTTAACTATAAAAAAAACAGCTTCATCGAGAGAGTGTGCTGGTAAAACCAGTCAACACCCCCATAACTCCCCTATGCAGTGAGTCTGACCCCTTCCCTCCCTTTTCTTTCTTTTTTTACATCTCAAAGCCCAAGAATTGAAGTCCTCTCACGTTCATTTGTGCCAAATCATATGGACTAACCATAACGATTAGCAAGCCTGACCACCCTCACCTGGGAACATGTCCGCTCGGCAGGTACTTTTCGGGATGCCATCAACCAGTTTGATGCTTTTGCTCAAGAGCACCTCCTCTCAAAGAATTTCGAGTTTTCCTTCGTAACTCTGGACTCTTGGGATATGCGTGTCCAGCTCCCCCGTGAAGCCAGAGACAAAGCTGTAGTCCTTCCCCCGTACCTGCAACACTCGCGTACTTTTGACCTGCGGACGGAATATCAGCGATGGCAGCAGCACCACCCGGAATCCCTCCCTTTTGGCCCGAGTGATCTGGCCAACATCTGTGCTGCTCTCGAGGTTGAGCCCATGCAGTCTTCCGCTCCCATCAAACATAATCTTCCCTTCCATCTCCAGGCCCTGGCTCCTGCCTCGCCAAGGCGTGCCATGGAGGAGGCAATCACTCTGGCTCGAGTCCTTCACGGGTTGATTAGAAAGTCACAGCCGCCCCACGAGCATCCTGAGATCCTCACCCGCCCCATGGATGCACGAGCTGATGTCCGTGCCTTTTTGGCTGAACGCAGCAAGGTCCTTCATATGAGTGGCCTGCCGCACGACACCACCCAGTCCGAGCTGGAGAGTTGGTATACCCAGTTTGGAGGCCGTCCAATTGCTTTTTGGACCTTGAGAACACCTGACCAGCACAAGCCCACTGGAACTGGATTTGCGGTGTTCTCATCTCACGAGGAGGTACGTAATGTGTTATAAAAATGTTTTTCTTTTCCTTTTCTTCCGAACGGCTTATTTTGTAACCGATTCTAATTTTACTTTTCATTGTATATAGGCTGCGGAGAGCCTTTGCATGAACGGTCGTGCTCTCAACGACAAAGCCATCGAAGTATCCCCTTCCTCTAGCCGCGTCCTGGATCATGCTGCTGAAATCCTTACCCCATTCCCTCCCAGTAAGAATCGTCCCCGCCCTGGTGACTGGACTTGCCCGTCCTGCGGATTCTCTAATTTCCAGCGTCGTACTACATGCTTCCGCTGTTCTTTCCCAGCTGTTGGTACTGGCCCGGACCCAATGGCATATGGAGGCTACGGTTACGGCCCACCATCGATGATGCCCCCACCACATCATATGGGACACCATGTAGGCCATGGAGGCCACTCGCGAGGCATGGGCGGCAACGGCGGCGTTGTCCCATTCCGAGCTGGTGACTGGAAGTGCGGTGCAGAAGGTTGTGGCTACCATAATTTCGCGAAGAACATCAACTGCCTTCGCTGTGGTGGTCCCCGCTCCGGCGCTGCTGTTGTGGCTGATTCCGCTTTTCCCTCTCCCATGGAACCCCCCTCGGGCTTCGGAATGGGCCCCCCATCCATCACTAGCACCCCAGGCCCAGGCCCTTTCGCCTCTAGTGCAGGTGCCTTCGGTGCCTTTGGTGCCTTCGGCCAGCAATTTGGTGGGCCCCCAAGCACCTATGCGTTGCCCTCAGGCATTGGGGCTGCTTCTGGTCCCTACCCTCCAATGGGTCAAATGGGCCAAATGAACCCTCCTTACGGGTCGGCCAACGTATCCCACTCCGCTGCCTCATTTGGTAACCCGGCCACCCAGGCTGCTTTCACTAGTGCAGACCACGTCCCCCAGGCTGTTGGAGCCTCCTCCAACGGCAACTTCTATGGTAATGATGGCGCAGCTGATCCCTTCGCCTTCTTGACCACGGGCCTCGGTGCATTGGCTGTGGATGACGGCCGCAGGAACGGTGCTGCTTCTAACAAATCCCCAGCATAATTTGATACTACATACGTCTCACCGTCTCGATTTATCCATCTCGCGAACATTACCTCGAGACCAACGTTTCGCGTCTTTTTTTGGTTACCTTTTTGTCCAACCTCGGCAGTATCCTTTTTTTATTTTATCTCTCTTTCAATTGATCCGCAAATATGGTGCATTAGCTGCTTCTCTCTCTATAGAGATATCGTTTCTCCCTCGCGATATTCAGTGCATTGGGTGGAAATAAGCAGTTACCCTTTTTTCGGAGGGCAAGGTGTTTTTATAACCAGAGGAGAAAGCCCTATCTAAGTTGAAAAGATCACTGGTTTTTTTAGCAAATGTTCATCTTACGACCCTTCTGGTCCTTTTAATTCCAGCTTGATGGATAACTGGAAAAATTTGGCAGAGCAACTCGATCGGTGGCATTTGCTTAATCTTTCTTCCTTCCTTCCTTCCTTTCTTTTTTGGTATTCTTTTGCTGTTTAATGTCACTTTGTGTTTGATTCATTTTTTTCACCGTTTGTATTTTCTCAAGTTGTTTTCATATTCGCCAGTTACTGCTTCTTTTTAAGTATGGAACGGCGGACCAGAACCGATGGCGGAGCAGGGAGGACCTTCGGCGTGGCATTGCATGACATGTCAATGGGGACACATAGAGATGCTTTTTTTTCCTTTTGTTGTTATTATTATTGTTATTATTTTCGCGCGGAACAACATCACCGTCGTTTACACGATATCGTCGTCATCGGCAGCATAGCGAGCGGGGAAACGAAAAATAAGTTTTGAAGCGTTTGTTCTTGGGATGGTATGGGATAATCGAGTGTACTGGATTTGTTGCCGTGGTTTGAGCTTCAGCGGTGGCAGGAAAGCAAAGGGGGAGTATGTACGGTTTGGCCTATCAACAAAGAAAAAAATGTGCAAATTACAGGGTGAATGGGGGGAACAAGGGATAAAATTCTAATTTGGATAACTTTACAGGGGAAATTAAACAGATTGGGATGGATATGGTACGGAGAGGTTATAGAAAAGGAATTGTTGGCATTGGAACCAAAACAAGGTGAAAATCAATTTCAAAAAGGGGAGGACAGAAAGAGACGGAAAGAGAGGGCAAATTGAATTTGAGAGGGAAACCATCAATGCTACGTTTGCTACACACGGACACAACACTTTTCCCCGCCGTGTATTTCCTCTCATGGACTTCGTTCAGGTTGCTTCTACAGAACCTCTTGTTGTTTATCGGTTGTAGAACTGATCTATTTTGGAATACTTTTTTGGCCAAGTTTGTCGGGCATTTTATATAACTTTAAGCAAGCGCCGGGGGTGGACAGTTTTTAAGGTTGTTGGAAACCGGGAAAACGGAATGGAGCTTCCTTTTCTCTCTCTTTTATTTTTTTATTTTATTTTATTTTTATTTTTATTTATTTTTATTTTTTTGCTTGCTGTTGATTGATGCTTGTTTGGGGGCTGCTTCTGTTCGGATTTGTTGGTAGGTTGGTCGGTTGGCTGGTTGGCTGGTTGGTTGCATGGCAAATGGCATCGATTGGGTTTTGATTTTAATTTTAATTTTTTTTTGCCCACTCCTTTAACCATTTCTTTTCAAACTTGGATGGAAAAATTCGTGGGCAGAAACTTTTTGGAGTGTTTGGTGTGTGGTTTGGTGGATTCTTTCATTTCCCCCCCCTTGATTTAGCTGCTTAACTCTACTTTTACTAGTCACCTTTTCTTTCCTTTTGATTGTTATATTTTTGGTCTATTTCAGTTACTTCTAGCTCCCTCTCTTACCACTTTTTTCTCTTTCACTATTATTGCTTGTACGCTGCCCCGTGTCTTGGTGCCTGGTCTATTTCATTTTACCTTATTTCTTGCCATGTGTCTGTAGTTTGAGACCATCCCCCAAGATCGCGTTTTTTTCTCTTGCTTAACCCAACAACTCATCCTTCCACTCTATTTAATAATGCTGCTGTTATTGTCTTCATGAATCGTAGCCAGTTTTCCAGGTCACTCTTTTCCATCACCTTTTTCTTCACAACGAAAAAAAAAAAAGAAAGAAGAGCGAAGTCGACCTTTTTGAACTTCAAAGCTTGAATTTCTCCGGCGATTATGGATAACAGCAAGAAGGACGGGGCACCAAATGAATTCCCCACACATTACATATGTACCTGTATGAAACATTGTTCGACGATTCTTGCGGCTAGTTGGGAAATCTGTGTATGTATATATATGGGGTGAATGTGTAACTCGCAGAGCATAGCCGTTTACATGGTAGGCGGGTAGCCAATTGGGAAGGGAAGTGTAGTCAGAGCGCAAATAACTGAATGATATAACTATACGGAGTGTGATGAACAAGGTGCATCGAGTAGTAAGGCTACGCTTCATTCTACCTATGCTCCATAGATATCAGGAATCCAGCACTGTATAACAAACCAGACCATGAGGACACAGGGGACCATCAACTAAGAGATATCAATCCCAAAGGACAATAAAAGGAGAACTATAACTGCAGGGAACAGAAATATTCTGGAAAATAAAAACCCCAGATGCCTTCGCCCAGTGAACCAGATACAACTGGCAAAAGTATACTGGAAATATAACTGAAAACACCACCTGTGTCAATCTACCTATAATCTCCATGCCCTCCTTACTCCTCAGCATCCGTTAACACATCCGTCGTATGGCTCCCCTCCCGCTCTCGTTTTGGAACATGCCCGCCATCACTGGGACTTCTCGCAATGACAGTATCATCCCCATCTCCCACTTCTGTTTGTACATCATCCAAATTCTCACTCTCGCTCCGCACAGCACTCAAAACACTCTCACCATCCTCGCTCCGCTCCTTCTTCACGGCCACGGACGCCATAGACGACATAGAAAGAGCTAGAGACACCTCCCTTGACATCCCTCTCGTACCGCGGCTCATTCCACTATCCCGTCTACTACCGCTGCTAACGGTACTGCTCACTGATACCGCCCTACTTGTATTCCTCATCTTCCCATTTGGTTTAGCAGCTGCTGCAGCAACGGCCGCGACAAGTTTCAGAACTGCATTTTTCGCTTTAACCAATGCATTCCTCCCCGTCGCATCGCTCGCGACGCCAGAGGTGATCGCCTGATCCAACAAATCCTTTACAAGCAACGGTAGCTCCCCATTGTCGTCAGACGCAAGCTGAACTTGATTGTTCACATTGTTAGAGCGCAAGCTAGAGCGGAGGATTTCATGATCATCCGCTCCATCAGGGACCCGTGATCCAGACTGCGAAGGCGCAACTGCCACCGGTGGGGACGGAATGTGTAGTTTTCCCAGCATGGAAAGAAGATGTCTCTTCTCCTCCTTGGTCGACGCGCTAGTGGAGCCAACGCCCAGGAGGCGTTGCAAGATATCTCGCATGAGGGCCAGATGAAGGCTGTCGCTGGGTCGGAAAGGGGTGCTGTTGGTAGACACAGAGAGCCCTGGAAGTTGAGCTTCACCCCCTAACCCGACTATACGCCTGTCATCGGTCCATTCGACAAGCATTCCCACTACATTTGCCATAAGGGACTTGACCTCCTTTTCCCCAACTGTTTCGTCGATCTCACCGTCGCTGTCTTCATCAGCTTCAAGGGAATAGAAATCGTCAGCTGCTGATAGGACAGAACGAATGACAGGTACTGAAATTTTGCGCATATGTTGAGCGTTTGTGAGGCGGGAGTGACAATAGACGGGGAGAAAATAACTCAATGCTTGTCTGAGAGCTGGGTTGTCTCGCGTACGAGGATGAAAAAATGAAATAACGAGAGCTTGTAAGAGAGTGTCAATAGAGTTCTCGTTCAGCTCTTTAATTGACGAGGGTACGTTAGGACCAGACGGGGACAGGGCGCCGGTAAGAAGCAGTTTCGCTAGTGCCGTGACGGCTGCTGTTTGGACAATAGGTGGAGAGTTGGTTTTTAAGGACTTCGCAAATACCTTAAGCAATGGTTTTTGAAAAGGGGGAGTAACAACAGAGTTGGCCTCGTTTGGAGATGGGACTGGGAGAAGTATCGAATGATGTGTTGTGAGGATATCGGAAAGAATTCGTATCGTTGTTTCTTGTAGTGCTTCATGGCCTTTGGTGTAGCAGTAGATGAACAAACTCATGTTCTCTTCAGCAAGTGTCTAGAGAATAGTTAGATATGTGCTATAGTAAACATAATTCGGGTTAATTTTCTAGCGGCTCACCTTATCCAATAGGCAGCATAGACCCAAGCACTCGAGGCCACGCTCTCTGATAGGAGCCTCGTGGCTCCTAACTGCTGGTACCACCAGATTATTCAACATGGTGACCAGGTGCATATTATCCTGCAAGTTGCCTTGAACATTCTGCAGCATGCATTGCGCAATATAGAGGCATTTCATGTTAACCATAATCTCGCGCAGAACCTTGGCTTTGGCCTCTTCCTTATTAAAAGGGACCTCTTCACTATCCCCTTCATTTTCATCAACTTCATCATCAGGGGTTTCTGAACGGTTTCGCTTAGATGATTTCTCTGAACTTCCCTGACTCTGTTCAGACTTAGCAGAAACGAAGCTGTCCTCCGAAACGATCGTATCATGCACTTCAGCGACGGCCTCCAGAACAACGCCGCAAAATTCATTCTCGCCAGAAGCGTCAGGGCCGCAAACCGCTCGCAAAGCCTCGACGACAAGCTTTGTTACCTCTTCAGGTAGGTTAGGCACGGCCAGAGTCTCCCTAAGGAGAGAAAACATCTTCCTTCTGCCCACTTCGTCACTGTAATCAAGCGTTAGGGCTATATGAAGGAGTTGTTCAACGACAAACTCGCATTCAACGGTTTCCTCTTCGGCACGGTCATCCTCGCTGGGCTGATTTAGCCTTTGCAAAAGATCGCTGGCATATTTATGAAGGTAATAAGCTAGTGCAGTCACTTCGGGAATCTTTTCATCTGCCAAATCGTCATATTCACCATCACCCTCTTCCCAACAAAACTGGTTGAGGCTTCGCGCCATGAATGCGGTTTCTGGGGTTAGAGATTCCCAAAATTGTTCATTGAAATCAACCGCTTCACGGTAATCAGGACGGCCTTCCCAGAAGCTTCTCATCGCATCGTGGGCAATTCCACCTTCAATACCAGAGTTGACGACATCTATACGTTCTAGGAGCTCCATCAGCGCGGGCATGCTGAGTGGAGCACTTTTGTCTGCGGGTTGGCCGTTCTCCTCTGTTTCTGGTCTTCCGGCACAATCTTCAATCCATCGCTCGTAAAAGAGTCTCCCTGCCGCTTTTCTAACGTTATCATCTCGATCTCTGATTCCCCACCGTAGTAGTTTTTCTCTCATTGTCAACGATAGATGTCTAAAGTCCCCCAATTGCGGAAGCAAACGTGAATATAATGCTCTCCGTGTCGGCGCATCCAGGTCTCGTGCTCGTTCGAGGAGGTAAGGCAGGGTAGTCGGGGTCAGTGGAAGGTTAAGAAGTAATGTTCGTCGTACTTCAGCACTGGTATCGTTTTGGAGTACGTCCAGAAGCTTGTCCAGGAGAGCTGCTGCGCCGTTATTTTTACTGGAATCATCTTCCTCGTCCTCATTTCCCGCGAGTCGGCCTAGACCCATCACGGCCTGTACGCGGACGGCAGGTTCTTTATCTCTAAGGCGTTTAACTAAGCCTTGTCTGATGAGGTGGTACAGCTCATCATCCACAGAGTCCAGGGAATTGACAATGTGGGTCACGATTTGTGTCGCTCGATATCGGATGACCCTTTCTTTGGCAGCTTGCAAGGGAATCATTGTCGACACGATATCGAATATTAATCTCAAGGTAGGCGTTTCTGGTAAGGTTTGTGTTTCACCAGGATCACCCTGAAGAAATAGCTCAAAATCTGTGTATCTGTTAGAATCTCCATAGCACAAGTATAGTTTGCTACATTTTATTTCTCTTATCTTACCTTTCTCAGAGGCATTTCTCAGGAACGTTCCTAAGAATTTAATAACCCGATCTCCGACCGCCTCTGTCTTTTTCACAACCAGAACTCTCAACATGCATCGAGAGATCTCGATATTGAATTCCTTCTCTGCCACTCCACCGCTATCATCGAAACTATCATTCATGAATTCTTCATGGAGCTTGTTCCCTTGCTTCGCTCTCCCCTTCTCCTGTCGCAATCCACAACTTACTTCTTGTATTTTTCTTAGCCGCACTACAAGCTTTCTGTGGCTGGTGGCAGAGCGTTGCGCATCAGTGAAGATCTCGACTATGCTTGCGCGGAGGTTGGGGTTAGACGTAGGTAAAGGAGGCTCTGGTGGGATGAAGACATTCGGCGCAGTTCCAGAGGGCGGGGCAGATGATTTGCGAGAGGATGTCACCGATGAAGCGCGAGCAGCGACTCGAGACGGCATGGTGATTATCGAAAGCGCTATCAAGTATCAGCGCAAGCTGATTTGACTGGAGAAAATGTATGATGACGTTCCTGTTTATCCTGCCTTGAATGGGGTTCGTCGCCGCTAATTTTGGAGAGGAGGAATCAGTGAGTGGGGATAAAAATAAACAATAGTGGATACAACCATGTTATATACAAGACTCAGAAGTTTGTCATTAGTGTCGTGGGTTGGTTAAGTCACCTCGTTCCTTGGATGTCGTTGAATGCCGATGCGTTTGTTTACATCTCGAAGTTGAAGCTGTAGCGTGGAACAAGGCGTTAAGCCTGTTTGGGGTTAGAGAGAGCTCGGGCCAGCTGTCTTGGTATCTGGCTTATGTAAATGACGCTAACACTCACCGATTGCGCTAAGATAAGGGCTCGAGAATTCACGTGACTTAGCTGGTGGCAGTTTTTTATTAGGTAAGCAACCATTCATCCTTTTTTCCATTAAACCGAACAATAGAAACAACACAGAAACATAGACATAAATAAAAGCCCAGTTTTCTATTTGCTAGCTATCAGATGAAAACGCTGGCAATATATCATCTTCCCCATACAACGGCTAAAATGCACCTCTCATCCTCTCTTTGCGGTTCATCGAGGTCTACGGGGCCACGTGACCAGTTTGTCTTCGTCCAATGTATCTCGATCACGCGATTTTATGAGTTTATAGAGATAGATAATAGGTAGTTCAACTACAACCTGGATAGCTTTGAAGCTGTGTCTCTGCGCACAACTACCCCGGATATCTTTAATATTAATACCAATTGGCTCTTCCCGGCTCTTTCAATATTTTATAGCTCCAACTATTTAATAGGATAGCAGGCAGTATGTTCCGCAACAGTGTCAGACGCTTCGCCGCGACGGCGTATAGGTCAACAGAGACCATCGCGCAAACCGAGGCGAAAAACACTTACTCCATTCAAGTTTCCAGAGCCCAGGGTGTTGTTAAGGGCCTCATTGGAGGTATTTAAGCTCCTTTACTCTCCCTCTTGTGGATTAAGAGCCCCATTCGGTGCTTTGACTTGTGTCTCACTTTGTGGTAGCAATTGGAAATACCCCCCTTATACGGCTGAACCGTCTGTCCGCGGAAACTGGCTGCGAAATCCTTGGCAAATCCGAATTCCAAAACCCAGGTGGAAGCGTCAAGGATCGGGCAGCACTATATGTTGTCCAGGATGCGGTGGAGCGAGGGCTTTTGAAACCCGGTGGCACAGTTGTTGAAGGCACTGCCGGTAACACTGGAATCGGTCTGGCCCACGTTTGCCGGTCAAAGGGTTACAACCTCGTCATATACATGCCCAACACGCAATCACAGGGCAAGATCGATCTTTTGCGGTTGCTGGGCGCAGAGGTATACCCCGTCCCAGCCGTTGCCTTTGACAACCCGGCAAACTACAACCATCAAGCTAGACAACATGCCGAATCGCTCAACAATGCTGTCTGGACAAACCAGTTTGATAACACCGCCAACCGCCGTGCACATATTGAGACAACAGGGCCGGAAATCTGGGCGCAAACTGGGGGTAAAGTCGATGCCTTTACATGCGCCACTGGCACTGGTGGCACGTTAGCGGGTATCACCAGATATTTAAAGACGGTCAGCGATGGTCGGGTGAAGAGCTTCCTCGCAGATCCACCAGGAAGTGTCCTGTACAGTTACATAACAAGCGGTGGAAAGCTTATTGAGAGAACTGGGAGCAGTATAACAGAGGGAATAGGCCAAGGCCGTGTCACAGACAACCTAAAACCGGACATCGACCTTATCGACGGAGCTTTACACATTAGTGATGAGAAGAGCATCGAGATGGTTTACCGGTGCCTGGACGAGGAGGGAATCTATCTTGGCGCCAGCTCAGCTCTCAATGTTGTTGCCGCAAAGGAGGTCGCTGAGAAGCTGGGCAAGGGCCATACCGTCGTTACGGTATTGTGTGATGGCGCCTACAGATACGCTGACCGTCTATTTTCGGATAAGTGGCTGCAGAGTAAGAACCTGCGCGGAGCGATACCTAAGCATTTGGAGAAGTATATTGTACTACCATGATTCATCTTATTTATTTTATTCATTTATCTTGGGTTAATTGTTAATATTAGAAATGATTATTGGTTTTTGTATTAATTTATCCCTATATATATCCCATCCCTCTTTGGTGCTTCTCACTGGCGATTTTTGATAGCAAAAGGGTATAGCAAAGAAGGGCTCCAAAATCGTCGAATGATATCCGCAAGTGGTTGAGAGATATCTGGAAGACATGGCGGCTATTATTACCGCGATTGGTATGAGATACACAAGGCCACCTTACTGTGGAGTAAGGTAGCTGGCAAGGGTGTTGAGGTTGGGAGGTTGATAATAAGCAGCAATCTTTGACAACAGTTGGATCTCGGATTACCCGGCCATCAGCACAGCATGCGAGAAGCTTCCAAGGGACGACGAAACCAAGAAAGCCGTTGAGCTGATGGTGAACCCCCCTTGATCTAGGACATTTAGAGAAAGATGTAGAGACAAACAAGGCTTCGGTACAGTTTACGAAGAGGTTAGCCTGATTGGAGGATCTTGTTAATTTCCAATGCGTACAAGGCCTGACAGACAGCGACGGTGCTTTGTATTTGAACAACAGAACATGCGGACGTGCCTAGGCAGAGTCCATGCGTTACCGTCATGAAGCACCCACAGGACCATATTCTATCTTATCCATGTATCATGTATATATCGAATCTTTATCAATCTATTATTTCTTCACACTGTTCTATGCATAGAGAAAGACCATCTTCTCCTGTCGTATCAGTACTGGAGATCTGATTCAAACTCGGCTTCAGATGTCTCTTTTCTCCATCTCTGTACAGTCAATTTCTTCTGATGAACGAGCCAGATTTAAAGGTAAGGTTGTCTTCAAAACGGGGTTGACCTTTTATTGCGATAGCGAGTGATCATATAGCTGTAACCATAACACCTCCACTGAACACGAGACGGTTTAGCTTGCAGCACCGACATCTAAGGCAACGTGATCTGCAATGGTCTTGAAGAGCCTATGACAGCGTTCGCACGAATATTGCAGGGGGGTGGGCACAACACACCACAAGCAGCATGCATTTTGCAAGTTTTGAGCCGTGTAACTGTACAGGCTCGGACTTGGAGCCAAACAAGCATCGGGGACTCGATTTGTTTAACCGCGTCAACATATGACGTTTAGAAGTGCCAGGCAGCTTGTCTCTTCTGCAGTATTTTCTGAAATCTGCGATTCCGAGGAAATGATCGCGACATCTTCTACAAAGGCGCACACAACTTATGCATTGTAGAGACGGTACGTTAACTAGATAGTTGAAGATACAACCGCCAACACTCATTCCCACTGTCTTTCTTTCTCACTAGCTCTCTTCACACGCCGAAGTAAAGGCATGAAATCATCAAACGCTAAGGAATTCTGTTTGGCTAAGTCGCATTAGTGCTTGGGTCTGAGAAAGGAAGAATGAGGAATTATAGCTCAAACGCCTGCGTGAGATGGCTCATAATGTTTCAATCCAGGTTTCAATAAAAAGAATGGTAGTGGAGACCCAACTTTTCAGGGTATAGCTCTTGTTCATTCACACACATGCGTCCAGGCAGTGTAACATATGGTACGGAGTGATGCATACAAATGTCGCCTAGCGGTGCAAAGGTAGCAATTAAGTGCCCACGTATGTATGCGTTGACATATTTGCACTAGGTGTCACAGGTAGGAAGGGAGCAGAAACTGTTTGGAAGAGCAGCGCTGAGTTCTAGTTATATCCGCAGTAAGCAATTTGCCGACATCAGCATCAAGGGATAATGTTGTGTCAACCTAAGGTATCTACGTACAGAGTTCCGGGAGTCACCCTTAGGTGACTGTACTGCACCTTAATGTTTCCGTACAGATTCGTTTTCTTAGGGTAGAAACTCGCCCAGGTGGAACAGCGAAGCTGTAAGGAATGGGCTCATGTCCAGGTTGATTTCCAAGTTCCTAGGTAGCTGTATTTGTCGTTATGGGGTTCCACTTTTGTGTCATCTAGATGCCCAATGATGGATGTGGAATAGAATTTAAAAAAACAGATGTAGAGGGGGATTACTTTATAACCCATGACTCCGTGTCCCTCTCGCTCTCCCTTTCCAACGTATATGTATGGACGGTGAAAAGGGAGCGGACGACAGGAGAAAAGAAGGGGACGCAAGGAAGAACTGCAGAGGATGGACGACATATATATACTTCGTTGTACCAGCATCGCCGCTCTTGATAATCACTGCTGGATTCCCACACCCCTGGAAAGCCTGTGACTCACCCAAGGGCATGCGAGTGTGGAGATGCAATCGGGTTGATCATGTTCTGATCACACTTTTCCATAGTGAGAAATGGGAAATGCCGGCTTTTACAATACGGTATCGTAGTGCTTCCAAGAGTTGTAGTAGATAGGGCCAGTGGGTGAGTGATAGACACTTGAGAAAGGATGAAGGTAATGTCCAGCCAGGTATTGAATGCGAGGAACAAAAATTGTAAAGTGAATTTGAAGACCTTTTTGTGAATATGGAACGGCATCATTCGAAAGAGCACTGTGGGATAGATAGGGACATACATTGGAGACCAAAGGTTCTTCCAATGGAACTGCCCAGCAAGCATAGCATCTGTTTGAAAGATAAAGAGAGCAGTTTAACATACGTCGACCCCATTCTACTTCCAAACAGTGAGCGCAAGAAGATCTGTGTTGAACCACAGTAAACAGCATTATAATACATTTGATCTAGGGGACGGGGGCCGGAGATGGGATGGGGCTGTTCTTAGCAGAAAAGGAAAGGTGGAATTGGAAATGTGTAGGGTGCCTGTGTATATATATATCCATGAAAGTTGGCTCCGTACACTTCTTACCTCTGGAGTATTCATCACGAACATAAGCATTAATACCAAGAACTCCGGCAAACAGAAACGGAAACGAGAGACGGAAATGAGAAAACGGATCAAATCGAAATCAAACCACAGAGACATTCCACGAAGCGCCGTATCCATTGTACCCTACCCCGCGCAAATTCCACGGCGACATTTCCTGCTGCGTATTCCCGCCCGCATCAGTGGCGCGGCTGTAGATCGTCTTGTTTCCTCCCCTTGTCACCTCCACCTCTGCCCTCCAGAGCACCCAGCTCCACTTGCTCGTCTGACACTTCATCTTCATATCATTATTGTCACCATTACCATCACCATTCTCCCCATAGTCCAGCTCAGCATCAACCCACGTCTCGCCCCCATCAGCCGAAACCTCCACGCGCGTCACAGGGCCCTCCGCCCCCTCCGGCACAGCAAAGCCCTTAACCTCAATCTTCCCCGAGGCGGGAAGCGTAACCGTTTCGTCATCGTTTGGCACAGCGACAACGGAGTTGATGGGCATGGATTGCATGGAGGGGACCTTGGACCAGTACTGCTCAGCGATTTCCCAGGTGAGGGCTTCTGGGGGCAAGATTTTGTAGTCGTGCTGTTGGTAGAAGCTTGGGGATTCGTGGGGGTGGACGGAAATGGTGTCGAGCCATTTTACCCAGCGGGCACCGGCGACGCCGGGGACGACGATGCGGACGGGGTAGCCGTATTCGGGGAGGAGGGGTTTGCCGTTCATCTGGATATGTCTTAGAATAATTATAAAAAGAAAATGGGTTTATTGATTTTTCTTTGGGAAGGGGATATTCTTACGTCCAAGGCGATTATGACCTCCCTGTCAAGCTCCATGGCTCTCCACAACTCGATGCTGGCGCCATAATAGCTGTCATCCTCACAGGGAAGCATGCTGCAGTTAAAGTGGACATGCATCTCCGCCTGTTCTGCCTCCCCCGTGGTAGCACGGGCACCATCATTTCTGCTATTATTCTTGCTGTTTTGTTGCCTATTCGCAGTCGTGTTGGACTTCTCGTTGGCAGTTTCTTTATTCTCCTTCCGATCCTGATCCTTAACCATTTCCGTATCATTACTATACCCCCTAACCCCGGCTTTGATCAGCACATCCCGGAGTCTCGGGCCGCTCCAGGTGCAATTCATGACGGCGCCATCCATCCAATCGAGGCCCACGACCTCCTTGAGCTTGGTACGCATGGTATGGCGGCGGTTGCCAGCACATTGCAGAGCGCTCAGGACCTCATGCTGGGGGAACTCATGGCGCAGCTGGTCCACGGACAGGCGTAGGGGGTTCGCTACATCCCCAGTAATGGAGACGGTGTGAGTTCCCGGATCGAGTTCAGGGATAGCGCTGTGGTTGCGGTTGTAGGCATCTGGGGTTGGAGTGAGGAACCTGACCGGGGGGTGCGATTTGACGTTAGCTTATAGTTAAACTCATCCGACAAACAACTAATAGTGGATAGGATGGTTGGATTAGGGAGTATAATGGAGTGAGTGGTGAGTGGTGAGTGGTGAGTGGTTGAGCGGTGAGCGGTTGATGCGCCACACAAATCACGCAATTCGGGGCTAGCAGGCATCTGGATGGAGAGATCGCGCAGTATACACACGCAGTATACACACGCAGTATACACACGCAGCATACACGCAGCATGCACACAGTCACACACGCAGTCACACACGCAGCAGGGCAAGGGGGGCAAGAGACACCGGGACTCGGGCTTACTTCGACACCAGCTCGGACAGAGGAGCTTCTCGGTTTAGAGGGCGCTCGGGCACCGCCAGGGGCTGTGGGCAAGTCTTCTAGAAGGGCGTTAGAACAACCTTCAGAAAAGGACGTCTGGCATAGATGGGGGGGGGGGTGGTGGTGGTTTGACGGTTGTGTAATCGTTTCTGTCTCGATCAACATCAAACCACCTGACGTGATGATAACTAGATACACTTCATCCACGCACTCCCCTTCCCCTCACTCACCGAAATCATGGCTGAGGAATTTCTTTCTTCTGTTAATTGGTTCGATATCTTCCCTTTTTGTTTCTTGATATTACTATTTTCAGGCTCCTTTGTCACTCGTGGTATTTTATTTCTTGTCGAATCTTCCGTCCTAAGCCAAAAGATGGGATAGAAAGAAAGTTCCCAACGAGAGAGGAAGCCGATTGAGTAAGTCAACTTCGGGTGGGGGGAATTCAGCTGATGCAACTTAAATCAGTTCTTTGGTTCAGAGTCCAACCGTCGTTCCAAACCACCAAATATCCTGTGATTAATTCGATTTCTCTCTCGATAGCTAATATTTAATTGAAACAAACTGCAAAACAAAATTCTACGATGGATCAGTCAAATAATTTGTGCAGTTGAGTTACGTGGGACATCGGTCGATGTATCACGGATTCCGTTTGCATCCCCTTTCCTCCCCAGGCTTTCGAAACGGGCTCTGGTTATGGTTATGGTTATTCATTCCCCTTCCCTCTATCTGGTAACCACTTGTCTCTGTATTACTACTCAAGACCAGTTTTATATGTTCCATGATCCCATGGAACTTACACCTGTGGAACTGTCCATAAGTAAGGCATTATTAGTATATATAACTACAGTAAAACTATATATAGCTGTGGTGGTGGCAACTATTTGGTCCAATGTCACGCTCTTAGGTAACTAGTAACTTGTAACTAACCCAAGTAGCCACCCGCGTATATTGACCCTTCCAACTGAACGCGAATTATCTTCAACCCCCTTTTCAAAATGGATTTATCTATTCAGAAAGTCATTGATGAATTAGAAAATAACCACTTATTTCTTCTGTTAAGGCTGCAGTTGCAGCTTCAGCCTCTAAAGAATTAGCTGACAGAATTAAATGTGATATAGCTCATCAGCAGCAGTAATATTAATCAAGATCTGAACAAGAAGAATTTCAGATTACTGATTGAAGATTTCAGACACTTTCTCTCTTGAATATGTTTATAAGAAGTGATGAAGATGAATAAGAACACCACTCTTCTTGATAAAAAGTAAATTACTAAATTTCCTAAGTTGTAGTTTTAAAGTTTTTTTATTTCAAAAGAATTAATATTTGAAATTTAATTAGTTAGTTAGCTTTATAAGAATAAGAATAAGAAGAAGAAGAAGAAGAGTAATAATATTATTAAACAGTCTTTGAATAAGCTACGGCTTTAAAAATTAAATATCAAATTGGAAGTTAGAAATTCAAGTCAAAAAGACCACAGCTGTTGTATTGAAAGCAGGTTTACAAGTATAGTAGTCTACTATATTCATGAAATTATTACCGTTTATTGATCAGAGAGTCAAAATTCCTGTGGCCACTAGACCGAGAGTCACTTCTCTGAGATAGAAACGGCAAACTTCCTTATTTTATATATATTTTTCAAATTTTAACTATTTAATATATAATGGCTCTGTTGAATACTTGCTCTCCACCACAAGTAATGACACAAGATTCTAACTGAGACATCTCTATTATATATTTTCTTTGCTCTAGTAGACTCTCTTATCGTACAGTTACATACATTTACCCGTAGATGATGGCTTTGGGATTTTCTTGCCTTCTCCTCACATGCAAAGTGGTACCAGACCGTATGTTCCTCATCTTTCTCGCCATAACCTTCAGTGATGATGATACAGCTCTTGAAAATATCATCATGCACAAAAGGAAAACGCCTGTAAATGCATATCAAAAAAGAAAGAAAGAAAAAGGAAGTCTTCTAACAGGACACAAGCAAGCATAGCAAGCATAGCAAGCATAGCACCCATATACATTCCATCCAAAACGCCAACCATAAAAGAAATCCAACCCCCACCGCCACCAGCACCAGCATCAATCCGACGGCTGTCTCATCCACGCATCAATCGCCGCACTAAACGCCGCAAACCCTGCACACCCCAATAACGCCGCTTGCGGCCCCGCCTTCGCCCCTAACACCCCGCCCGTAATACACCCGGCCGCCACGCCGTTTGCCAGATCGTTCTTCGCCCGCAACCCTTCAATACAGCACTCTGTCCCGGTGAACATTGCGCCTACCAGTGCAAAGTTTTTGGCCGAGCTGAAGGAGCGCATGCCCATATCTTTGAAGCCACGGCGGAGTTGCTCGCGGACGGGGAGGCTGGAGAGTTCGCGGCCTTGGGGGGTCAGGGGGGTGTCGTAGGACATCTTGATATTGAATAGAAATCGGGAGGGTTAGTTGGTTTGCTGGTATATTGCGGGGAGGGTTGGGTTGGGTTGTTGTTGGGGGGGCAAATAAATGTACACTGCTCATGAATAATCCGAATGCACCTCCGAGAGCGAATCCCATTCCGCCTGCCATGACCGTTTTGACGGGGCAGGATTCCATTGCTGCTGTCATCTATGTTCCCGACAATAAGTAATAGATAATAGTCAGCACGCGCTCCTTATGTAAAGAGGTCCCATGCTTATATTTCTTCTCCACCATAAAGCAATATATATATATATATACTCACTGTTTTCACCATAGCAGCCTCCTGATCACTCATCCCCGAGGTGCTGCTACCGCTAATCCCCATGCCCGATGCCATCGATGAGGCCGCGGGACTATTCCCGCCGGAGCCTGGGAAACTCATATTGGCTCACAGGAGATATAACGCGTGGAGAGGATTCGGGATGATATATTCTTTTAATCTGAAATGCGGTACGCTGTCTAGTGTTCGTTTCCGTTGCTCGAATTAGGTCCACGACATGGAAATGAGAATCGCAGAATTATATGGCGGGAGGTATTATGGCGCTGTGCTCGGTTCTGAATATCTCCCCAATGATTGTTCAAATCTTCACAGCTCTTCTGGATACCTTTCAATGCGTTCTTTGTATATCAAACTCTACTTTTCTTTTCCGTTCAAAATGGAAAAAAAGTTTGGATGCCAAGACATGCGTCACTATGATCGGACACACAACCACGTGATAGAAATTAAGGAGAAGCTCGGCGCGAGTCGAACCCGTTCAAGATGTAATGCATGGAATAACCCTGTAAGGAGGAAACATAATAGCTATCTATGTAAAAGCCATTGTCACTGTGGACAATGAAGGGGGGAACATATTTTAAATACAAAAACCAATCAACCAGATACAGGTCATATAATTGTCAGGTGTTCAGGTTATCTATCTAAAGGTGAACAACTACACGGAAGACTCAGCTGCACCCAACTGTTAGACTTGAAGGAGAGCAACAGGGAAAACAGAGGCCGGTAATATTTACAAAGGAAGAACACACTAGAAAATAAGGGAAAAAGCAAACGAAAATAAAAGAAGAGATGAAATAATGTACACGCGTAAAATCACATCTTCTCCTCATCAGTCACTCAAACTCGTTGAGGGCTTAGGTTGGTAAATTTTCGTGAATAATTTGCTGAAAATTTAGCTTTACACTTTAAACTGAGAATGGATAACTTCGCTGGCATCGTGACATAATTTGATCATACATATGAGCGTGAGAAAAATGGGAAGCCCCGGGGGATGGATAGCCAGGCGGTTCAGTCGTTAAAGGGTGCTGCTACTTGCAAAAAGGAGAAAAAGGTAGAGAGCTCAAGAAAGGGAAGTGGAGGGGAAATCAAAGCTATTTTACTTTTCCTTCGATCCGCTGGGGCTGTTTTGAGGTTTCTGTTCTTCCGGTGAACTTAGACTCCGCTCCCACTCCGCCATTAAATGGGAAGCTGTGCGGGAAAAAGTGGACGGGTGGAATTTGCTGAGAACAGGCCAAGGGATGCCATCTGATTTGGTTGCGCTCTGCTCAGGTTCGGTTATAGGAGACGTTGTATGGCTTGCAAAACTAGTGGGCTGTTAATTTGGTGATGATTTTCGGGATGGAGTGAATAGATGGATGTATGGATAAATGGATGGGAAAGGGGGTGTTGTTTTACCTTACGCTGGTACGCGGACTACTGGTATCCGTGGATGGAGAACGATCTCGGTTAGAAATGGAAGTTGAATTGCTGGATGATGGACTATACGTTTTCGGCTTCAACTGAGGACTATCCCACATATCCCAGTTATCATCTCCGTCCTGAGGGCTCGAGTCTTCTGGATCTTGCTCATGTTCCTGTCGTTGTTGACGTTGACGATGCTGCTGCTTGCCACCGCTGGGGCTTCCGGCGTATTGGGGGCATTTGGCCGTCTGATCAGGGATATAAATGCCGAATTCACTCCAAAAGGACATCTCTTGGGCTTTTGACGTTGAATCATTACCGGAAGTTGAGTCTACCACCCCTCGTGAAGTCGTAGATCTTCCCGTTCTTGTAGAGGATAACGATCCCCCCATCTTGGTTCCTCGAGTCCCAGACTGGGAGGCGACTGTAATCCTCGATCTTGTCCCATTAATCCCTTCCTCTCCAACTGCAGCCTGTCTAATATCCTCAATAAATGTCCAAAGGCCTTCTCTCAAGTCGGCAGCCATTTGCCGACCAGTTTTCATAAGGGCGTCAGCCGTAACATCTCGAGCAATCGGTGGCAGAGTGCGGCGCCACTGCACTTTTTGTTCTTCACTAGCTTCTGTAAAGTTCCCTTCGTTCGCAGGCTTGCTGTTATTGCTGCGCTCGACGGATGGTAAAGTCGCAGACCTAGGGTGTCTTGATGATCTCGACATTGTTGACTGTTCCGGAACCCCCGAATCTTGCAGCTGAGGAAATGGGAGTTTGAATTCGGAATTCGTGCTAGTTGAAAGTAAAGAGAGGGTTCTGGTGTGTTTGGAACCCTGGAAAACTGTTCTGCCTTTCGCGGATGTGGTCGTGCTGGGGGTGTGCCCCGAAGATGAAGACTGTGAGTTCCAATGGCTATTCCTTCCCTCCAATTCACGACCCGTCTTCACGTGGTTCGGAACTAAAGTTGTTTGGTCCGAATTGGGGAATTTTGAACCATCCACAACACTCTGCTCGGCGTATTTGAGTTGTTTTAAGAGATATGTGCGATGGATTATCTCTGCTTTTTTCCTATCCTTCTCTACCAGAGACCACTGGCATTTGAGTGAAACCAATTCTGCCTCTGCTTTTTGTAGTTCTTCTCTCAGCTCCAGCACTTTCCGTTCTTGAGCGGCCAAGACAGTGAGAAAGTCATAGTTGCTGCTGTTTGCATCGGTTTGGCTGGACGCAATGGAATGATCAGGTGATGAGATGAGGGATGGTTGTGTTGCTGAGCTCATGATACTCGAGGCAGGCGAATTTTGGCTAGAGGTGGGATGAGATGCAATGCAGGTAGAAACAGTAATGGGGAAGTTTAAGGTGAGCCGTTTTGTGTGACGAGCAGTGACATTGGGACGTGGAGGGAGAGAAGCTCTCTTCGCCTGTTGAGGGTTTTCGAATGACGATGAGCTTGCATGTTCATCCGGGTGAAGATCAGGGGTTGGAATGATCGAGGTTCTATCCATGGTTCCCTGGATTAAAATTATTTGGATACTTTTTTTTTTTTGTGTGTGTGTGTGTGTGTGTGTTTTAAAAAACCATCCAACAGCCAGAGATTGAAAGTATATAGAACGAGTGTGGTGATATATTAGAGTAAAGAATAACAAAAACAGGCCATCACTTCAGGATAGACATGGGCGGAATGAAGATAGGAAGAAAACAAAACACGCCAGGGAAACAAAAAACTAGCCCGTCATCCACTCTTATTAGAATAATAGCATTAATTAATAATGGATGTTTGACTGTTGATCTCAATGGTAATTCAGGAGTTCAGGAGAAACAAGAAACAAACACTAAACACTAACACAAGCTGAGCCGCATCGCCAAGACGCGGCCAGCTCCAGTGACCAAGGTTGGTTCTGCTGCTTCGGGTTTAGCGCAGGGGTATAGACACGTCACGTGAGTGAGATGCTCTAATCCTTTGAATGTTGGGGGGAGCCGAGGCTCAAAATTATTTTGTCATTGTAATGCTCTGCTCTGAAACATCGAGCCAAGATCAGTTCAATTTCTACACTCCGGAGGGGTTCAAGAAGAGAATCTATGCGGGGTCAGTTGAGGGAGCAGCCTGACCCCGGGAACCTCTTTTTCTTCAGTGATGCTGAAAATGTCCCAAAGTCCAATTTCAGCTTCTGAAACTCCGTTTCGTTATCCTGTCATGTTGGACCCAGTTCCCACCCCATAGATTGATTGCCCATGGATCTGTGTTATTGATCAACAGAGGAGTGACGCAACTATATGTTTAACTCTTGCTGCCGCATTCCGTCAGATATAACTCTGCAAGGAATTTCCAGTCCCTTTTGATGAAAGAGTACCATAGAAGAATGTCGAAAATGCCGACATCTGCTCGCATCTCTGGAAAGACAGCCCGATCAAAACAAATATGCAGGCATTTTATCTAATAAGAGACAAATATCTCTCGGTCTAATATCGAGCATACTGGTTCAAATGCATTTGCTTACATTTCTAACATTACTTGTTACACCTGTAACTATGTCATCTGAAAGTTCAATTTCAATCCTACTAAAGGTAAGAGGCCGCTAATCAATTCCGCAGCTCCTATTCGAATTCCCCTGCGGCTCTCTAATCATAATATACAGCACCGCACATCCATCCTGATCTCCTTCCGCGTCGACTCCATGATCCGCCAGCTTTATTCGCATTTCGTCCACCACATTCCAACCCAGTCGCTGATAAAGGGGCAGTCCAGCAGGTGTGGCTTCGAGGAGGATTCTGGCCCCGTCAGCCTCCGCCTTCTCAATACCCCATTTCAGTAGCCGAGAAGCATGACCCTGCCGCTCAAACGCGGGGCTCGTGGCGAGAATTTCAAGAACTGCACAATTCATGTTAGGAAATAAGTTATCTGGTTAAAAAGACACAAGCTTATCAGGTGCATTAGTGCTATACATACCGTAATCCTTTTCTTCATCCAAATACCTTTCCCGCGCCCCAAGTATCCCCCGTCGAAACGCAGCGTAGATACCCGGATGGCATCCCGACGGTGGGTTCTGCATGAGATACTTCTTGAGCTTCTTATACTCCGGCTCCTCCATCTGGCCATTTCCCTGCTTCGGCTTGGCATGCGGGATCCCAAACCGTGCCCAAGAGGCCACAGTTCGATTTCTACACGTAGTATTACTGGTATTTCTGTTATTATTATTATGATGGCCTGCTACCGTACCGGAGCCCGAGCTCGAGTTATTAATAGTGACTCCATTCGTATCCGGATCCGCCAGAACTGAAATAATTGTGTATTGGTGCGGGTCCTGAAGATCTTGTTCCTCGCGGTCCGTATACCATTTCTCGACTGTTTCTCTCGGTGTGCCTGCCCAGCATAATGCATAGCGGGTCAATGTGCTGGTTTCGAAAGCGTCGGATTTGATCTTGCCGAGTACTGGCGCATCTGAGGGGGACGTGAGGATCTCGATGGTGAAAGACATTTTTTTTTTTGGTGATTATATCGAGTTGGTTCCTGAAGATGACCCAGTTCGCGTTTGATATAAACGGATACGTCTCAGTGCCTATTAGAAAGAGAAAGAATGCAAACGGCTAACCATATCTCGCCGCGGCAAAAGATCTTTTAGGTTAACTAACTCCAAGGCATTGGCGGGGGGTGTGGGGACTCTTTGAGTCCATCAACTGCCTGCCTGCTTTCAATTCTTCTCGTTATACCAACAACCTAGGGCCAAGGTAACTACCATGATTGAATAGCGGAGTCCACATCTACACTTCTCTCTCCCCCTCTTTTACCCCTTTTTCACTTTTCTCAAACGTGCAACAGAATGTTCCAAGTCATATCGGAACCGGAAAGGTTGGTTTGTTTGAAAGCTTAATAGCAACGAAGATATTCTCCTTCGGGTTTAACAGCCTGAACCCTCTCTTGCAATATCCTCAACATCCTCATAACTAGGAATAAAAGGGCTTAATGCTCAGTTAACCCAGCCTACACCAGTAGAAATTATCATCATGGGTAGCTATCATTGCCGTTGTTGCCAAAGAATACAGATCCAGCGGGTGGGATGGCAGCACCAATTATCTAACCGGATCAATGCCGTAAATTTTATCTCTTACTCAGTGTAATATAGATCAGAAATCCCATCTATGGTATTGATTTTTGAAGCGATAGTGGTTTGGTCGTCAAGCGAATCCGACAGATGGGATAAGGGACGACAGAGATCCGGCAGTCGGTAGGCAACCAAAATTTTCCAACATAGCCACGGTTTAAAAGACGAGGGCTCCCAGAAATTAGCACCAACTGGAATGCCAATGTCCCTTGAAGGTGTGCCAGATGACAGTTAAACAGTCCATGCAAAGCACAAGGGAGTAAACACTAGGGCACGGATCTATCACTTTGTTGATGAGCGGAGCGTTTGTTGAGCCAGCGGTTCATATCTTCGACAAGGCTTAACGCTGCCTCATCCGGTTAACTCCCAACAGGTTGCAGTGAAGCATTCCTCCCCCCGGTGCGCCAATATTGTCCTTACCTATCATCGGCTCTGCTAGATTTCGAGAGTTCCCTGCTCCTCCTGGGGACATATTTCATAGAACAGAGATCATGTCAGCCACGAGGAATCGAATTGGGCTTGAAACCCGCTCCAGAATACGGAACACGGACAATATGATGGTCAAATATGTTCGCTAATGCTAACACGCGTGTTTGAGGGTTGGGCGCATTCCCTGTAATCAATCATGGCATTCTCAGAAATCTTATTGTCCGCTCGCAGAGGAAGGTCAACTATTATTCTGAGCAGCATAAACAAGTGAGTTCTTGGCAAACCGCTGACGGCGAGGAATGCAAATATATTATCACAAAACCATTGAGCGCATATATACACTTCGGTAACAATCGATGGATTATGCAGAAGGGTCACCAGAAAGGATTTAACTCATTATCTTCTCAATGCCAGAGACCCTCAGACCGGGAAGGGCTTCACCGTTGGCGAACTTCTGTCCCGAGAGCCCCCCCTTTAAAGGCTACCGGTTCAAACACCACAGCAATAACCAGTTCTTTCTGGCATTATTTTCCACCTCCTTCACAATGCGGAAGTTCTCACTAAACTGGACAGCCACTATTAGTGCGGCCTGTAGTTACCTCTCCCGAGCAAATCCACGGGGAGGCATTGAACAGCCTACAGTATCTCCGCGCATGCATTGACGAGGGTTTGCGCTCACCCCACCTATGCCAAGTCACTTATCCCGCCAGGTTCTCCCTGGAGGCATCATCATTGATGATCACCACTCCCTTGCTGGAACTAACCATCGATACACCCCCGTACACCATTAACCATAACGAGGAGTATTACCCGAATCCATACTCTTATCAACCGGAGCGCTGGATTGTTGACCCGGTCGCTCCCGACAGCGACGTGTGTTCAGAAAGCAAGGTCGCGGGCCCCCCGATCTGCTTTTACCACCTTCAACATTGGCCCGCGTGGCTGTGCGGGGAAACGGCTTGCATATTTAGAGCTTACCCATGCCCTTGCACGCTTGCTATTTTCTTATGATATGCGGCTTTCACCCGGCAGCGAAGGGGCGGGAGCGGGCAACCCTAACCATAAGCATGAAGGGAGATGGAGGACCAATGAGTTATCAGCTTCTAGACATTTTCCTCATGGTTAGGGATGGTCCCGTTGCAGAGTTTAGACCTAAGAGGAACTATGGAATGAATTATCGAGCATGTGAATTTTACATTGACATACTATTCTTATTTACAAGTTGGGCCTTCTCATTCCCTTTTTTCTTCTGGTCTGCTTCCTTTCCCCCCCCTTTGGCAAGGAGTGTTTGTGAGGAAGCGGACCTCCGAACACAGATTCGGCTTCATGAATGTTGCCTTTGAGCTCAAACTCTTTCCGTTCCCCTTTTTGAGATCATCATAACGGACGGTGATAGTTTGCGAACTGTAGACCCAATCATATTCCACCTCGCACGCTGTTTTCCACGTTGATTTCAAGTCGTGGCTCCCAGCCATATGGATATTAGCGGGACAAACTCATGCAACAGAGTATCAAAGAGTTGAAGGGAAGAAGCTTTTGAGGGAGCTGCAAGGTCGAAAACAATATCATCAAACAGTATAATATGTGCATAGAAGTACGACGGCTGATGCTCATATGGTCAGAACAGAATGCAATGCTCTCAGTGTACATGCACAGATTGTCAAAGCTGGATAAGAAAAAACAAAGAGCAAAACCAAAACATTATGTTTGGGCTATTGCCTCATGCACCATTGCAAGGTCATGGAATAGAATGTGGATGATATGAACCGGGAAATGCTATATATATGAACAAGATGGTAGTAACAACCGATGATTTTTGAGAAAGTGGGGTCATGTTGGGTAAATTGATAGAAGGAAAGAAAGGAAGAAAGAAATGAAGAAAGGATGAGCGAAAGTGACAGACAAAAAATTGTTACACTCTGCAAACTCTGTCTAAGAATCGAAGAATTCTATTCTATGGACAGGAGAGGGTGCAAACAGCAAGAAAAATCGATAATATCACAAAATTTCTGGTCTCGGGAATTTAATCGGGATATGTGTGGATATTGTACATGTGAAATTACTATACAGCTCGCCATCGATTGCGAAGTCCGGCTGTCCATCGATCATAGAGAACATCTGCAAGTTGTGCGGTATGCTCCATTCCGAAAACACGCTGTCCCGGCAAGTTCAAGCCCGCTCCAGACCAATTTTCGTTAGCATGGGTCTGCTCCGATTGCCGCCGTCGATGGCTTTTCAGATGAGGGTTGTTTTGCGCAAGAACCAGCTTTGGTTTTTGAGGGAATTGAGCTGTTGGTTTGGCCATGAGAGTGGAAAGTTTAGGGTCACTAAAGGGAAAGCAAAACGGATCGGTCAGTAAGAGTGGCATCCACTTACATAAAGCTAGGGTAGATGGGTATATATTAAGACTCACCCTTGCATTTTATCACAAGACAATTTCACAATATGGTACAGTCCCTCCGGGTCAATCATTTCCAGATCGCTCCACGCTTCGGCGAGTCGAGATATCGCCTCTCTCTTCTCCTGGCCCCATGTCGTTGAAAGGACCTCCTGGCAGGAAAGTCCAATGGATTTGCTATATATTCGACGGCCCAGGGTAGCTTCTTTGCTACTTGGTTCCAAAACTAATTTCTTTGGAGCCGAATTCTCATCCATTCCGGGGAGATATCCAGCATTTTCATTCAGCGAGTCCGCTTGTTTGTCTGATACTCGCCGAAATTGCCTAACTGTAGAGGGGCTGTTTCCAAAGCTCAAATTTAACCCAAGTGGTTGCTTTACTCCACTGGATAGCCGCTTCGTATTGAGTCCCCTAACGGAGGGGGAATGCTCTCCAGATGGTGCCGACCGCCGTACAGTGGAGTTGGCCACTGGTTTGTTGGAATTTGAGGCACTGGATGATGGGCTTGTAAGTTCCATTTTCTTCAGCATCTCCACAGGCTCTTCCAGATTTTCCTCTTCCTCTAATGGTAGGTCGGTTATCTTCAGTCGTTTTTGTGTGTCGCGCGAAGTGGACACGGTCCCAGGCTTCACAGTGTCAAATACCCATCCATCTTCATCCTCTTTGTGATTAATCGTAGCCCTATATTTCATTAGCAAAATTTCTGGAGGAAGACATAGCTCAGGTATGGAACATACATAGACTCCTCATAGTATCTTATGTTGTCTAATGTGCCTTTGCTTGCCTCCCATTCTTGCCGACGTTGAATTAACTCCTGCAAGGCCTCGATTTTACCTGCATTGCGAATAAACTTGTGTCGTAGAAGCTCTTTAGCCGTCGCTCGCCTATTGGGATCCTTAATCAAGCACTGAGCCACAAAATCCTTAAAATTTTGGCTGTAATTACTCCCTTCCAGTCTGGGAGCAGGCGCCTTCGGAATCAAAAAGAGAGCCTTCATTGGGTGTGTACTAGCATTTGGTGGTTCCCCTTGAGCCATTTCTATTGCCGTAATGCCCAACGACCAGATATCCGCTTTGAAATCGTATCCTGACTGCTGGATTACTTCTGGGGCCATCCAGAAAGGGGTGCCTACGAAGGTATTGCGCTGTGATTTAATGTTCGTTAGTTGGGCCGCAACACCAAAATCCGCCAGTTTCACTTTGCCAGATTGAGACAAAAGAACATTGGCGGCTTTGACGTCTCGGTGTATTTTTCCCTCTTGGTGAAGATAATCCAATCCTAATAGTAATTGTTGACAGATGATAGCGATATGTGCCTCGTTGAATACCCCAGGTTTAAGCTAAAATGAAAATTTCCTACTTAGCATATCGAAACAGATCAAACTGACGCGTAAGAGCTAATAGTTACCAGATCCAAACAAGACCCTCCACCCAGATACTCCATTACAATCCACAGTTTGTAACCTCTGAGGAAACTTGTCCGATATTGTGTCACGTAAGGGCTTGCGCATGTTGCGAGCACTGAAATCTCCTGTTGAATTTCTTGGATATCATCTTCGCTAGATTCGAGATCGATCTGGAAGGGAATCAAAATTCATTAGGTATGATTGATTCATCATTCAAAGCCCTCATCCCACCAACTCCAGAACAGCAACATACGTGTTTTATGGCTACGATTTCTCCGGTATCCTTTTCGATGGCTTTATACACTGTCCCAAAGCTGCCACCTGGAATGAAACACAACAGAAACAATTAGTACCAAAGATCAATCAATTGGAGGGTGGCATCTGGTTTTGAACTCACTCCCCAGTTCCTCCAGCATTTGATAGCCATTTGCCAGAGCTCCTTCGTCAGCCATATCTGACTGACCCTTGGGCCACTGGCTGAACTTTAAAAATATTGTAAAATGATGGTGCTCTCTGTTTGTTTGCAGGTGGTCCCGTCGCGTTTGCGAGGACAGCAGCTGGTATCCAAGAAACAACTGTGGAACCGCGATGGGGAGAGAGTCCGCAATTCGCTCAACAGGGGAGGGTAAGAGTGGACAGAGGCATCAGGGGGTGTCTAAGAATAAGTAGTAATATCCTATGTTGAAACAGCTGTTCCATTCTTTAAGATTCAACCATGGTCCATAATGCTCCAGTCAATACTCTCTCCATGGGAGAGTTTTTGCGGTGTAAACATCCGTTGCCTCTAGCAACACTGAGCGCTAGCCCATTTAGCATTAGAAGTTTTGGCATGCGATCGATACCTCTGCCATAGGTCACGTGTGTCAAGGCTCCTTCTGTTGTCGAAGCACTCAGCATCTTCGAGTGTACTCCGTAACAATTCGAATATCAACAAGATAATGAGTCTCTGTGATCGGAGAGATCTTAAGGAATTTACATAACAAGCCAGGTTCTTGACAAAAATTGAGAATCTACACCTATCCAAGAATAAACGATAATCCAACATTTCCTTGCCCTCATACTTTTGAGCTCCCTCCTACGATCTCGTGCTAAACTATACAATTACAGACCCAGCACCAATTCTAAAAGCCGTTGGGTTTCTTCTCTATAGCAATTCTAAAACAAAGTGCGATTCCAAAGTGGAAGGGTTAGATGTATTTATAAGGGTTCATGATTCCGTTCTATGTAATTTGTTAGCGCTGGGTAAAATACATACATCATGGGATGGGGAATATCTGGACAAAAGACTTACCGGGTCGTAAAGCTTTTTCAGCTGTGCCATCAGCTTAGTCATCGTCTCACTCTTGCTGTAGCCGATGAATTCCCTCTTCGCGATGCCCAGGCCATGCTCTGCACTGATACTGCCATTCCGCTTGGCAATCCACTCGTAGACCCAGGGCTCGATCATCTTCTCAACGTCCTTGTTATATTTCCGGACCGCGACGTTGAGATGCAGATTCGAATCCCCCATGTGGCCGTATCCCAACACTTCGCGAACTGGGTAGCTGTCGTTGTCTCCTACTAAACCGGCCTTGGTCAATCGGTCTCTCGTGTCATCAACTAGCTGGTAAAGCTCAGCTAGCGGTATGGAGACGTCATATTTATATGTTCCTCCCAAATGACTCAAGGCCTCAGTAATCCCTTCTCGCCACCGCCAGAGTGTCTGTGCCTGTGTTTCATCCTGAGCCAGCACCCCATCTGCCACAATCGATTCATCCATAACATGCTCCAAAAACCCTTCCAGTTTCTCATTGTCATGTTCACCGTTCGAGCCGCTCGTTTCTACGAGACAGTAGAAGGGGTATGATCCCTCCAAAGGCTTCTTTAATCCAGTGACCTTATGCACCATGTCCTGACTGCGCCCATCCATTAATTCGAATGCAGATAGGATTTCTGACAACTGGCCCCGGGCCTCCAAGAAAGCCTTGAGAGCTTGTTCGTAACTCTCGATGCCAAAGAAGGCCACATTGATTGCCTTAGGCCGCCGGGGGCAAATTATAGAAACACCAGTTATAATGCCAATGGTCCCCTCGCTACCAATGAAAAGTTGCTTCAAATCATATCCCGTATTGTTCTTCCTCAACGTGGACAAGTCATCAATAAGTGTCCCATCGGGAAGTACGGCTTCTATCCCCAGCACATTACCATGTAAACTTCCGTAGCGTAGCAATCGCAGACCACCCGCATTAGCCGCAACGTTGCCCCCAATATGGCATGAGCCCTTGGCCCCGAGATCAAGGGGGAAAATATGATTTCTCTCCGCAAGATATTTATCAGCAACCTCCAGAATCACACCGGCATCAACCACCAGCACCCCAGAATTTTCATCAAAGGATCGAATATTATTCATTCGCGCCGTACTAATTACAATCTCATCGAACACGGGCACCCCTCCACCGACCAGTCCTGTATTCCCACCCTGAGGTACTACAGCCAGCTTATTCGCATTGCAGTACTTCAGTACCTCACTCACTTCCTTTGTGCTTTGAGGCTTCAGCACCAATCTAGCATGTCCTCTGTATTTCCGCATCCAATCACAGTTGAACGGCTCGATATCGTCCGTCGCATCCTGAGTGAAACCATCGATGACTGCAGAGGGGGATTTGAGCAAGGTTTTAAAATGTTGAACATGGACGTCACTGAGTTCGGAGAAATTGGGATTTCGCTTTAGATTCGGATACGCATCTGTGGTATATTTGGATTGTTTGGACGGGGCTGCGATAGCTCCGACCGATGATGAGGTGCTGAATTGTGTGGTGGGAACAGAGCAGAAGTTCGGCCTGAAATTCCGTGTCCGGGCCTTTGAAGTCTGTGATCGGCGAATAGCGAGGGAAATACTCCTTCTAGTGCCCAACATGGTGGCTAAGTAGAGGTTATGTCGCAATGCAAATGGAGGAAACTGGAAGAAAGAAAAATCAAGATGGATGTTCCCCATCAGGAACTACAATCAATCTTCAAGTCCTTCAAGCGATTGACCAGTTCGATGCCAAGGCCGGGGGGGTCCCCTCGGCCAAAGTTTAAATACCCACGGACCGATCGGGAAAGGTGGGAGATTGGAGTGGTAAGAACTAACCCCCATCCATGGAACAAGTGCCTATCAACACCAAGTCTAGGGGACATGGAATTGGTTCTGTAGAATGGGGGTTAGTTACCCAAGGTTCGTTCGTGTGACACCTTGCATGGGGCGAATGACTACGCGGGGGACTGCAATCTTATTTGTACATTACATATGAATACGTGCCACTCTCATTCTGCCAAATCCGCACACTCAGATTGTATTGACAACTAAATCATTACAACTTCGAACCAGCCTTCCGCCTTGACTCGCGATCTCGATCCCTCAAATGGCGCCGCAATATCTTCCCGCTAGCACTCTTCGGGATAACATCAATAAACTCAACCCCCCCTTTCAGCCGCTTATAATGAGCCTTATGGTCTGAAACATGCTTCAGAATGTCGCGAACGAGAGCCTGGTCATTAGCTGGTGCACTATTGGCCTTCACCACATAGGCCTTTGGAGCTTCACTCCCATCATCATCCACAACACCTATTACGGCAGTGTCTACCACGAGCGGATGGGTAAGAAGATGTGCTTCGAGCTCGGCGGGAGCGACTTGGAAGCCCTAGACAGCAAAACGTTAAGAGGAATGTAGTAGGCCTTCATTGTGGACGTATGCAGTGATCGTTACCTTGACCTTAATCAACTCCTTGATTCTATCCACTATGAAAATATGATCTTCTCCACTTGGGCTCTTCCGTACAACCGCCTCGTCCCCAGTCCGTAACCATCCATCTTGGAAGGTCGCTTTATTCGCTTCCTCATTGTTTAGGTACCCGAGCACAATGGTTGAGCCTCGTAAGAGGAGTTCGCCGGGCGTATCGTACGTTTCAATCTCATCTCCATCGGGTGATACGAGACGTGCCTCGAGCGAAGGAAGTAATGATCCTGATGAACCGAAGAAAATGTCGTGAGGGCTTGTAGTGGTTACAACAGCTGTGGTCTCAGTGAGTCCTGTAATAGATTTAGTTAGTCGGTTTTAATGAAGGTGGGCAAATGTATGGACAGAATTTCTACCATAGGCTTGAAGAATTGACCAGGAGGGTTGCAGATTGCCCAGTTGCTCTGCAGTTTCCAGGCCGAGAGGAGCTGCACCGGTGATTATTGAACGCACGCTGCTCAGATCGAATCTCCTCATGAGTTCCTCGTTCTTCACCATAGATATAATTATGGGGGGGACCTGTATTTCAGGTCAACATACATATACCATCTTCCTCGCGAAATTATAATGCACTAGAGAGAAAAATACATACCAAATATAAAACATTTATCCTGCATCTGTGTATTGCATCCAGAAGGGTCTCAAGTTCAAATTTATGGAGTACCACCACGCACTCCCCTCGGAACACAGCAGTGTGAAAAACTGAGAGACCAAAAAGATGGCCTTGGGGCAACAAACCCAGAGCAACATCTTTCTGATCAGCCGTGCGCGTGTAGCTTTCAAAGCTCCTCAATAAAAGAACCTCTGATATCAAATTCAGATGAGAGAGCATTACTCCTTTCTATTGAACCTATCAGTTGTTGTCATCGGTCTTAACAATCCTAATTCTTTTTCAATATGATACGGAGTCTTCCAAAAGCACGGGAAAAAAACAACAAATAAAATAAAATAAGAGAGAGAGAGAGAAGAAAACATGAAAATGGAAAATAAATAAATAAAAATATACACACTGGCAATCCACTCGTCCCACTCGAAAAACACAGATACGCACATTGCCTGGCGCCCTGGCCCTTCTTCCATTTCAAAGGCTCCAACTCGTTAAGCGCAGAGCCCCTCTCGATGAGTTGGTTTAAAGAAGTGAAATCACTTGGAGGCCTTAAGCTACCTAATAGCTCCTGTGGCATTTCTAGAATGTAGATGCGGGAGCGTGGGATTCCGCATTTTGCAGCAGCCTCCAGCGCCGTGTCCAGCAGTGGTACGCAGGTGAATAGGACTGATGCCTTAGATGCCTTAAGCTGATACGCCAGCTCATCAGCCGTGGAAGCGGCGTTGATCAACGTCGCTATCCCCGAAAGCCTCTGAACAGCCCAGCCCAGGGGAAGGTAGTCAACCTGTGGTATTCGTGAGCCTAGTTTTATCAGAGACATCTCCTGGTACATAACGTTCTCTCCTGCTTTCTTTTTGAGGTTTGAGAGCAATAATTGTATACCGTATTCAGTGAAAAGACGCCTATGATCTTCTCCCATTCAGAACCACGATTGGGATGCCATGCAAACTCAAGGGCAAAGCTTCTGGCGAGATAATCAACGCGTTGCCGCACCTGGACGGCCGAATAGCCCTCTTCAGATACAGCCCACACGAAAGGGCTACGGGAACTCTCGAGTGAGGGTCTCCCGTACTTCTCGTTGAAGATAAAGTCGCATATTGGTATTGAATCTGGGATTGAGCCTGATGTAAGGCCAGGAGCCCAGGAAGGGGCTTTGAATACCATGGTGTTGATATGGGGGGGTGGACATCTATGAAGTATTCAAGTAATCAAAGAATGATGAAGCAAACCATCCAGTCATGGAGCTTCACGGAGGACAATTGATGGCTGCTTAAATATGCATCGTTTGTCTTGCCAACACCAAGACAGAATTTCAGTTGGAAATCAGCTAGATTCCCGAAGATATGGGTGAACTTCAAAATTTGGGCTAAAATAATCCATGTATAGTTTACAAGTGATTGCCTTATTTAGTTAATTGGTCAACTGTTAAAGCCATTTGCATAAGCCCGAGGTTGCATCCTCTGCCCGAGCTCCCAACACTCAGGGATATTTGGGAGTTCTTAGTAACTAGATCTTGGGACCATCCCTAGCAAAAATGACTCGGAAGGCTGATATCACTCTATCTGCCGCTGGGGATTTTATGAAAGAGATTATTATTGCACAATGATAAACCTGAAATGATACAATTCGAATGTACATTCCCATCTGACAGAAAATGAATTCGATTCGGCAGCTATTGGTTATAAGTTTTGTTTTTTCAGAGTGGATATCTTTAACTACATGTTAAACGTGATTCACCCATTGACCACGTATTTTAACGAGACCGCCACAACGCATTGAGATATTCATATTAAACATTAAAATTACACATGGAAGAGATCGTATAAATATATATGATTAATTCATAGAATGGTTGCTTGGCTTAATAATCCATCTTAAATGTGAAACTTACGATGTCCGAACATTTGAACTAGATGCGGGCATTGGGAGAGCTTGCAGGAGGCATATCAATTACTTCTGCCAGAGATAGCTCTGTGCAGATATGATTACTGCTTTGAGCAGGTTATATAGAGGCTGCAGAGTGTTTTAATCTCACTGTTGTCTTCTTCATAGGCCTCTTTTTGATGCCTGTGCCCATACCTGCTTTGCTAATGGCCAACAGACATATATTCTTAATTATATTCAAATAGTTATTATAATATATAAGTTGTTGAGACATTTGTGGAATTTGTAGGTTAGTTAGCTGGTAGTAGAGATACCTGAAAGGCTTGGATATCAGATTTCTTGCCCATGTTGAATGTCGCCTGATGATTATTGCATGTAACGTTATGCTAATAAAACCATTCTAGAAAACTTGGTGCCTTCCTGCAATCAGCTTAACCAGAGAAAGTCGACTCTTTTATTCAATGCCCCTAGAAATGGACAGAATAAAATATTATCACTGTGGATCACCAATCAGTATAGATCAATCCCCGTAGACTAAGTTTACCATAACTATATTAGACGCGCGCTTGGCGTCTATCCAAGCAGAGGCAGCCGCGACTCGTGTCCTTGCACCCAAAATGGACCTTACTCCCATATTCTACTTAAAAGATTAGCTCAGAGACGACACATACGACAACCTCGACCATCGCTTGTCTTCTTCCTATACACAATATACCTAATCTATACGTCCTCTTTTGTCCATCGCTTTATCTTGTTACAGTGTCTCCCATTCCATAAATATGGCATCAGGATACGACAGAGCGCTCTCAGGTCAGTCAGCTAAGATTACGGCTCTCAAGCTGCGATGCATTGCGATTGCCTGACATGTAATACAAACCTCCTAACATTCTGCCTATAGTCTTTAGGTATGCTTGTGTATAAGGAGATATATTCGCTCTTCCTGACACTATTCTAACTCCGTTCCAAGTCCCGACGGCCATGTTTTCCAGGTAGAATATGCGCTCGAAGCTGTCAAGAGAGGTATGTGTTTGCGACGCACCACCCTACCAACTATTCCCCCCCCCCCCCCAACCATACTACGGTATAACTTTATATTGATATCCCCTCCTCAATGAGACAGGCACCTGCGCCGTCGGCGTGAAGGGCAAGGACATCGTCGTGCTGGGCTGTGAAAAACGATCCGCCATGAAACTACAGGACACCCGCATCACACCCTCCAAGCTCTGTCTGCTAGACAACCACGTCTGCCTCGCCTTTGCTGGCCTAAACGCCGATGCCAGAATACTCGTCGACAAAGCCAGGGTAGAAGCACAGTCCCACCGCCTCACGGTCGAAGACCCCGTTACCATCGAATACATCACCAAGTACGTCGCCGGCGTGCAGCAGCGGTATACGCAGAGTGGCGGTGTGAGGCCGTTTGGCATTAGTACGCTGATTGTTGGATTTGATCATGGCGATAAAGTCCCGCGTCTGTACCAGACGGAGCCTTCGGGGATTTATTCGGCTTGGTAAGATAGAGGTTTCTGCATGGGGATATTTATATGTACATTTATCTTTCTAGGCTAACAGGCGGGCTACAGGAAAGCAAATGCCATTGGACGATCAAGCAAGACGGTCCGGGAGTTTTTGGAGAGACATCACAAGGATGATATGGATAGGGAGGCAACGATTCAACTGACGATCAAGTCGTTGCTGGAGGTTGTGCAGACTGGGGCTAAGAATATTGAAATCGCCATTATGGCCCCCGGGAAAACTATGGAGCTACTACCCAGCGAGCAGATCGAGGCTTATGTTAAGAGTATAGAAGCCGAGAAACAGGAAGAGGCTGCGAAGAAGAAGACGGGCCGGACTCCTGGGACAGGCACGGCGGCGATATTAACTAGGGGCGGAGGTGAGGGTGCCGAGAGTTGATCGTTCGTTTCTAAGAATTGGTGTTGGCTATGACGGATGGGTTGTTTTACGCTGCTCTTGCTCTCGATCTAGAATTCCGTATTCCAGGCCTGTTATTTTGTTGTGGAAATGGCCTTCAGATCATACAATATATTGCATTTTCAATTAGGGGGGAAAATGTAAGTGTCGTGAAAGTAGGTAAAAAGTCATCATAAAATCATAAAAATTTCAGGAAAACTTAGGCATCCCATCACAAATCATAATCCTACCCAAGCCGATCTGGTGCGTCCTTGACATTGAAGATTGTCCGCTGGTCTTTCTGCCGGACACGTTCATCCTTCAACATTCTATTAACAACCTCAGAATATTAGACGTATCCATTGTACATGTGATATCAGTCAATGAAGGAGCGGAGTGTAGCGGTCACTCACCTAGAATCAATACGGGCATCTTCCCCCTCTATCTTCAAGGCTGGCTTGGGAGTGAGTGCCTCTAGGACAAAATGGTTATCGCAGTGCGGGCAATACTCGTCGCTGTTCAAGAGAAAGTCACAAAAAATTAACGCCCCGCTGCCAACCAACCAACAAACAACCTTCATCAGCCAGTTGGAAGGCTATGTTATTACCTCTCCTCGAACTCCTGTGCATCTTTCCGGAAGCACTTCTTGCACTTCTTGCATGCGAATGTCTAGGCAGACACAGGGTCAGAATGACGCCCTTGTCCATAACTGCTATTCAACGAGGGCAGGGAAAAACGCACCATATCAAACGACTGTAGCAGCTCATGCTTCTCCTGTTCCCGATGGCATTCTGCACAGTCGAACCATCGTTTGCCTGTATGTGTAGCAAGGATGAGGATTGTGACTAGAATTTAAAGATACCCCATTCTGGAGGTCCAATGCCCAAAATTGGGGGAGTTTTACTCACAACAGGGCGAGCGGATGGAGACCTGGGCGTTTAGGATGTGTTTGCTAGGCGAACAAGCTGAATGAGCAGGGGACCAGGAGTTAAAAAAGAGGCAATAGAGGGAAGAAATATAGAGAAGATCAAAATGTGAAAGGGAGTCTATGCTCTCACCTACCACATGGTTCTATGGTATGTTGTTTAAAGAATGAAAGAAACGGCGGCGGCAGCAGCAGCAGCAGCAACAGCAGTGGGCAAATTTACAGAGATATAATCTCAGTAATATTTTCTGATATTCTTTATTTACATATATCTTTGTTCCTGTGCCCTGAACAAAATAAATGAAGAGCGCCAGAGGTCAAATAGACGGAGATTGAACTAGTCTGCGTGAGGGAAAACCAGGCGTAACTACATTTTCTGCCGGTTGATTTACGGGGTTTCTATTGGCTCCTTATTGCCACTCGCGACTCCGTCGGGCTGTACGATAAGTTCAAGCAGTTTACCCCGTCACGGGCCTTCGAGAATGCCGCCTTCGCCTTTGCCGTGATCCAACTAGCTTGAAGTTTTGTTTTGGAACGGTTTGGTTCATTAGAGGAGAGAGATTATGCTCACCCGGACTGGATAGCAGGGAATTGAACCTCCACTGCTTCCCTCACCATCAGCTCCTCCGTGTCTCCCTTCCTCCCTCGAGGGGAGTCAGTCAGAGCGCTAGTTAGGTTGGTTACCCCATGGTGTGGCTGGATTCCTGGGAGAAGACCGAACCGGAGGCTTCACCCGGCTGCAACGCTCAGTCTGCTCATGTAGATGTTTGCCAGCCCACCCTGCTCAAAGGAGTGATCAGCCGCCCGTCTTCCACCCCACCCAAGGCATCTGGGACACTATGTTACGTCCGGTGTGTATGATCTGGGTGTTCTCCCCAAGTTAGTTTGGAACTGCTCCGCCCGCGTTTTGCTGGTGCTCATGCAACGTGCTAGTGTGTGCGCTGCTCTTTCGATTGTGATGTGCTTGTCTTTGCTGTGATCGGTCCGTTGAGTCCAGAGGATTAAACACATTATTATATCTTTCCTTCAATTGATTTCATCTCTTAGAAATTTTAGTTGTATACTCTTCTGTCGGAAGTTCTAGTTTGGAGTCTACAATAATTTTACTCTACCCTAAAGATATAGGACTTCAGGGAACAAAATCTAGCTATTATATCCGTATCAGAAGAAGATTCTCGGGAGAACATCATATGGCTCCTAGAGATGAAATAGGCCCTCAAGAGGCAGTCATCATTGGGAAGGGTGTAACAATTGTTTACCTGGAGACATTTCATATCACCTTTGTCCGAGAACGCTCATAATTAGATCAGGTTTTAATCAAAAGTCGAGATTCTATTATGAACGTGAACTTTAACTGGAGAGTGAGGCCAAATGGCTGCCTTTCAGTGTTGGCGCCCCATCCCTCTACTGATGCCCTTTGAGAAGATTTGGAATTGCATCCTTCATCGTGGTCATGGCCATTTTATTTTGTGTCCTGGTGATCCTTATGTGTCACCATGTTGTAGAATCATATACAGTGGACTAGAGATTAGTGCATTATAAGTGTGAAGCTGCGGCTTTGCTTTCCTGCAAGCTTTGGTGACCCTGGGGTGCACCGACCGATCTGAGAACCTGGCTTGTAACTAAACTTCTAGTTTTTGTTTGGTCCCTTTTGGAATTGGAGACCATGGACCCGACAAACATTTTCCGGCATTGATACGATTACAGACACGTCTGGGGTGTCATTGAGAGCCCCCTTGTCGGACATTGCATATTCTGGAAACTGTTGTTCTATCCAGTTCAGCTAAACCATAAACTGGTCAAGCTCTGATTTGGGTATTGTTCAGAGATGATGATATGCTCGGCTGGTCTCAGGAGCTGCATTGCCCTCCCCCCGATCCTGATCTCTTCCTCCCGCCGTTGGCGGCCCTCCTTGGCTTTCGTTCTCATCCTAGCTAGTTTCCGGTGCTGAAAGCTGAGTGAGGCAGGTGGATGTCACCCTTGATGCCCTCAGTTTTGTCGGTATCCACGCACGACTTGCTGATACGGAGGGAATATCTCTGCTGTCTCGAGATTCTGCCGTTGGAACCCCTGAAAATAGTCCAAGTTGCCCCAAGTAAACCGCCTTTGGGACCCCAGTAGTTGATGATAGCCCCCCCCCATACCCACCACGGGTGCCTGGGTCGGTATACCAGAGTTCCGGAGAGCATACGGGTCTTCAGCCCTTCTTCATCTGCAGTCCAGTTTTCAGGGTCTGCTGGATCAATCCACCTGCAAATTATCCACGTCTACGCTCCCTACGATGTATTTTGGCTATTTCTTTCAATAACTTTTATCACATATATAATTTTATACATTTGAATAATCTTTGATCTAAGCTAAAATCATTGTCGAATAATCTTCATATTTTCACATAAAACTCACCCAGTTAAGGGAAGTAACGTATATATTTTTTCTAACATAATCAATAAGTGAGTGAACCATATAAGTGAGCGAACCACTTCCCACTCTCTATACAATGAGAATGTCTTCAAAGCCTCAACTATAAAGAAAAACTAGCAAATTACATTATAAATTATTTTCTATACACTTAGAGCATGTATGGGCAGTATGCCCAATAATCCCACAGACACTACACCATGATGCTGCACATTTTTGTGGTTGCAACTCAGCAGCCTCAACCACCCCCTGCTCTCATCCATTGACCCTTTGTACACGATCCAAGCCTTCTTCAACCCTCAAAGCACCCTCTTGAGCTACATATATACAGCCTCTTTCTTGCTTTCTCTTTTGTTTGGTATTTTGAGCTCTTAACTCCCTGTTTTCAGCTACTAGAATAGCAGCACTGTGCATTGCCATTTGACATCCCTTGACCAGCTAACTTAGGGCACAATTGGTTGGACTGGGTGGGCTCTGTGTATGATACTTGATATATTCTTTAACTTCCTCAGCCTGCTGCTCCAATTGGCGTACATTATGTGGTGTGGCTGTCACCCAGGAGGCCTGGGAGCTGTGGAGAGGTCCCTGGGGGGGGGTGGGAATATGCATCATGATATTAAGCTGTGAGAGAACCTGCTCAGGATCATATGAAACCAGCTCAGCAGCTCTAAAGCTGCTCTTGATGTTGCTCTCAGTCAGGGCCTGCATCTGAGCTGCAGGATAGAGACTCAGAAACTCCTTCTTGTCAATATGATTGATCTCAAGCCACATCTGGTTTTCCATCTGCTGTCTGTATGCAGTTTTCAGAGGTGAGAAGCAGCCAACATTCAATGACTGAAGAAGATAAGAGGAATGTGGCAGCATGTAGAGGGCAATGATCTGATTCTTAGTGCAAAATTGATCAAATCCAGCTGAGGCATGACTTTGATGCCAGTCTAGAATCAACAGTTGATATCTGCCCTTCATACAGGATAAAGTCTTCTTGTTGAACACCTCTTTCAGCCAGTACAAGTCCAGCTGGTCAGTGGTCCAGTCATTCTCACTGACTTCAATCACCCAGTCACATGATAGTCCTTCTGTCTCATACCAGCAGAATTGATGCATCTTTTCTTTGAGGATAATCATTGTACACAAGACTCAGCCAGTTGCATTGACTTCAGCAATAACAGTCACTCATTTCTGATCTTCAGACTGTACAAGCTTGGAATTCTTAGCTCTTTCAGATCCAGTCATCACCCTGGCAGTCTCAATTACACTCATCTGAAACTCTGTCTCATCAAAGTTGTAGATATTATATTCCAGGATCTCATACTTCACAATAGTGTTTCATATGAGCCTAAACCACTCACAGATAACCTCAGAATCCTCACATAGAGCCCACTGATGATTTGGACTTGCATGAGAACTTGGATTTCAGCTCATCATGACACTTGACAAAGTTTCATACCCAGCATTCACTCACTATGGGTGGGAAGTTGGATCCTCAACTGACAAGAAGAAGATTGGCCATTTCTCATACAGCTGCAACTCAGAGAGGCTGACCTCACTCATCCATGGCCAGAATTCATTGAACAAGAGATTCTTCCTCTGTAAGACTAAGTTTCCAGTTCTTTGAGGGTGTGTCAACACATGCCATATGACCATGTATGTGATGAGTTAAAGTTGCATAAGAGACTTCATATAGCTTTGCTGCAGCTCATACACTTGAAATTTGATCATTTTTAAGTGTTTGAATGGCTAAAAGAAGCCTTCCTTCCTGAGTAGAGGCTTTATTTCTTTGTGTGGTTGACATTTTTGATGCAGAGCATTTCTCATTGTATGGGAAGTGGTTCGCTCGCTTATATGGTTCGCTCGCTTATTGATTACGTTACATGCAATGTCGTATAACTCACGTGAACTAATTGTCGCTTAATTTGAAATTTCTTTAAATATGGACGAAGGTGAGTTTCCAGGCGGTTGGTCACTTACTACGTTATGGTATGTAAACTCGGACATCTATGGAACCAACTCGGCGGTTGAAACGCGTCGCGGGGTGGAGAAGTTGATTTGTACGGGAAGGGTTGGATTACGTTAGGCTTGAGCCTGGGGGTTGCTGGAGTTGGGCCCTCGCATCACGGGACAAGACGCAGCAGCCCCTTGGGACCTCGGGAGGTTTTGCTCTCGAGATTTCCTCCGCGTTGGACAAAACATCTCACCTTTGACTCCCTACAGCCTGCTAATAACGAGATCATCCAGGGGCCAACTCCAACCTATCTCCAGATCCCATCTTTCCCCTGACACAGGACCTGTGAGGTAACTGTAAAGCTATTGAGATAGTTCTCCTGAAGTCGCTTTCTCCTGCCCACTCCTGACCCCCGTCCCCTATAAACTTTTTTGACGACCCAACGACATCAACTTCGTAGCTTTCTTATTCCACCCAACCGCCCCTCCCCCATACATGGTTGAAGAACAACATTGAGGGTCTTCTTTCGCAGCTAGCCTTTGCTGCAAATTCGCCATGGAGCACAGGAACAATAATGGCAATGACGGCGCCGATGACGACTCCATTGTATGACCTCCAGCCCTACCTTTCCTCCATCTTGTTGTACTGTATAGCTACCTACATAATCTAGCTATTGCTTACTGCTAGGTAGATCCCTATGCTGACCTGAACTATTTTCCTCCTCATATAGAAACCGGTTTCCTCACTCCTCTCTCATTTTGAAAACCTTGCTCGTCTCAAACCCAATTCACATCATGCATGCCCGACTCCCGCATCTCACGAACTTCGCGATTCCCCCTCAACGTTTCTGGAAACTCCGCACGTCGTCCTAGGCCGTGCCTCACTGGATCTACCGCGCCCGGACACCTCGATCTGGACTGCTTCCCACTCCCACTCCCCGTCCTCGTCAGGATGGCTTCAAACACCAAGGAGAGATTCTGGAATTGCTACTCAAAACGCTGATGGCTCTCCCGGCAGGCGGATCCCCGCAAGACCGGTCTCGATGAATGTGTCGTCTGCCTCATGGAAAGCCCCCGCTCTAACAGCAAATACTCCCCACTCTAGCTCTCAGAAGAACGTCATTCCGGCCGCAGAGAATCGCACGAGGGAAGCCCAACAGGCCCCCGAATTATCAATCCCCGAACGTCCTCCACCCCGACGACCACCAAGCAATCAGAGCCGGCCTTCAAGTAGACCGAGCACGCCTTTAGTCGACTCCGCCGGGAGCAAGCCCGGCGGAAGCCCCCGTCAAAAAGAACATTGGGCCCGCGATAGCAAAAGTAACTCCAAAAGCTCATCTCACCCTCCCCCGGTCAATAGAGCTGAAAAGCCAAAAATCCCTGCTACCAAAAGATCCATCGCCGCTCCTCGTTTAGAAGCATCCAGCTCTCTTGCGCCTGAGTCGCGGCGGACATCCTTCGACGACAAAATATCGCCCTTCACCACCCCTCCCAATACTCCTGACAAAACACCTCCCGGCTCCATTGCGACGAACGGGCATGCCTCGGCGGCCCTTATTCGCGAGCCTATATCCGCTATTGAACCCGGACCTCGCAGTGCCCTCCATGATCCTACCCCACTTAGTAACCCTTGTCGATCCGCAGCTTTGGAGGTCAAAACAACTGGATTTTCGGCTGTGAAAAGCGCAACAGCCGCACTTAACCGCGAAGTTAAGCAACCCCCTCCGCCCCCGCCTTTAAAACGAAGCAACACAGGCTTTGCGAGGCCCCGGAATGCACGAGAAACTATAGATACACATGATGCCAGTGATAATCTGGAGGATCGACCAGGTCTGCCACTTCGCTCTCAGCCTCGAATGTCGCCTAAGGGTGTTGTCCCCTCGTGGACCGGAGGACGCGAAGTGCCGCCGCGATCTAAACCACCTCCCAGGCCCTCCTTTGATATTTCTTCTTCTAAGACAGCCCCTCCTCCTAGCTCCTCCTTACGTATTGGAAGTGGCGAGTCCAGCACCAATTTCCTCCCCCCTCGAAGAGACAGCGCTGCTATCGTTGGACGAATACCCAGCGAGCCTGTACTGTCAAATCCCACACAATTTGCGCGGTCGCCTATGCGTTCTGTAGAATCCCTCTCCTCATCCCCTATTTCCAACCAACGACAGATAGGTAGGTCCGCTCTCGTTGAGTCTGACGAGTCCGAATATACTTTCGACGATGCGCCAATTCCCCACACAGACTACCCTGATTTCTCCAATACAAACCGTCGCCCACCAGTTTTCCGATCCGGGACCAGAGGCATCCATACAAAACATGATACTCGGGTTTTTGATGTTTGTGGGAACTATGCATGTACGACGGGCTACTTTACACGCGTCTGGGACTTGGTCAGTGGAGAGCAAGTGTTAGGATTGAACCATGGAGAAACAATCAAAGGTTTATCTATCGCATTCAAACCGGGTAATACAATGCATGACGAAGGAAAGCTACTTTGGCTAGGCACGAGCGCAGGGGAAATTCATGAAGTTGATATTCAAACACAGTCGATTGTGTCCTCGCGGACATCGCCGTCCCGGAGAGAAGTTATCAAGATCTATCGGCACAAAAAGGAACTTTGGACCCTGGACGATGACGGCAAATTACTTCTCTGGCCCCCGGATGAATCTGGCGCGCCAAATCTACAGTACAGTTACAGCCATCCGTATGATAGGGTTGTGAGAGGACATACGTTCTCTATGGTAGTTGGAGATCAATTATGGCTCGTGTGCGGGAAGGAAATCCACATATATCGCCCCAGTGCCAAGGATACCAGTTTCCAAGTCCTCAAGGGACCATTGGGCAAGTCGGATGCCGGTGAAATCACATCGGGTACCACCAGCACAAAGGATGACGACCTTGTGTACTTTGGCCATGCTGATGGCAAAGTTAGCATTTATTCCTCCAAGGATTACTCGTGTCGGGCAACTTTGAACGTGAGCTTGTACAAGATCAATTGTCTAGCTATGGTTGGAGATTATTTATGGGCTGGTTATAAAACGGGCATGATCTATGTTTACGACACTTCTACGAAGCCTTGGACGGTTAAGAAGGACTGGCAAGCGCACGACCATGCCGTCTGCGGGTTGATACTGGATTCAAGCAGTGTTTGGACTGTTAATCGGTTACAAGTTGTGTCCCTTGGGGTTGATAATTATATTCGACTTTGGGATGCAATGCTGGAGGACGACTGGCTTGGTTCGTCTGGTCCCTATTCCCTCTGTTTCCTTGTTCTTGAAATTAATCCTTTCTAGAAACACGAATGCATAGCAGGGACATCGAGTACTGTCAGTTCCGTGAAATCAGTGCTGCTGTCGTTACTTGGAACGCTGGTGCAGCGATCCCCGGAAACCTAAGAGATAATAAATTCATTCGAGACGCAATCCATCCCGAAAACCCGCCTGATATTCTTGTTTTTGGATTTCAAGAGCTTGTGGACCTTGAAAACAAGAAGATCACTGCCAGTAAGTGACATTATGTTCCGACAAATATTTCCTACAAAGGACGTTTTCACGGTTTTTTATACTAACTGAAGAACCTTTTAACAGAAAGTATTCTCATGGGCAGTAAGAAAAAGGATAGCTCTGACAAGGAGCACATGAGTCGACAGTATCGCGTTTGGAAGGATTATCTTGCAACCTGCATTCAAGCTATCATGCCTCTTGATCAGCCCTACGTTCTTCTTCACACTTCAACCCTCATCGGCCTATTCACATGTGTTTTTGTCAGGGAAGCAGAGCGGGAAAGGATTAGAAGTTTAAACGCTGTGGAAGTTAAACGGGGAATGGGTGGGTTGCATGGCAATAAGGTTCGTCTACGCTCGAAGCAATATACATCTCTTTCTTCTTCCTCGTCATCAGCCAAGGCTTACAGACCCAAAAAAAACACAGGGTGCCCTCATCCTCCGTTTCATACTCGACGACAGCTCCCTCTGCTTTGTCAACTGCCATCTGGCAGCCGGCCAAAACCACACAGCCCACCGCAACAACGACATCGCCGCAATCCTCGAAAGCAGCTCCCTCCCCATGGAAACAAACTACTCGTCCCGGATCGACCTCTTCGTCGGCGGCGGCGACGGCACTTTGATCCTCGACCACGAAATCTGCATCCTAAATGGCGATCTCAATTACCGTATAGACTCCATGCCCCGTAATACTGTCATCGACGCTGTTAAAGCCAACAACCTCCCCAAACTCCTAGATCGTGATCAGCTCCTTGCCTCCCGCCGTAAGAACCCAGGATTCAGGCTCCGTTCCTTCAACGAGGCACCTATTACTTTCGCACCCACATACAAATACGATGTGGGCACCGACCAGTACGACACCAGCGAGAAAAAACGGTCACCGGCATGGTGTGACCGTCTGCTCTACCGGGGTTTTGGTAGGATTAAACAGCTCGAGTACCGCCGGCATGAAGTTAAAGTGTCGGACCATAGGCCTGTCAGTGGACTGTTTAAGATGCGCGTCAAGACTATACTTCCGGATAAACGCACGTATGTGTGGGAGTCGTGTCTGGAGGAGTTTTTGGAGGAGAAGCGGCGGTTGGCCTCGGATGCTAGGTAAGAAAGATTTCTATAATAGATACGCCAACCTCCCGCCGGATTTACTGGTTGGCTAACGTTTTATTTAATAGCATCGATTATCTGGTGCGCATTCTTGGTCTGAATCCGCAAGAAGCAAGGTCCTTGATCGCTTCTGGAACGGGGCCTAAATAGCTCCATCCTATGTTCTGCCCACGCACATAAGCGTGGATGTGTACAAACACTGCTCTACCACTCCTCCATCTTCCGCTCGTCCTCCTCTTGCTCTTTACATCACTCAATCACTCACAGCACGCCACCGCACTCAGTCAAAGATGCTGTTATCTATATTTGTATAACAGGAGCCTTGTCATGCTTGCTAAGTTTGCTTTTCTCTATTTCTTTTTCTTTTTCTTTTCTTTTTGTTGTGTGCTGCCCATTCATTTTGAAGAGCCCCCGTCCTTACCCTGTCCTGTCATCGGAAACTGGAAAAGGAAATCACATTGCCCCAGGTGGACTCTTATCAATTTTACTTTCCTTATACTTATCCTTACCAGTTAATGACGCCAAATGATTTTATGATTTTGATTTGATTTATAAAAGACACGACATGCGGAATGAGAATGCATCCATGCACGCATTGTTTTTTTCCACTATCGTTTTTCCTCGGTTTCTTCTACATTGATTTAATGATCTCGCGGAATGGATGCCTATACCTTACACCTAATCTATTCAATAAGGATATTATTAAATTAGACACGAAGCAGCCGTAGTTGCTTTACATGGCGGTTATGGATGGATACTTGATATTGGTAGGGTCGAGGATTTAAGGTTCAGTGTATGTTTTATTTTCCCTTTTACTTTTTTATTTCTTGGTTATTCTATTTCGATTCCTTTTTGTAGTTGAACAGTGTGCTTATAATTAGAATTAGACAGATTAGACATCAGATGATTTTGTTTCTGGTGTTCGAGTTCGGTGAATATGACTTCACTACGGCCACGACAGCGATACGAAACTGTCAAACAGGAAATGTTTCAGCCCGCTACGCCAAATATTTATCCACATAAAACACTTCAATACTGATTGCTTGATCCTTTTTGTTCATTTTCTTCCGGAATTCTGAAGAACCGATGCAAAATATGTCTCAGAATTGATTTGTGTATATGGATTAGCCGGCATAAGCCATATAAGAAAACTGGGTAAAATTGGGTATTCCACGGTTATAATCTTCCGTTCGCGAAGTGATCCGCCTGTTCTAAACAACCAAGCACAAAAAGAACGCCTCTAACAAACCAAAATCGTCACATAATCACCCTCAAGATGGCCCAAGCAGTGAAGAGCAAATATATCCTTGGTGATGGATACGATTGGGACAATTGGTACAAGAACGTACGCTCTATGGCAGTTTCACGAGGGTACTGACGATATATCGATTTTGACGCCGAAGAGATCGAATCGCCGAAAGAACCCGAAATCTATGAGATCGAAGATGATGCTGATCCTCAAATAGTCATGACACGTTTTGAGATGAACAACATAAAATGGGGGAAGTTCTAGGAATACGAGATATCAACCAGATTCATGTATATATACAGCACGTCAAGCCTTGATCCGCACGCACTGAATCAACTGTCAGATGAGGTGAATCCACGCAAGTCCTTCAAGAACTAAAGAATTATACCGCTCCTACTAAACAGCAGTGAGAAGATAATCTCACTGATCGTTTTCTGAGGCTTTCCAGCCATGACGAGGTTAAGAGGAGGCCAATCTTCGAGTTGCTCCGAGATTGGGAGGATTGCCGTCGTCTTATTCTCCGTTATGATGTGGACGGATTTACAAGTGAAACAAGGCAATCTATATAGGTTCTTGGATGCTGTTCAGGCTATTCACCCCTAATCCACCGACTTCCGCCTTGAAGAGATGGAGAATCATATTTTGGCGAAGCGCGAAACATATACAGTCCGCGAGATGATACATCACTTGAGGAATCACTGCAGATCTCGCAGAAATGGCAGTGAGTGAGGCAGGCGCAATTCGGAATACAGCATTCGCTGCTTGCCAGGATCGTACAACTAACTCTACGCTGGAGCGTCCTCAAGCGGAAAAGAATACTTCGAATTCCGCCCAAAATATCAATAAGCCGGTTGAATCTACGATTTCTAGGAACCCATCGCGTTCATGTCTCTGCGGGGGAAACCATCGCTACGCCCGCTGCTGGATCATAAATGAAAGCATCAGGCTCAAGGAGTTGGATGAAAAATGCTAAAAAAAAGAAAAAAGACGCAAAAGTGAAGAAAGCTCTAGAGGAGCCAGCAACGAAAAGAGAGTAGATAGTGCTCTTAATATGTCAAGGCAGGACAGGGATAATCAAGTGGTTGTTTTCCCCTTTTCGGGTGTATGAGATTCAGCGCTCTTCTCGGTTCATAGAAACCCACTCAGTATTCGTGTAAGCATGAGCTTTACGACAATAAATATGAATCGTTGATCCAAGTCACCAGCATGTATGATATGTATGCCGCCATCCCATTGCCAGCTGCGGCAGAGAATGTATCTCCCCCGATTTTTGGAGATCCGGGTATGGATGGGGTGGGGGGGGCGTTTTGGTTGTTTAGTCGGTTTTGTTCCACTGTACCCTTGCTAACCCTCAGCATCAAAGATCTGAGCTGTCGGGTATGGATGGATGTATGATATAAAGATAGGGGTACGCTCAAAGAACTATGGTTATATTTAGTATATATGTATATATATTTGTATAATCTCTTTAATTACAATTTTAATTATTTTTGCATATCTATAAAAAACAGCTACTCAATCAAGTGCACGTAAATGTTCGAAGAAATTAAGATATATATATATGTCTGCCATCAGTCTTCCAAAACCAACGCGCATCGCCCCCATAGGGTCAGAGACAACTGGCCTCTCCTTTGCCACCTTGCATCTTACACAATCTCCAGATGCAGAGGTCACGATATATGATACCAGGCCGGACTTGAAGGCGTACATCAAAGAAACACTACCAGGTTAGCCCTTCTCAAGCTCCGATTCATTTACACCTTTACACATCCACAGCCAGTTCTAACGTGATCGCCGAATAGGGTACCTTAGCACCCTCTGTCCAACCCAAACGCTCCCTTCCCTCCATTCCTCAGACCGCCTCACCCTAGCAGCCGACCTCGCCACCGCCGTCTCAACAGCCGACATAATCCAAGAGCAAGGCCCCGAAACCCCCCTCCTTCAAACAGTCCATCTGGCAACAAGTAGAAACCCACGCACCCTCTCATGCTCTCTTCTGGTCCAGCACCTCCGGCATCCCCCGCCTCCACCCAGGCAATTAACATGCGCGATAAATCCCGCTTGATCGTCGTCCACCCTTACAACCCGCCACACATCATGCCGCTTCTTGAACTAGTCCCAGGCTCCAACACCACCGGCTGAACCTGGTCGAGCGGACTCTTGCATACTGGAAACAGTTCTCAAACGGGCTCCCGTGCTGCTTGAAGCGGGGGACGACGGGATTTGTGGCGAATAGGCTTGCATATGCACTTCTGCTGCGTGAGGCGATGCATCTGGTGCGTGAAGGGGTTGTTGGGGTGGAGGAGTTGAATGCTATTGTTGAATACTCTATGGGGCCGAGGTGGACGGTTCCCAGGGCCGCTCAAGTCATATCATATGGGCGGTGGGGAAGGGGGTTGGAGGGCTTTCTTCGACAAGATTGGGGGGACGGTGCAGGCTTGCTGGGAGGATCAGGGTTCTGTTAGGTTTTGGGAAGGGGGAGGGTTGGGAAGAGGGGGTATTTGCGGGGACTGAGGGGGCGTATGTACCATCTGCTGCATTAAGTGTGCGAGAGAGAGATGAGAAGACGAAAGCAGTGCTGAAGGCCAGAGGTGGTACAGAAGAAGTTGGGCTGAGAAAGCAATTTTTCGAGCAGGGCTTGATATATAGTCACTATAACTATACGTTTCAGAGAGTGTTCATATCACATTCTATGAAGGATTAGAGATAGTTCCCAGACCGGGTAATCTCCAAAGAATCCCGAGTGCCCATGTTGCACGCCTCTTTGGCAATTGCATTTCATCTATATATTAAGTTATTAGCAAGTGGAATTAAAATCCGTAAACATAAGAAACGAACCATACAGCAGTTAGGCTACTCCTCTTCATAATTGATAGTATGTTCAATGATAAATAATGCCGCCCAACCGGCACCGAAAGAAATTAAGACCCGTCTCCCATGGATAGATGGTATCACCACTGTCATAATCAGCGTCCACCACCACAGCGGCAACACCGTCACCGAACATGTATATTATCAGTCAAGCAGACAAAAAAAAAAGGATATATTCCAATCCGAAGAAGATATTGGATAGGCAGGGTCTTGCTACGACTCGAACGCGGGGCCTCTCGCAAACTTTTGCATTAGGGTGGACCTTAAGCGAGAATCATACCACTAGACCACAAGGCCTGATTCTGTTGGAATTTGCCATGGCCAAAAGACTGACCCTTGAGACATTGGTGAGGTGTGGGTAGAAAGGTAAAAATATAGAATCGGGGCTGCGTGATGTTGTCGGGTTGAAGTAGAGCGGAATCCGTAGCAAGGTCATGATGTATGTATGTATGTATGGGAGGGGAGGGGAAAAGGGGAAAAGGGGCAGGGGGAATTGTTGGACAAAGAAACAAAAATGTGAGTTCTTTCGAACAGGGTCCTGCCGCGATTCGAACGCGGGGCCTCTCGCAGGCCAATTTAGGTTGGGAAACCCAAAGCGAGAATCATACCACTAGACCACAGGACCTGTCGCTGTTGAAGGTGAGTGACCATTGGCAGCCTTTAGTCGGAGAGTAGCTTCCAGCGGTCTGCCCCCACCAACACATGTCACTTTTCATTCGGGTGTCACGGAGCGCAGTTTTAGCCCTATAATTTAACCATCTCAATCTACGGCGCATGCTCAAACAGGATAATAGGACCCTTTTTTAATGCTGGTTCAGGAGAGCCGCTATAGGCTTCCACCCTTCAGAATGATGGTCTGAAACTTATCCTTCAGACCGGACATCTTGCCTTTTTGCATACGCCATTTTTTACAAATCACACGCGTGGAGGGAGCCGAGGTGGTAGATTGTTATGCATCTGCACTAGGGATCTTATATGCGATGGGTTGATTATATTGGGTTAAAATTACGGATTGCAAGGTAACGCACGAGTTCTCAAAGCCCCATTCACAGTTTTATTAGGAGCTAGCTGTTGACTCGATGTTCCAACATCCCCCTATCTCAACATCCGTCTGTTTCTGTTCAGGTAGACTAACATGTGGAGATACCAAAATTACCTCATTTTTCGGCATTAAACAATGGATATATAGATTAGATCGTGTGCACCACTTTGTTGACGATGGCCTGGGATTATGGAGTCTGAATAGCTGAAGAGTGTGCTATGTATAACTACTATTAATGCGCAAGACACATGCATAGCGTATGAAGTCCGAGGGTCGCTTGGCCTTTCATCTGAACAGGGTCTTGTGGTCTAGTGGTATGATTCTCGCTTAGGGTTCACCCTAATGCAAAAAGTTTGCGAGAGGCCCCGCGTTCGAGTCGCGGCAAGACCCCGAAATTTCTTTTTTCCCCCTTCCTTTGAAGGGATATATATATATTTGCTCATCTTTAGACATTTTTGGATTTTCTTTTACCTCGTGTCTTTTCTCATTGGATTGCAGTAATACCACTTCAACTTTTTGGTGTGTTCGCAGCCGTCAACAGTGGGACCAACCGTCTGGAAGTTACCCATGACTCGACCCTCAAATTTGGAGGATCCAGGACGGTCACGCTACGGCAAAATGAAATAAAACTGACATTTCTTGAAATTTGGTGTCCGGCTGGCTGTGCGAATCGCAGTGACGGAGTCTAGCGTTTGTCCGAGATGGATAACGTCCCTGAATACCACCGACGTGAACTACAGGGACTATAAAAACGTCGGGAAACCCTTATATCACCTTCATCTCTGAAAATCCTGCGCCCCGGTCTCACTTCTGGCAGCGGGTATTCCCTGCTGTCTGATGCCGTGATATTTGCTGGCACGTCAAGATGATTGGATGATCATGGCCCGCCATTGATCTGGACTTTAGCGAAACAAACTGTTTCAATATTCTGGGGTTCCATCAATCAACACGGGTTGTTGCAGCGGATGAAGCCCCAAACTGAAAATATATTATGTCGAAAGCTTATGGAATCAAATGACTGACGGGAGGTGGTGACGTGAGATCTGAGAAGTTGACAGACATTACGGAGAACATTTCCCTCCCTTGCAGGGAGGGGCCTCTGAATGTCCATAGTCTGGGCTTACCTTCACATTGACTACAAAATGGATCCAAGGAGCTCTGAGGCCAGCGAGCTGGATTTTTCGCTCAGGAGCACTCAGCCCGCAGCGCCCTTAAGGTCGTGAGATGGAGTGAGCAGACACTCACTTCATGGAGAATCGGTATTCCGGTAGTTGCTTCTCCCATACATGGGGCCAACGAATGCTGAGTTGACCTTTTAAAATTTTGTTCCCAAATAATATTTTTATAGTTTTGATTCTGTTTCTTCTCCTTCAATATTGAGGTCGTTGAGGGTTGAGGGTTTCAAATCATTGGTAGGTCGAATTGTCAGGAATCCATCCACTGGAGCAGAACATACTGAGACGGTAGCAAAAGAGAACAAGAAGCTTAAAGAGGGAGCAGTTCAAATAGTAAGTGGCAATTGGGTTCTTCCGAGCTGCTGGATGCCAGCTGCTTCTCGCTTCTCAAACACCATTTGATTTCTGCTCCACAGTCGTTGACTCGGGATATAATTTACAGTTCAAATACTTGCTAATATCGCTCCCATCAAATTCCTCCGTCGTGAAACCATTCCCTAGATATGCCCAGCGGTTCTGACTCCAATATTCGATTTCATAATCCTCATACTTGGGTTCTTTCATCAGATCAAAAAATGCCAGTCTGCTCCCTGGCCACATCACGATGGTACCGTCTTTTCTACCTTGTTTGAACCAGCTGGAGCACGGATCTGCCCAGCACGTGCGACGAAGGTATACTGATGCATGCTCAAGGAAGTCTTTAATTGCACTCTCTTTCGGGCTGAGGCGTCGGATATGCTCTTTGCGCATTTTTCGGATTATTTGAATGAAATAATTGGTGAAAAGCGTTGCCAGCGGTAATATGGACCCCTGAGCAACCGGACTGTACGGGCCACTGTACATGAAGTAGTTTGGCACGCCAGACACACCAACCGAGAGATAGGTCTCCGGAGACTTTTCCCACCGAGTGGCGATGTCGACCTTATCCAGACCAATGATCGGGAATCGAGGTCGAAATGACGTGTCAAAACCTGTTGCACAAATGATAATATCAACCTCAACTTCAGTGCCGTCCGCTGTCAAGAACCCCTTTGGCGTGATGCCTCCAATTTGCTCGGTGTAGCATGATGTTTTCTCGCCGACAAGCGCCTCAAGATAGCCGTCTCCTGGAGTGGGGCGTCGGCATCCCACATTGAAATCCTTGGGTATGATTTTTTCTTTAAGGTGTTGGTTGTTTCCCAGTTTCTTTGACATATCATTATAAGCGTACTAAATGTAGCTCTTTTAGTTGGGATATTGCGTGAGGGAGGTAATTTTCAGTGGACTTACTTCATTGGCATCCTCTGATTCTTTGCTGTTTCTTAAAGCGAATCGAAATCTCCTCGTCAGCTCATCCTCAATCATTTTTCGATATTTTCTGTATTTTTCCGGGTCCCTCCTCCATTCCTCCTTCTGCTCTTCGGTGTCTAGGGGCATCATGTCAGTCTTGATACATCTTTGCCAGTCGGGAACAAATGAGGTCGACAGACATTCAAAATTACCCCCGTCTGGTCCAGCAAACTTTTGCGCAAAACCGGCGGTGATCCAGGTCGGGCTTCTCACCCACGTATAAACCCTGGACGCATCTTTGTAGATTGCCGCAACGGTCTGAACCCCTGAGCTACCGGATCCAATGACGGCCACTCTTTTTCCGGTCAGGTCAAACCCTTCTTCGTACTTTGCCGTATGGAAAAGCCGGCCCTTGAAGGACATCAATCCAGGAATCTCGGGCCATTTCCAAGCACTGTACGCCCGGTTAGCTAATCATCATATACTCACAAGATATTATGCGTGGCGGTATACTTGAGAATTCCGGTTCCATTCAGCAGAATGTTACACTCGTCATCCCACTCTCTAACCACCTTGTCCTCCGCGTTGCTTTCTTCCACATGCACCACCCACTTCGACTTATCCTCATGCCACTCCGCACGAGTGACTTTAGACCTCAAATGGATATACTTCATCATTCCCTCCTCATCCACAATATCCCTCATATACTGCCAAATCTCCCTAGCCGGGCTATAATACTTCGTCCAATTTGGATTTGGCCGCCAACCGAACTGGTAGCTGGCGCTCGGTACGTCGCACGCACACCCGGGATATCGATTCTCCAACCACGTACCTCCCACATCATGGTTCTTCTCGTAACTGACGAATTCGATACCCCCTGTTTCTTTGAGCTCACACGTGGCGTGGTGCAGGAAGTCAATACCCGCGGCTCCGGCCCCAATAATTATTATCCGGAACTTTTTCCCCGGAGGAGGCTCGTTGATCATGTGGTCTGTGATTCGATATCCGTTACTTGATGTGATGTCCCAATCTTCACTGAAGATGGGCCTGTTGGTGGATGTCGGATGTTCAATGTTGGGGTTGTTGCTCCCCAGGGCGAGGCGTTTTGAGTCGCTGGATTTTGCAACATCGGCTGTCCCGTTACCGGCCATCTTTATTTGTATTCGAAAGCATATAGAGATCCCTGTCGCCGGCTGGATGGCTGTCTTGGTTATATATAGAGCTGCATGCCCTGTTAAATGGGATTTCTCGCGGCGTTATTCTAATTTTCCGTTCGCGTGAAGAGTTGTCGGCCGACACGAAAAGGGATTCCTAGGTTACTAAAATTCGACCAAGAACAGCCATTTACATCGATTATGTCAATGGGACCAAGAGGAAGGTATCTATCAATGTTCGTTCCTGATACACTAATAGACGATGAAACTTCTAGGAATGCGGGGGAGCAGGGAACTGAATACGAACCCCGGCACCGCGGTGCCTATTTCGGCATGTGGAATGGGGAAAATTGCCATTGGCAGCTTGGCTGGAGAGGTCGAAAATTACACTGTATGTGTTAAAATAGCGTTTTATATTCAAGTTTTTTCTCAAAGGGAATGCTGAACTACTAGTATGTACTCTCTCACAGTGCATATGGGATCCCTGTTCTTGTCGTCCTCTTGAAACAACTTGAAATGACGTTGGGAATAGTTAACTGTCAGACGGTTCGGGTTCAACCGAATTACCACCAATTGCCAATTAGTCTAGGGAAAATGAATAATTGGCTTGATTTCTTTAACTACAATCTACGATAGGATCTGATTCTATGTCCAGGCTCAAATCCTATTAATCAAGGTCGAATTCGGATGGGCGAATTTGAAATCGGTTGAGCCAATTCAAAGGGGCAATTTAACTGTATTATGAAAATAAAATAAAAAAAAACACCCGAATTTGGCACCAACTTAATGATCCAACCACCCGCCGTCGACTTTGTAACACGACCCTGTAACAAAAGATGCTTCATCGCTTGCTAAGAAAAGAAAAACTTTCGCTATCTCATCTGGCTGTCCAACTCGCCCTGATTTATAGTCATTTAGTATTAGCGGATGGTATCATGGCAAAAGGGGTTTAGGTTGTGATGTTCAATAAACTTCACGTGTAGAAGCTGATCTTGAACACAATGGGATCTTAGATAACTAGTGATCGAGAACTCACCTATTGGTGATTGTGCAGCGATTTCGCGGGCGTTGGGGAAGAGATCTAGTAATGCAGTTTCCACAACGCCGGGGCACACACTGTTCACCCGGATGCCATATTGCATCAACTCTTTGGCAGCAGTGATTGCCAAAGTGCGAACTGCGAATTTGGTCATGGAATAACAGGCAATGTTAGGCCGCGAGCGCAGTCCAGCTGTCGAACATGTCAAGACTATTGCGCCGGGCCTCTTCATGGCGATCATCTTTTTTGCTGATTCCTTCAGGCCGATGAATGCTGGTATATAACGAAACGTATTAAAAGAGTTTTGCTTTATCGAGCAGATCAGTTTACAAATTATCAAAAACTCACCACCCCGAGCATTTATATGCATGAGTTTATCGAAGTCTTCGAGGCTTTGCTCAACAATAGGAGCTTCTCTCCCTCCTATTCCAGCATTCAGTATTGATATATCCATTGCTCCAAATACTTTCCAGCATTTCTCTATCGATTGAATGACGGACTCCTCGTCCGCGGCATCAGCCTGGTGAAGTACATATCGGCTTTCATCAACGCCTTTTTGTTTTAAGAAAACACGGGCTCTGTCAAGGTTCGGTTGACTAAAGTCGACGATAAGAACCATTGCACCCTGCTCAAGAAAACTTGTGGCGATGGCAAGCCCAATCCCAGCAGCTCCACCAGTGATGAGAGCCGTTTTGTTCTGTAAACGCCCTGTGGCCATATTTAGTGATTTCCGGGCGTTTGGTAGTTAACTAGCTAACAACTCTCCGAGCTGCGTATGAAGGAAGAAGAGTATTCTGATCAAGATCTGGCGACACCCACAGTTACAGCATCAGGCATATTCAAGGCAAGTTGTGTTATATTCGCCAATTCTTGCATTGCCGGGAGCCTAGGTGTGGGGTGAAGGCAACAGAGTTGCACAGCTCACGATCAAATGCGGGGACCCACGGCTCTTGAAGCGTTGACATGAGTGTAGGTTGACAGCGAGAAGGAAATGCCGAGTTTGTCTGCCATTTGGCACACCATTCCTTGTCCAACCCGATCTTTTCGGTTAGCAAGTACACCAGCTCTCGGGGATCAGCGCCTGGGTCTGCTTCGAACGTAATTAAATGTAAAGACACTTGAACGGTGACAGCAATTAGGCGGATGGCTGTTTGGGTTGACAAACCCCTCATCCTTTTTGCTCAGAGTCGGCTCACCTCTATGCCTCATCTAATATAACGTTACCTACGGCACGTACAAAACAACTCCATAGTTAGTTATAAAGTTAACTATACACATAAATTGTATCAACCCCAGGCAGGCTCACCAGCCAGGAGTGAGATTTAGTCATTGCAATATCGCACCCTGAAGATATTAGATGGAAAATTCTTTGAAAACAGTCATATTCAATATTAATCTGTTTCAGCTCACTGATCATGTTCCATGATCAAAAATTTCAGTCATGCAGCATGCTGAGGCTTGATCCATCAGCATTAAAACAATGCTGCATTGGCTAATAGAAGGGGAAGAGTGTGTATAGGTTCTTGCCGGCTCGACTGTGTTCCTTCTGGTGGGGCAACTTGATACAAAGAATGCACAGGATGAGGCGGAATGATGTAACTGAACGAAAGCTGAGGATAGCTAGCTAATTATTAATGGAAACCATCGTAGTTAAACGAAGGTTAAATTCATCACTCTGTGTCTCATGACATCTCTGACGAGCTCCACCTCGGGAGCCGCCATCCGGTTGCTTGGGCTGGCAGCGTTGAACTCATAGCCGATAGTTACTAGATAGTTACTGCGGAGTTTTTAGCATAGAATAGAGTCCGGTACATTCAGCGAGAATAGCGTTGAAAGAAAGCCACTTGGTTGATTCTATCCTCTGCGGATTTCACTCGGCGTTGTGTAACTGTGGAATATCCAATTTTACGCTATATTTTCTTCTATGGCTTCTGCCGGCTAATTTATTCTGCATCAGATTCTTCTCCGGAAAATCAGATAGTTCGGATTATGTGGCGTTTTAACTTTTAGTTACGTTCGGGGGAGATAGTGAGCTCTCTGGAAGTTGCCGACAGCCGGTAAGTTAATTTATTCCGGTGACCAACCCACCCCGTAGCAAAACCAGCTCAGCGACAGAGTTGAATTCATGAAAAGGAATGTGAATAATAACTATATATATATTTGCGAATCACATGGGAAGCAATAGTACGAGACGCGGGACGGATCTATTTGCCAACGGGCGCGAGGGGCAAAATTTACCGAGACTCAAAGATTTGGCTTGACCCAGTTAGGTTGTCTCTTCTCCCGGAATGCAGCAAGACCTGCGTTTTGAAGTAACGTCAACTTTGGGCTCGTTCGATGATCGTGGTGTGGAATGAATGAACGAAAAGTAGGCGGAGAAAAAAAATTCAGATTGGATATAAGAAAAGGTCTCTCGGAACAGTGAGGTCAACAACAAGAACTTACCTTCACGGAGGTTCTGACCCTCATACAAATTCTTCGAATATCTCATGTGGGTGTTGAAAACCGCCTTCGACACATCTCCAACCTCCCACGCCTCTCTCAAACCGGCCCGAGTTACAATAATCGCATCTGGACTAAGACTAGAAATTTCCTTCGCTAGCGACAATGCCTCATCCATGAGCGATTCATGAGTTTCGGAAATGCGGTTGATAAGCTGCCATGCTTTTGCTTCCTCGGCGGATATAGATCTGCCCGTCAAGGCGATTTCCGAAGCAATTTGTAGTCCGGCGATGCGAACGACGCGAGGTAAGCCACCTGCGGCTGCATACACACCGCGTTTTGCCTCTGGGAGAGCAAACTTGGCGCGAGGAGAGGCAACAACAATGTCGCTATGTATAACACAAAGATTGAATCAGAAAACTATCATCTTAGCTTGAAAGTTAGCATGTAGAATGGGCCTCACCAATTCAAGCATATTTCGAAGCCGCCTCCGAATGCGAAACCATTGACAGCAGCGATTATGGGCTTCTTGCCCTTCCGCTGGCTGATACCAGCAAACCCGGACGGTGGATGTCCCTTTAGGTATTCCTGCGCTGGCGGGGTTTTGCTGTTTCTTTCGAGCTCAAGAAGGTCCTGGCCAGCGCAGAAGGCTTTGTCGCCAACCCCGGTCACGATTCCAACTTGTAACGTGGGTTCATCGTCGAACCACTGCCAGATCGTGTGCAAATCCCAGTGTCCCTGGAAAGGAATAGAATTCATGTACCTAGCACGGTTAATGGTAACAAGAAGCACCCTGGGCGCGGGATAAGACAGGAGGTACACTGAAGACTGTGGGGGAGCGGTTGTGAAGGAAGCCATTGTGAAGGTTTGCCGCTCTCGTAGAAAAGATGTAAAGATCTAACTAATCTGAAGAAGAAATATGTCTTCTAGAGCGAGTCATTGTCTGCTCTGAGATCTCTCTGCTTACAGCTAATATCGTGGGCAATATGAACCTCGGTTGCTCGGTATTAGTAATGTCTAGCTCAACGGTTGAAGTGCCGGTCTTGAAGATCTAGGGAGACGGTTAATGGTTTAGAATATTTCAAGCAGGGCATGCCTATAAGGATATCAAAAGTCGTATAACAACCGCCAGAGCCCAGAAATATGTAGTTATGCCAGTCCCAAGTCCCTGGTTAATCACGTCTCATTATCCAATGCGAACTGCAGCCATGAAGCGTTACAGCGGTGCATGTCTTGCTTCTCAAATCTGACACCAAATGAGGCATGTATAAAAGAAGAGACTACTCCCTCTCAAGGAGAAAGGTGCCTAGCCGTATAAAATTCACAAGATCAATCAACTGGGCGATGGATTGAGAGATGCTCTTCCTAGGTCCGTTTCTGGGCTTTGATTGTCTTAACCGGGCTCGCTGAGTGGCCGAAGGCGAAGTTAAGATTAACCGGATCCTAGGAGTCGGATATCGACCAAGAGGTATCAGCCTGAAAAGACAGTTATGCCGTTGGTTCCCTGATTCCCAGAATTTTAGATAAATATTGATCTGAGAACCCAGCTCATCTTGTATTCTGCCCTCTTCGATGTTGAATTTAAGCGTCCTCAAGTTGCAGTTTCTTTGCAAGGTTATTTAGCTTCGAGGGACGGTTTCATCACGAAATAAATACGAGAAAGAAGAGTCAATTGATCAATTGACCGGCGGTGATTCTCGATAAATGAACCCGTTAGGCCTCGGTGTATAAAGCAAAATGTGTCCTCTACTCCCATCATCGAACGAATAGAGAAAATCCGAAGCAGGCCGGGGTGAACGATTCCAGTGATCCGATTAAAGCTATGTAAATGTATACACTTTATTATCATAACAGATGGTGTTTTGAAGTGGTTGATATTCACAACCCTCGCATAGAGATATGAATGGATTCTGCGATTACAGGTATGACGTCAGGCAGTTAACTAGTTAACTAATCATCCCGGGAGTCAACTCGAGTATCTTGCTTTTTTCCATCTGCGCACCAATTTTCAACGCAAGCCAAACCACCTTTATTAAAACCAACACAATCGCAATGAGCCAAACGTATACCTGAGCATTGCTGAGTCAATCTCTAAGCTAGTAAATCTATGTCAATCCCCCAACCGCCCAGACATACAAATCTCACCTCTTCTCCGTCGTCTCTGCTGCTCCTCCTCTTCCTCTCATTCTTCATCCTCGCCTTCTTCCCAACCCTTTTCATCACCCTATTGAAACCGCTCTTCTACGTACCACCCCTCAACCTGCTCTCCCCGTTCTTATCCACACCCACGATCACTCCAGCAAACACACCCCGAAATCCCAATCCGACGAAAATGGCCTGGTTCCAAACCACTATAACCCTCCCCCCGCGCTCACGCGGCTCCTACCTAGTAACCGATCATGTTGTTGCTGAACTGCCCGAGTTGCGCCGGTATAAGAAAGGACTGCTTAATCTCTTCATCCAACACACCAGCTGCGCCCTCAGTCTGAACGAGAACTGGGATGCGGATGTGCGAGTGGACATGAGTGATGCACTGGATCGCCTTGTGCCTGAGGACCGTAAGGGGGAGTTGTATAGGCATAGCGCGGAGGGGCCAGATGATATGCCGGTTGGTTTTGGTTCCATAGATATATTCTCCTGGCCTTTTGAGATTTGGATATTCTATATATACAGCGCAGTTGTTAATTGAGGGCACACACAGCATGCAGCGAACCAGTAGCTAACGTTCTTCAATTTATGTAGGCGCATATCAAATCCGCCCTCATCGGCGCATCTATCACCATCCCAATCTCTGATGGAAAACTGGCTACGGGTACCTGGCAGGGTATCTGGTATCTGGAATTCCGCGCCAGCAGGCATTCGCGCAAAGTCGTGGCAACTATTCAAGGAGAGACGAACTAGTCTGCAATCTTTTGGTTGGCTGTCTTCGTTTTGTGCTTTGTTAGGCTCTTCAATTCGGTAGGTGGTTAGCTGGGGTGTTCATTAGCGACAAGGTCGCAGTTAAAATGGGATTTCACATAGATAAACGGATACAAAAGTGCGATTAGATGCTCTTCTGAGGAAGAGGACTGGGGATGTAATGTCTTGGGAGGCCTGAGATCCTTTGTCTTTTGGACATCATGATAAGCTAAAGTATATACATAGACAAATGAGAAGTTATCCAGCCATCCAATAAACAGATTTTGATTTCAGATGCGCAGGTCTTAGGAGTTTTCCTAACTGCTTTTGGTATCAGCAGAGCCCGGTAACAAAGGGGGAGGCAAATAACATAGAGTACATGGGGGGCGGGGGGGGGGGGGGGACTAGCAGAATCGAACATGAAAATAGAAATATAATAGCTTGTCAAGTAGTTCCGGAAAACTTGTGTTTGTCTATTCCAGCAACGCGGATGTTTAGAGAAGGTAGCTACACTCAGGGACACATTTTGGCTGAAATATGAATGTAATGAAGGGGGAGTATATTATATTTTGGCTTGGTTGGATCTCATCTATCGTTGCTCTGAAGAAGCTTTGTTTACTCCCGCCGGATCCCCCAATGACTCCAATGGATACGACGTTTGTGGTAGTGCTTCGAGAGCTTTCCGGTTGTGTTCATTTGCCTGTTAAATTAGGTCAGACACAAGCATTCGTTAAGTCGTGTTAAGGAAAAGAATGAGGCAGCTGCCACGTACAAATGGAAGTCCGCAGTATTCACACATGCAAATTTGTGGCTTGTCTGTGTTGATGAAGATTCGGGGGTGGCCGAGGGGCCCTCCACCACCGTCGCACGAGACTACCTTCTCCTTGGTCCATCGGACGGGCTGCTTGTGAATCAATTCAATGGCTGCGTATGGCCGGGGCTGTTGTGGCGATGTTAGCATAAATTTGTATAAACTTGGGATTCATTCCAACGGCCAATGAAAAAGATAAAAATGGAAAATAAAGAGGCTGCCCAATTAGCATGCCCGACAAGTTTGCTGTATATATAAATCGTTCCATCAAGTCAAGAAACAGGATCACCATTTTCATCCCATGCAAAAAGAAAGAGGGAAAAAAAGCCAGGTCGCAGCACAAGCAGATTCCCAAATACACAAATAAAAGCCCGACGAACCTGATACTCCATCACAGTCTGCTCGAATCGCGGGCCAGTCATCGCCTTCTCCCGCGGCTGCTGGCTCTTCGCCCAGATAGTGGTCCGGTTGGGCGCTTGTTTGGCTAGGTTGCGCCGTGCCTCTTCAGTCGATTCTTGCAGAGCGGCATCCTGCGCGCCCATCGAGTCTACTGGAACCGCATTGGTCTCTGAGATGGAGGCGACCTTTTGGCGCAGGTTGGGGTTGTGGGTTGGGATGGCGTTCTCTGCAGGCTCGGAGAGATTGGCCGCGGAGGTTGTGAAACCGCGGGGAATGAGGCGGGAAGGGGACGATCGAGTGGCGACGAGGCAGAGACGGGAGCGTGTGGAGGAGAGCATTGTGGGAGGACCTGGCTCCTAACCGAAGGTGCTGCAGAAGTTGTAGACAATGCAGATGGGATAGACGTAGATGCAGTCGAATGTTTGGTGGAAGGTCAAAAGTTGGTTGATGTTGAGGGTTTGATGGTCCAATGGCTCTGGCCAATCGGCTGCCTTTAACTAACTATTAACTTAACCATTCAGTTAACTAACAACGGTCATCAAACTAATTAGTTATACAACTTAACAACTTCAATCCACTGAAAAAGTTGACCTGGGAATTTTGATTCGCAACTACAGCTTCATTTTATGGGGTTTGTAGGAGAAATATAGATAGCTACATAAACTCTGGACTACAACTTACAGAAAATAATTGCATAATTACATAAACACCAAGCATATTGATATCTCCATCTTCAACGCACTGTCTCCCATTGTTCAATATTCAATTATCCACCATGATGCCGACCCCCAAATCCCCAAAACAAATGTCATCGCGGCTGCTGACCATGAAGGTATGGCATCCTTCAAGTTCTCCGTCAAACTATATTGCGCTGACACTAGTAGTTCATGCAACGTGCGGCGGCGGCGGCGGCAGCCTCCTCCAACCAGGACTCAAACAGACCTGCAACCCCCACCCATTCGCAAGCCTACCACGATGCCGTAAATAGCTCTTCGCCATCGCCCAAACGCCAGAAGCTCTCTTCTCCCCTAACACCCACATCGTCCTCCACTCTCGCCAATGCCAACTTAGATCTCGAAGCCATATCCGCTGCTATAAGAGCTGAGGAAGAGAAACGGGCAGCTGCCATCGCAAGACAGGCTGCTGAGGCTGGTGAGGAGGAGTGGGTTATCGAGTATCCGCCGGGGACATTTCCGGTGCCATCTCCCCCGGTCGTGGATGGGAATTCCTATGGGTTTGGGGATGAGTGGAATGAGGGGGTTATAGGGAGACAATGTTTTGGGGGATTTAAGAGGGAAGGGAAGGGTCAAGTGGTTAGTATTCTTCCTTTCCTTTCCTTTCTCTCTTGGTGGTTTTGTATCTGATTTGTGGGACGCAGGCAACAATGACCACTAGCTCGCATAACATCGACGAAGATGGGGATGAAGAAAGCGAAGGCGAAGTTGGTGAAGGAGATGAGGAAGAAGATCATGATAATGATGAAGACGACGAAGATGGCCTTGGGGCCATTGCGTACAAGGCAAAATTAAAAGCTGAGAAGAGGAGGGCTGAGAAGCGTAAGGAGAAGAACAAGAAAAGAAAATCTGGTGATGGTAGTGTCAATCTCAGCCGATTGACGAGTATATCGGGTGGCATTGATAAGGGAGAGCAACAGCGGCAGTATCAGCGATACCATCATAACCAACGAGGTGGCAGTGGGAGGAGGGGGAAGAGATGAGGTGATATGGATCATTGGAGTTAATCGATTGAGGATTTATTTCTCCTTTTACTATTTGCATCATGTTGTTTGCATTCAGGATGTGCTAGGGATTATGCTAAGGGGTTCTTTGGCTCTAAGGGCGCGTTGGGTACGAGGTAAATATGGGATCATTCCGCTATGCATTAAATGATACGATACCGCTAAGCGTAAAAGAAAAAGAAATATTTACAGACAGCAAGAATCTCTATATAATAGTTCTCCTATAATAACCAGTCATCTTAAAACCAAAGTACCTTCAAAAACACTTGAAGCAACAAATACTTCAAGCAGGATTCCATTAACGCAACGTGAATACACACGGAATGCCATCCCCCTGATTCATAAATTTATAACTTCGCCCGGTCCTTCGCCAACTTCTCCTCCCACTTCTTCTTCTCTCGATAATTGACAGATAAATTCCACGCCGCAACCGTCACCCCCAATGGTGGCACAAGCAGCATCCACGCCCACCACTGAGGACTTGACGCAGCCACCGTTTCCATGACCTTACGAACCTTTACCTCTAACTGCGCCCTATCTGCATCATTCCACACAGCCAGACCCCGCGCAGCCTCCACACCCCTTGCCTCCGCTCGCGCCACTTTCGCCTTCACATCCCCCTGACTCTTCACCCGATTCTCCGCGTCCTCCTGGCTAAGATGCGGGTCCCGGGCCCGCAACCGTGCAATCTGCACCGCGGGATCGGAAACGCCAACCACAATCACCGTACCGCACAGGACGTCGAGCCCGCTTTCGAACAGCAATGGCACATCCAGCACCACCGCCCAATTTCCGCGGAGATAATAGTAGAGGAGTTGACGGTACATCTCCCAGCGCACAGCTGGGTGGACGATGCGATTTAGCACGGCGCGGTCACGTTTGCGTTCCTCCGAGTCCCCGAAAACGCGACGGCCCAGGACAGGGCGGTCTAAGGGGCGGCCTTTGCCCTTCTTATTCCTGTTCTTGTCGTCTGGATCGCTGGGGTCATCTGGAAGGAGGAGGTCCGGAGTTGTGGGGCCGAAGTACTCGACTATGGCGCGGTAGCCTGCAGTCCCCGGTTCGACGACTTTGCGGGCGATGACATCCGCGTCGATTATGGGGATGTTGTAGGGTGGGGAGGAGAGAAGTGTGGAGACGGTGGATTTGCCCGTGGCGATGGAGCCGGTTAGGCCAATTAGAAGCATACTTGCTGCCCTTCTAGGGGGGATTGGGCAGGGTTAGGTATGCAGAGGCGAAAAGAGTATATTGGCGGAATTTATTATGAGATATATTTGCGTAGTTGAGCTTTTCGTCATATATCTTAGTCCGATTAATAGTGAAATGACTCAGCAACAGGGTTTTAAAGGCACCCCAGCAGCGTGATTCGAGATTCGACAGCACATGTACATATACACCCATAAACTTTTCTCTGCCGAAAAGAAAGTCGTGTTGGCTGCTTTGAGTGGGAAAGTTATCGATTTGGTCTGTTTAATCCTTTTGACAGGGTAGCGGAAAGCATAAAAACCAAGGCAATCGACTCTGGGATGGATGTATGTATGCCGTCTAACTCGTTCAGAGCGCAGATGCCGTGTCCATATAACTTATATTTCTGTTAGCTATAGATACAAGTATATATAACATGATGCATTATTTGCCCAACGGTGAACGGGGAACTCTAGGGGAATCCAGTCAAGGGTATGAAATCATGCATACCATTGAATGGTTTCTGGGATCTTCCCGCGATGAAACAACAACCAATGCCGAAGGATAAAATGATCACAGCAGAGGTATAGCACAGGCCCAATCCGGAGCTGTGATCCTTCCTCTCTTTGTGCTGGGCGTGAGGGGAGAAGAGAATGTCTACGGGTATAGCAGAGGAAAACAGTGCATACGGGAGAAAGCTGTTGGAGTAGTTAGTTAAATAGACGAGGTGATGAATGTAAATAAGTTGAACCGCGGATAACTAACGGAATCCAACCCCCCGTTAACCGGTCACCCCACTGAGTTTGGTCAGCAAATCCAAAAAATTAAATTAAATAATATCTTCAATTGCCCTTATTAGCCTATTTCAAGGCGTGAGAATGCCATTAATTCAACAGAAAAGAGCAAGAAGTACTCTCAATTCATGAAGCTGCACATTTTAAATGAAGTTTCGTAAGTAAACTCTGCTTGATTAACTCAATGACAAATATGCAAGTAACTGAAGCTTATATATGAGGTGGTGTGGCAGTTCAGTAGAGCCCAGATGTTAGTGCTCATCAGCATATGAAGGCCTTTGAAAAACACATAAAGTAGAAGATCATCTCATATGGGGCACTTCCCGCCCGGCCTGTAACTCTCCTGTTCTCAATTCTCATTCTGTCTTTTTGCTCTTCTACTTCTCAGCTCTGCTGTTTTATATACATTTACTTTGACCTTTACATATTCTTATAAGCTCTATTTGCTTTTTATATTTTTTTTATCAACTATATAGAGCTGTCTTGAAGATCTATTAATTCTTTAATCAAATACTTATATGAATCTACATATAAATTTAATCAAATTAACTTAGGCTGATAAGAATAAATTACTTGAATAAATGCTGAATTAAATTAAAGAAAATTTATTCTCATAGTTAATATTTATTGAGAATATAGTTAATTATCTTTTTACTTTATAAAATTTTATCATCTTTATCATTATTTTTATTTGTATTAATAATAACTAAGTTTTAAATCTAGTTTATATATTGTTTAAAGCTTTAGATTTATAATTTTAAATATTATAATCATGACTAAATTAAATTTAAAATTTTAAAAATTATAATTATTAAATATAAAATTAAATCAAAGAAAATATATAATTTTAATGAGATTAATTTTATAATATAACTTTATATTATCTAATATAATCAATAAGTGAGTTGATCATATAAGTAAGTCAGCTACTTCTCATCTTACTGTACAATGAGAATGCATCTATGCCTCAATCATAAAGAAAAAGAGAAAAAATTATATTATCAATTATTTTCTATATGTCTAGAGCATGTATGAGTAGTATGCTCAGTAATCCCATATATACTACACTGTGATGCTGTCTGTTTTTATGATCAGAACTCAGTAGCCTCAATCACCTCTCTTTTTCATTCATTGATGCTTTGTACACAATTCAAGCCTTTTTCAACCTCTAAAGCATCCTCTTGAGCTACATATATATAGCTTCTTTCTCACTTCTTCTTTTATTTAGCATTTGCAGCTTTTAACTCTCTGTTTTCAGCTACTAGAATAGCAGCACTGTGCATTGCCATTTGATATCTCTTGACCAGCTAACTCAAGTCTCAATTGCTTGAACTTAATGGACTCTGTGTACAGCACTTGATATATTTTTTGATCTTCTCAGTCTACTGCTTCAATTGATGTACATTATACAGTGTGGTGGTGGCCCAGAAGGCCTAGAAGCTGTAAGAGATTTCAAGAAGGATGAGGGTATGTATTGTTGTATTAAGATATGGGAGGACTTGCTCAGAGTTGTACAGGACTAATCCAGCTGCTCTGAAGCCACTCTTGATGTTGTTCTTAGTCAGAGCCTGCATCTAAGCTATAGGATATAGGGTCAGAAACTCCTTCTTGTCAATATAATTGATCTCAAGCTGCTTTTGATTCTTCATCTGTCATTCATATGCTGTTTTCAGAGGGGAGAAGCAGTCAACATTCAATGACTGGAGAAGATGAGAGGAATGAAATAGCATATAGAGAGCAATGATCTAATTCTCAGAGTAGAATTGATCAAATTCAGCAGAGGCATGACTTCTATGCCAGTTCAGAATCAACAATTAGTGTGAACCCTTCATACAGAGTAGGATGTCTTTGTTGAACACCTCTTTCAATCAGTACAAGCTCAGCTGGTTATTTGTCCAGTTATTCTCACTGACTTCAATCACTCAATCTCTGGGCAGTCCCTCAGTCTCATACCAACAGGACTGATGCATCTTTTTCTTGAGAATGATCATTGTATACAGAGCTCAGTCAGAGATATTGACTTCAGCAATGACAATCACTCATTTCTGATCTCCAGGCTATACAAGCTTAGGATTCCTGACTCTTTCAGACTCAGTAATCACTTTAGTAGTCTCAATAATCTCTATCTGAAATCTAGTCTCATCAAAGTTGTAAATATCATCTTTCAGAATCTCATACTTTGCAATAGTATTTTGTATGAGCCTAAACCACTCACAGATAATTTTAAAACCCTCACATAGTGTACATTGATGGTCATACTTGCAGGAGAACTTGAATTTCAGCTCTTCATGATGTTTGACAAAGTTTCATACTTAGCATTTACCTACTGTGAATGGGAGATTGAATTTTTGACTGATAAAGAGGAGATTGACCATTTCTTATACAGCTGCAACCCAGAGTGGCAGATCTCACTCATCTATGGTTAAAATTCATTGAACAAGAGATTTTTCCTTTGTAAGACTAAGTTTCCAGTTCTTTGAGAAAGTGTTAACATATGCTATATGATCATGTATCTAATCATCTAAGATGAAATGTGAAATATCATACAGCTTTGCTGCAGCTCATACACTTGAAATTTGACCATTTTTAAATGCTTAAATGACTAAAAGAAGCCTTCTTTCCTGAGTAAAGACTTTATTTCTTTGTGTAGTTGGCATTTTTGATGATAAAAATATTGTTCTAGAATGAGATGAAAAGTGACTGACTTGCTTATATGACTGACTTATTGATTATATTATTATTAAGACTATTATTAATAATAAGTACTATAGTCAGATAAAAATTTTATAGTCTAAAGATAAAAAATAAATAATTATAATTAAGTTAGTTCATATGTTAGATTGAGCTCTATCTCTATAAATTTAATATAAATATAATAGAAAAATATAAATAAAATAAATCTAGATATTAATTCAATATATAAAATATATTCTGCAGCTTTATTTTACTTTTTGATATACTGAAATAAGAACTTAACTTTAATATTTTTTTTTATCAATTTATTCAATTATAATTTTAATATTTATATTAATTTTATTATTAATACTTATTATATTAATATTATATTTATATTATTAATTAATTTAAGCAATGATATTGAATAAAGATTATTATAAATTAGATTTTTATCAAGTTATAATTATAAAATAAAACTATAGAAAGTTATATATATAATTAATAAATTATCTTTTATTTCTGGAGATAATTTTGATTTGTTATATGATATTAAAATATAGATATTTATAAAATTACTCAGAACAGTAGTATGATTAATAATAATATTAATTTTAAATCTTAATTAATTTATATATTTTGTATAATAATACTAATTTTTTATAAAATAAATAATTTATACTTATTAAATCAATATTTTATTTCTATTCAATTGAGTTATCAAACAGTTTAATATTAATAACAGTATTTAAAAAATAAAAAATAGTTTAAAAATAGTATTTTAGATAATTATATCAGTAGTCAATAGTTATTGTTAACTTATTTAATAAAGAAGAATAGCAGATTACAGCAATTAAGATTATTAAATCTAACTAAAAAATTATATCAAAAACTTCAGATAATGAGTTATATTTAATTACTAAAAGATCAATAATCTAAAAGAGTTTGATATAAATTTAGTTATTAGCTAGTTATAGTATCATTATTGAAAGATAAAAATATATCTCTATAGTTTAAACATATAATCACTTTATAATATAAATATATATTTATATAGAAATGATCATTATATTTTTTCAGATCTATAAAATATGAACAGTTATTATAAATAAATATTTTTTTATCAATATTATAGATTTAATTATTTTAAAAAGAGTGAAGAAATTTTTATTATATTAAGTTCAAAATAGTTATTATTATAGATTATTAAAGTCTCTATATGATATTCACTAAGTTATTGAGAACTGAAGATACTATCAGATTCAAAATCATAAAGATTAACATGATTATAAAGTCAATAGACATATTTAAATTTATATTAATATTATTTTTTACATACATCAATGCATTATTTATCTTTTTATAATATTATCATTCTTAAGTACTTTTTTGAACTTAGTTTCATAGATTTTATCTAATTAAAAGTTTGTAAATCAGTGAAATAAGTTAATATATCAATAATGAAAAATTGAGTGTTCATTTTAATTATAAGAACATCTTTATATATTATTATTTGTGATCTGTTAATCTGATCTTTTGCTATTGAGAAAAGTAAATGAAGATAGATTCTCATTTTTAACAATGCTGCTTCATGTCACGGCTTCAATCTAGGCGCAGGTAAACTGGTAGGTAAGCTACATCAACGAAATACTAAGATGATTCCTGAAAAATGGGTCCGGGGAAGGCTCTGTTTATATACGCCTTTCCTTAGCGCAGTTGCTAGGCCGTTGCTAGGCAGTCTCTGTGGGATAATCGTTACTGGGTATTTGTTTACGGGGTAATTGCGGGGTGGTTGCTCTGCCGTTGCTAGGCAGTTGCAATTGCCCTTTTCGGCCCAGTGGCCTTACATGTTAGGGTGCGAATGCGAGCTGCATAAGAAGGAAACTCTCTGCGTTGCTAACTGCTATATAACGAAATACTAAGCTTGATGGGATGAAAGGAGGTGCTGGGCCTTGCCTGGATTATAACCACCCGCATGGTCACGTGGTCACGTGATACGTGATGAGGATTAGGCCTAATCGGGCGCCGAGCTTAATCCGACGTCGAGTCTAACCGGGCACCGGGCCTCGGTCAGGCTCGGTCGGGCGCTGAGCCTAACAAA